ACTGCATCTTTCTTCCGATTATCATATCTTGTTCCAGAGAAAGATCAAACCTCTTTTGTAAACCTTGCGGTCCTTCTTTGTAGAAAATAAAAACATTTTGGTCAAAATCAAATATCCTTCTTTCAAAGAATATTTTCCACACACTAGTAAGACTCTCATCTTGAAGTTTTCCGAAAGTCGATGTAAGCATCCGTTTGTGCTCAGCGGTCGGCTCAGGACCCATAACCTGTTTGTATTTCTGCTTGAGTACAGGATATTCCAACTCAATGTCCTGTCCACAAGTGGTTCCCAACTGGTACAGTTGAGATATCGGATTCGACATGATGTACTAGCGTGTGGAAATAAACCTTTATTTAGGAAAAACTAAAACCACTTTTGTGTCAACTGACCTTCTAAAAAAGATCTCTAGAGGGAATTCTCTTCCCTTCATATACTCGTCGTGCTATTTGGTTCCGGGTAAGTGGTGCGAACTTTAATGTCTCATTTGTCACATGATTAATTAGGGCTAAGCGTCTAGTTCTCACACACGGTGCACGGTTGGCGGCGGTCGTGCGGGGGCCCAAAGGTGCGAACCAATGAAACCACCAGAAAAGTCCGGCTAGCACCCCATCCAACCCCGTCACCGCCATGCAACCATACTCCAGATCCGGCGGCACCAGAAGGTGCTTCTACGAATTCCAGTCGCTCGTGGCGTGCTACACGGCCGCGGACACGGCCACCAAGAAGGAGTGCACGCCGTTCTTCGACGACTACTCCGAGTGTTTGCATGGCACCAAGGAGCGCGAGAAGGCGCGGTTGATGCTGCAGCAGTTGAAGGCCAACGAAATGTCCGGCGAAGGCGTCAAGGCCGCGGACTTGTACAAGAACTCTGGCGCCGTGTACGAGAAGTTGGACCTCGTGAAGTAGCCCGTGCGGCCGACTGTGCGCTGCGCAGCGCCCCCCAAGTCCTTTCCATACGGCGCGCTTTGCAGTGTCCCATGAGCATTTTCCATACGGCGCGGTTTGCAGTGTCATCTGTGCATTTCTAAATAGCAGCGGAGGCTGGGGGCCGCGAGTCTGCGGCCGCCGGGCCCCGTCCATACGTATAATATACAAGTGTCGTCCCCTCCCGAGCCGAGCCACTAGCGGCGCGCGCCCGTGTCCTTGCTGTTTTTCATCAAGCTGCGCGAGCCGTCCTTGATGACCGCGCTGTAGTGGCGGTCGAGAAGCACGTTCTCCCACAAGACCGCGGAGCCCACGTTGGTGCGCTCCAAGTCGACCTCGTAGCCCGTCTTCTCGTAGCCCAAGATGTAGCTGCCCTCGCCCGAGATGTTCTCCTCCGTGGACCAGAGGCTGTTGAGCCCGTCGCCGTATTTGTTGACGAGCTTGGCGACGAACTTCAAGGCCGCGACGGTGGTCTTCTCCGGCGCGTGGAGCGCGGCCACGTAGAGCCGCTTGGTGAAGGGCCGGGCGCGGGCCACGCTGCCGTTGCGCGAGCGGAAGAAGACCATGTCGAGACTCTTCAAGAGAAGCTCGGCGTTGGTGGACACGTTGACGGCGGGCTTTTGCGCGGCCTCGGCGAGCGGGTCGGCCAAGCGCAACAGGCGGTGGGAGAACTCCAAGTCCGGGCTCACGCACACGTCGGCCACCACCGCGTACAAGGTGTGCACGAACAGCAGCAAGTCGAAGGAGATTGGCAAGCGGCCCACCTCCGCGTGGTTGAGGAGGAGCGAGAACGCGGCGGTCACGCAGAGGAGCACCTTGCGCACGTCCGGCGCCAGGTACACGCCGCCCTCCAGGCCCGCGTCCGAGGCTATGCCATAGAGCTGTGTCTGCAACGTGCGCTCGTGCACCAAGCTGGCCATGGTCTCCTTGAGCACTTCGAGGAAATCGCCGAGCAAGTCGAAGTTGGCCATCAGGCCGAAGCGCGCCAAGCCCTCCATCACGGCCGCGGTCAACAGGCGCACGGGCGCGGCCGCGTCGGGCTCCAGCGCACCGGCCTTCAAGATCTGGAGGTAGAGCGTGAGCACCAGCGCCAAGGTCTGGGCCTGGAAGCGACGGCGCTCGTCCGCGGTCACGGCCTGCTCCGCGCGGCGCATCTCTTCGTCGATGTCCTTCAACTCCTTGCGCACCTTGCGCTGCTTCTTCAGGAGGTGCACGCGGGCCTTCTTGTGCACGCGGCCCGCGGCCAGCAGCAGCAGCAGCGGCGGCGGCGCGGGGTCGTAGTCGTCCAAGAGCGCCAAGCTCAAGAACACGTTGACCACGGCCTCGTCCACGCGGAACTTCTTGTCGCGGAGCACCTTGCCCATGATGCGCGCCACGTCGTGCGAGAGGCTGCCGTGGTGGCGGTCCTCGGCCAACACCGTCTCCAACGCCCGCACGCAGCGCGTGAACACCTCGAGGTCCGCGCCACCCGCGGGCCTGCGGTTGAGCCTGCGGATCACGATGGTGAGCAACTCGTCGCGGTAGTTGAAGTGGCGCAACGCCAGCACGCAGAGCTCGCACGCGGCCTTGGCCGCAAGCTCGCCGAGCCGCACCTGCGCCGGCAGCACCGCCGCGCGGTTCTGCGAGTTCTGCGCCAGCACGCGCGAAAGCCGCCCCAAGAGCCCGACGTAGTCGCGGTAGTGCACCACGAGGTTCTGCTCGAAGCGCCGCAAGCGCGCCACGTCGCGCCCGACCTGCTCCGCCTGCTCGGCCGCGCTCAACGCGCGGATCGCGTAGCCGGGCGCCAACGCCTTGAACACGGGCACCAACGCCAAGATGGCGAGCTGCGCCGTGGCCGTGCTGGGCGCCTCCGCGAGCCGCCGGAGCTTGCCGAGGCTGTCGATGTGCTCCTCGGGGTCCTCCATGAGCGCGGCCGCGAGCTGCGCGATTTCCGCCTTGATCTGGAGCAACTGCTCCGCCGGAGAGAGCTCGGCGGGGGGTGCTGGCGGCAGCCCGTGCTGCTCGGGCTGCAGCGGCGCGGTTTCGGCGCCGTTTTCGCTGCCGATGTCGGCGGCGGCGGGCGCCGGTGGCGGTGCGGGCCTGGCCATGCGCTCGACGCGCCCGGCCCGCTTGATGGGCAAGGTGTCGATGCTTTGGTCGATGTTCAAGGACCGCGGGGCAAGCTCGTATTCCTGCTCGGCGTCCTCCCAGTCGGCGGGCGGGCTGCCGGCGGCAAACACGCCGCTGGCGAGAAGCGCGTCCTGGGCGCCGCGCGTCTTTTTGAGGCGCCGGTCGAGGGCGGTGGCGTGGCGTTTTCCCATGGTGAAGTGAAGTTTTGTGACGAGAAGCTGGCGGCAGGCCATCTCATGAGGCGACGCGCGGCACGTGCGCGGGCGGCACGTGACCTGGGCCGGGAGAAATTGGGGGAGGGAGGGAAAGGCAAATTGGGGGGAAATTGGGGGGGATATTGGGGAGGAGGAAGGAGAGGAAGAGGGGAGGGAGGGCCGGGAGTGGGAGGAGGGGGAAGAGACGGGATCTACTAGTTTTTTGTGGTGGTGGTATTTGGTTGAGTTGGGTGGTGGGTGCGGCATGTCTGGCCTCTCTCTGCAGAGGGCTCGCGCCAGTGGGTGCGAAGAAGTTGATGGGAGTATGCTGCGAGCGGGTTTGATGTGGTGTTGATGTGTGAGCTTCGTATTCGGTGGGATCCGTAGTCTGGGGTTTTTTGAAGGTGTTGGATGTGAGGTTCATATTCACGGTGGTTTATGTTATGGAAATTGGGTGGGATGATCATAGTCGGTGGGATTCATATTATGTGAGATTCATATTATGTGAGATTCATATTATGTGAGATTCATATTATGTGAGATTCATATTATGTGAGAGGTTCAGATGTGAGATTCAGTTTTAGTCGGTGATTCGTAATATGTGGATTGGGGGAGATGATCATATTGTGAGAGATTCATATTATGGAAATTGGATGGGATGTTCATAGTCGGTGGGATTCATATTACGTGAGATTCGTATTATGTGAGATGATCCTAGTCGGTGGGATTCATATTATATACATTGGGTGCAAGAATCATATCCAGTGATGGGCGATTTATGTTATGTCGATTGGGTGGGATGTTCATAGTCGGTGGGATTCATATTATGGAAATTGGGTGAGATGATCATAGTCGGTGTGATTCATATTACGTGAGATTCATATTATGGAAATTGGGTGAGATGATCATAGTCGGTGTGATTCATATTACGTGAGATTCATATTATGTGAGAGGTTCAGATGTGAGATTCAGTTTTGGTCGGTGATTTATACTATGTAAATTGGGTGGGATGTTCATCGTCGGTGGGATGCCTAATCTGAGGGATTTGTACTCTAAAGATAAGAGAGATTCATATTCAGCGATGGGTGGTTTATGCTATTTAAACTGGGTGGGATATGATGGTGGGAACTCTCTCGTAGGATAGCAGTTTTCCCCAGCAGTATGAGATGAACTTGCAACAAATCTCCATATCACATCTTGGCAAAATACTCACATTCATGTCTGGTGGTTTATCATCGAAACCTCGCATTTTGTGTTGCGTGTGCACCAATGATGCCTTTCATGCAATTCCTACAAAATGCAGCGGTTTTCGGACTCTTTGTTCATGCTCGATTCTTAATTCTCGCCATACTCAAAGTCAGTTTCAGCTCCGCATCCCGCCCATTCTGGTGGCTTTCTATGAGCGCCTGAAGCTCGGCCATTTCTTGTGGTGTAATCTGAGGGACTTTCTTCTGAAGGTGCTCAGATGTGCGGTTCATATTCACAGTGGTTTATGTTATGTGGCTTGGGTGGGATGTTCATAGTCGGTGGAATTCATATTATGTGCGATTCAGTTTTAGTCATTGGTGATTTGTACGATGTAAACTGGGTGAGATGATCATAATCGGTTGGATTCGAATTCTAAGGGGCTTGTATTCTGAGGGGATCGTATTCTGAGGGGATCGTATTCTGAGGGGATCGTATTCTGAGGGGATCGTATTCTGAGTGTTTCACATTCTGGGAGGTTCATATTCAGTGATAGGTGGCTTATGTTATGTAAATTGGGTGAGATGTTCATATTCTGGGAAATTCATATCATGTGAACTGAGTGAGATTTGCAAATTCGGTGGGATTCGTTATCTGAGGGATTATTTTTTTAAAGACGTTCAGATGTGGGATTCATATTCAGTGATGGGTGATTTGTAGTATGCTTATTGGGTGAGATGCTCATCGTCGGTGGGATTCGTAACCTGAGGGCTTTTAGTCTATGACATCTTCAAAAAAGAGATTCATTATCAGTGATCGGTGATTCATACTATGCATATTGGGTGAGCTGTTCATATTCGGTGGGATTCGTAATCTGGGGGTTTTTATTCTGAAGATTTTGAAATGTGAGATTCATATTCAGTCATCGGTGATTTATACTTTGCCTACTGGGGGAGATGTTCATAGTCGGTAGGATTTGTATTCTGAGGAATCAATATCCTGAGATATTCATATTCAGAGGGGTACGAATTCTGAGGGGCTTGTATTCTGAGGGGTTCGTATTATGAGAAGTTCATATTCTGAGAGTGCGTATCCAGCGAGATTCATATTCTGTGGCAAATATTCAACATCTTCGTTTCCGGTGATAGATATTCATAATTTGCGAGACTCCTATTCAGTGACAGATATTCATTATCTGCGGAATTCTCATTCAGTGGCAGATATTCACAATTTGTGGGATTCGCATTTTGAAAGATTTATATTCTGTAGTAGTTGCTTTATACTTTGCATATTGGGTGACATGTTCATAGTCGGTGGGATGCGTGATTTGAGAGACTGATATTCTGCGAGATGCGTATTCTGAGGGATTCGTATTATGAGGGATTCGTATTATGAGGGATTTGTATTCTGAGGAATCAATATTCTGAGATATTCAGATTCTGAGGGGTTTGAATTATGAGGGGTTCGAATTCTGAGAGGTTCATATACTGAAATATTCATATTCTGAGATATTCATGTTGTGTTAGGTGTTCAGATGTGAGATTGAATTATTATAATTTTACATTAGGCCGCCGAATATATAATTAAAATTTTTGCTAACATCATAGACTTATTTAAAAATGACTTCGAAGAAACTGAAATATACCTCAATGAATATTCAAAATTCATGATAAATACTGTCATTAGGCCGTCGCCCTTCGGACCTATCTCTTTTTTACATTTTTTATAATAGCATTATGTGATAGATTCAAAACATTTTGTTATATTCTCTTATATAACTCATGTGGATTTATTAGCTAATTGATTTAAATACCTATTTTTTTTTTATTTCTTTCTATAGGTGCATAAAACCCTTGTTTGAAACTATAAAAAGTATATTAGCTTATAGTGGTAGATTAAATTTTGGTTAGCTTTAATGCCTAATTTGATTCATTCAATAGATGCTAATGGTGTATTATTACTTGTTGATAGTCTTTAGAATTAAGATAGTTTTAAGAATGACTTTACTTCTGTTCATGATTGTTTATATTATCATGAGTGTATGATTGAATGCCATTTCATGCAATATTTTTGTTTCTTGAAATTGATATTCTTAATTTCATTTAAACTTTCTGGACCTAAAAATATAACAAAGTCCTGATTGAAAAGTAGTGTTATAGATAAGAACTTAAAGTTTGTTTAAAAAATTCCTAATGTCTTAAAAAGTACAAATACTAATATATTATTTCGTGTATGTCAGTATACAAGACTCGGTGCTGCTAACGATAACTCCAGACCTTCAAGGAACAATGTAGCTCCGCTGAGATCATCGTAAAGAGTTTTCACGATCTCTCACCACGTGACCTAACATAGTATGCACTCCGTCAAGTCCCCTCATTATCCACGTATTCTGTCAGTTTTGTTCATGTCCCAGGTTATCACGCTCCATTGCCACAAGGTAAACCACCGACATAGTGGCTTTTCCGTAGGTGGGGCTAACTAAATGGTTCATTGATACAAGGGGATTGAAAATGGCTCAAAGCTGAAGGACTTTTCATCATTTTCTGAGTCGGATGTAAAGCCCACAGTAGCGTACTAGATATATCAGCTGTCACTCTGTGACGGCGGCTGCCCAAAAGCTTGGCGCTCTGATTGGCCCGTCTCTGCAATAGTGTACGTTGCAGTCGTAATGTTCATTGAGTCTGTTATCAATGGAGATTCTCCTCTAATTATTTTTGGCCTAGAAAAGATAAAAAGCCCCCGTAATTTTCCCTTGATGACAGTCGGTGATAAAAAGTCTGCAGAGATGTTGTAGGTGCTCATCGAGATCACCTATGAAGAAGATGTCGCTCACTAGTCACCACGACATGCCCATATTGAGAATGGCTCCACCTTTGCTCCGAAAGTGCACTTTACACTGCATCAGCGGGTCTTTTTTTTGGGCTCTGTAATGAAAGACTCAATCGTTCCGGAGAGTGTCTGCTGGTTTGTCTTCCAAAATCTTGCTGCTTTATGGCTCAATCAATTTATGAAGTATATTCTCAAAAAAGATGTTTCTGGCGAGATAACTTACAGAAATTCCAAATAGTCTCAAACCCAGCGGTTTCGTGGCGACTAAATTACCTTATTCGGGAAGTGATACAGAAGTCTGTATGTTGCTCGGTTTCCACTCAGAATTTTCAACATTATTTAGATGAGCTGTCATGTCAAGTGTATGATAGTACCTCGGAATATCCTTGTGATGTACTTTAGGGGAAGGTTTGTCTGTGTTGTCGTTGACGAGGTGAGATGCAAGTTGCATACTTTCTAATATGCTTGAGGAATGAGATGTGAATGCCACTGATCGTTCTTTATACTTGGAAGCACAATATTGCTCATTGGTTGGGAGGTTGTTTCACCCAGGCGAATAGAGAGATTTCGGCATCCTTTGAATACCGAGGTCTGGGGGTTTGTCTTTTGCTGGAAAGTTTGAGGCTAAAAGTCAAACTTATCAACGAACTCCAGGAGGGGAAATAAAGAACGAGGCCCAAAGATGTTATACGCCATCAAAGTAGTAACACACTGGCGTATGGCATCACCTCTGCAGGCTTCTGGACATAAGTGCCGATTAACTAGGTTACGGGTTTCGTTCACCACCTATATCCAGTAGCGACACATGTGGAGATGATATCCTGTGAAGCGAAGCAAAATCGAGGTACTGCGCTATTTATTAGACATAAACTTTGCATCAGTTGCATTGGCCTCAAGATATTGGTATGGTCACACAAGTATGCTTGGGTGCTCATGGTTCATAATAAAAAGCAAGAGAAAGAACAACTTTCCAGATGTGCGGGAGCAGAAAGTAGAGAACATGCAATAGAGCTGATTCAAGGGGCAGACAGTGGTGTCGATTTCGATGTAGAATGAGCAGGTGCCGTATTCTGGGGCCCCCGATATATCAGTAGTACAGGAGAAAAACATTGCATTCTGTCTTTTCGATTGAATGTGAGGGCATGAAAGATGATCTGGAGTTGAACCGTGAACTGGACATTGATAAGGAGAATTGAGTGATTTTTGTCAATAAATGTTGCGAGCTTTGTTGGGATGAGCTTTGTTCATTAATGGGAAATGGGCAGTGAGGACGAGGCTATTTCAATGTTGGCCAAGCAGAAACGTGTTTTTACAACCGAAATCCATTCATACTTATGCCATGTTTTTCTACGCGAGCCTTTGTTTTGGACCTGTCATTTTTTGTCGAGGCAATTTTATGTAAAGTGGCCTGTTAAAGATAAGTAGAATACGCAAGCATCAACACGTCACAACACCACAACATGCTCAGGATATGCCAGGCACAGAGAGATTCGTCTCTTAATTTTCGAGACACGAAAGCGGTATCATTGCAATCACACGAATCCAAAAAAGGTCATGTACATTGCCATGTCCTACTGAGATATTGCAGCGGGGCATGGCAGCAGCTGGAAGAGGTCGGAGCACAGATTGTGAAACCCCACTCGTTGAATACAATAGATACTAACCTGAACCAATAACTTGAATCCTGATAAGGTTCAAAAATAAATTTGCACTGCAAAAGGGAGAACTAAATTGCAAAAGCATCGGGCAGGCGGCCTGGACCCATACGTGTTCCAATAGATTGCTAGAAAGTCGCGGCAGGACACCGTATTGTGCAAGGCACTAAGCATAAAACGCCAAAAGACAGGAGAATTGCAAGGCCCGTATCGCAAGAAAAAAAACGGCGATTTTTCCGAAAAGACCCCAGGTCAAGGAAACCCACTGGCTGGCCGATTTATAATGATGCGCGGAACAGGCCATGGAAAGCGCGGCTCATAACCGCGAGCCAAGCCAAGTGTGCGCAAGAAATAGACGAGCCAACCATGTCAGGTCCGGTAGAAAACAAAGTGCACGCTGCTGCAACTATAGACTGCAAGACCACCAGCAATTAATCTTGGGAAAAGAAAGCATCGAACCCCAACAAACCCCGAAAAACCCCAACAAACCCCAGCTACACCCAACAAAACACACAACAGCCACCAAGAAACGTCCCCATCATGCGGCATCAAAAAAAAAAAAAGTCAAATGTGTCCCAGACGGCATCACAAATATCAGGCGCCAAAGCCCCCAGCCCCAGTGGCCTGAGTGGCCCCACCGGAGGTCGCATTGAATAAGCGCTCGTCGATTCGCCCGCCTCTGCGCACGAGCTCCAAAACACGCAGGCAGGCCGTGCGCAGAATCGTGCGTTCTTAGTAATGGCCCCACGGCGAACGAAAACACGCGCGCCAGCAGGGCCCGCTATACGAGGGCCGCGCGTCACGTGACCGGGTGTCCTCTCCACAGCGCCCGCCGCCGCCCCGGCAAGCGACGAAACAGGCGCCGAATCTGCCCGTGTGCCGAGCGCCCCGGCGGCCACGCCTGCCGCTTGGCAGCGCGCCAGCACCCCGCGGCCCGCATCCGTGGCACGGTGGAACCAGCGAGGTTGCGGACCTGCACACAGCGCGGGCCCCGAGGGCTCGTCCGCTCCAGAGCATCGTATAAATAATGCGCGGCGCCCAGATAAGCACAGGCAGAATACTCTTCAAGCGGACATCCCCCAGCCAGAAAACGCCAGTTTCCCCTCGTTTCTTCGCGTGTTTGTGTATCTGTGCTGTGCTGCCATGGACGTGAACTCATCCACGCCGTTTTTCGCCGCGGGCGCCGCTCCGCTGTCCCGGTTTGTGGACTTGGCCGGCGCCCATCTCGTGGGTCTCTGGGCCCAGCTCTCGTGGTGGCAGATCTCGCTCACCGTGCTTGTGGGCGTGTTGACGTACGACCAGGTCAAGTACCAGGTCAACAAGGGCACGATCGCGGGCCCGCGCTTGAAGGTGTGGCCCATCATCGGGCCGTTTTTGGAGAGCCTCGACCCCAAGTTCGAGGAGTACTTGGGCAAGTGGAACCTGGGGCCGTTGTCGTGCGTGTCCATCTTCCACAAGTTTGTGGTGATTGCGTCGACCCGTGAGCTCGCGCGCAAGATCTTCCAGTCGCCCAAGTACGTCAAGCCCTGCGTGGTGGACGTGGCCGTCAAGATCCTCCGGCCCACCAACTGGGTGTTCAAGGACGGCAAGGCGCACGTGGACTACCGCCGCTCGTTGAACGGGCTCTTCACGCAGAAGGCCTTGGAAATCTACTTGCCCGTGCTCGAGCAGAACATGGACGCGTACCTCGCCAAGTTCAGCCTGTACGACGGGCCGCGCGAGTTCTTCCCGGAGTTCCGCGAGTTGTTGTGTGCGTTGTCGTTGCGCACGTTCTGCGGCAGCTTCATCTCCGAGGACCAGATCCAGCTCATTGCCGACAACTACTACCACATCACCGCGGCGTTGGAGCTCGTCAACTTCCCCATCATCATCCCCTACACCAAGACGTGGTACGGCAAGAAGATCGCGGACGAGACCATGCGCATTTTCGAGGAGTGTGCGGCCAAGGCCAAGGACGCCATCAACGGGCGCGGCGACGCGCCCACGTGCGTGATGGACGAGTGGATTCTTTTGATGAAGCAGGCCCGCGACCTGCACGCGCAGGACCAGACATCCAAGCTCTTGATCCGCGAGTTCTCCAACAAGGAGATCTCCGAGACCATCTTCACGTTCTTGTTCGCGTCGCAGGACGCGTCGTCGTCCTTGGCCTGCTGGTTGTTCCAGCTCGTGGCAGACCGTGCGGACGTGGTGGCCAAGATCCGCGCAGAGCAGATGGCCGTGCGCAACCACGACCCGGCCGTGCCGTTGTCGCTCGACTTGATCCAGCAGATGAAGTACACCAACAGCGTGGTCATGGAGGCCTTGCGCTTCCGCCCGCCCGTGTTGATGGTGCCCTACGTGGTGAAGCAGCCGTTCCCGGTGACCGAGGACTACACTGCGCCCAAGGGCCTGATGATCATCCCCACCTTGTACCCCTCGTTGCACGACCCGGAGGTGTACGAGGACCCGGACAGCTTTGTGCCGGAGCGCTGGGAAAACCCCTCGGGCGACATGACCAAGCGGAGCTGGTTGGTGTTTGGCACCGGCCCGCACGTGTGCTTGGGCCAGCAGTACGTGATGATGCTTTTCACGGGCATGTTGGGCAAGTTCGTGATGAACGCGGACATGCACCACCACAAGACCGCCCTTTCCGAGGAGATCAAGGTGTTTGCCACCATTTTCCCCAAGGACAACTTGGTCTTGGAGTTTTCCAAGAGGGACCCTTTGGCCGCGGCGTAGGCGCGCGGCCGGCCATAGATGATGTATAGTTAGTTACACAGTTCTTTATTGATATACGCGTTCTGCACACCGCCGCGCGCCTAGGCGTCGTAGGTGGACGCAGAGATGTTGCCGCCTCTGCCGGTCCAGTTGACGTGGATCCAGTCGCCCTTCAAGAAGTCGTTCTCCTTGCCTGGCAACGCCTTGAACGTGTGCGCACCGAAGTAGTCTCTCTGGGCCTGCAACAAGTTGGCGGGCAATTGCGCCGATCTGTAGCCGTCGTAGAAGGACAACGCCGTGGTGAAGGCGGGCACGGGCACACCGAACTCGATGGCCTTGGCGATGGACGATCTCCAGCCCTGCTGCGCCTTGGTCACGGCTTCCTGGAAGAATGGGTGGAACAACAAGTTCTCCAAGTCTGGCGTCTCTCTGTACGCAGCGGTGACCTCACCCAAGAACACGGACTTGATGATACAGCCGCCTCTCCACATCAAGGCAATGGCTGGGTTGTTCAACTTCCAGCCGTACTCCTTGGCGGCCTCTCTGATCAACATGAAGCCCTGCGCGTACGACATGATCTTGGAGGCGTACAAGGCCTGCTCCAAGTCGTCGACAAACTTCTGCTTGTCGGTGATAGGGGACTCGCCCTCGACGGTGGGGCCGGTCAACACGGCGGAGGCTCTCTCTCTCTCGCCCTTGATGGCAGACAAGCATCTGGAGAAGACGGCCTCACCAATCAAGGTGACAGGCATACCCAAGTCCAAGGCATTGATGGCGGTCCACTTACCAGTACCCTTCTGGCCGGCGGTGTCCAAGATCTTCTCCACCAAAGGCTGGCCGTCGGTGGGGTCGTTGAAGTACATGATGTCTCTGGTGATCTCAATCAAGAAGGAGTCCAAAACACCCTTGTTCCACTTGGCGAAGACGTCACCGATCTCCTTGTTGGAGAACTTGCCGACTCTCTTCATCAAGTCGTAGGCCTCGCAAATCAACTGCATGTCACCGTACTCGATACCGTTGTGGACCATCTTGACGTAGTGGCCGGCACCGGCCTCGCCGACCCAGTCGCAGCATGGCTCGCCGTCGGTCTTGGCGGCGATGGACTGGAAGATCTCCTTGATGTGGGGCCACGCGTCTGGGTGTCCACCGGGCATCAAAGAGGGACCGTGGCGCGCACCCTCCTCACCACCGGACACACCGGAGCCGACAAACAAAATGCCCTTCTCCTTCAAGTCCTCGTAACGGCGGTTGGAGTCAGGGTAGTGCGAGTTACCACCGTCGATGATGATGTCGCCCTTCTCCAAGTGGGGCAAGAGCTGCTCGATGAAGGCGTCGACAGGCTTGCCGGCCTTGACCAAGAGAATGATTCTTCTTGGTCTCTTCAAGTTGGCCACGAGCTCCTCGATGGAGTGGGCGCCAATGATGGACTTGCCCTTGGCCTCGTTGTCCAAGAACTCGTCGACCTTGGCCACGGTTCTGTTGTAGGCAACGACCGTGAAGCCCTTGTCGGCGGCGTTCAAGATCAAGTTTTGGCCCATGACGGCCAAGCCGATCAAACCGATATCACCACTGCCATTGTTAGTAAGGTGTTTGCGGAGGGCGGCCAATCGCAGGGCGGCACGCATGGCTGAGCGAGGCGCGGCTTGCAAGGATAAACTGAAAGCAGGAGTTGCAAGGGGGGGTTGCAGGCGGGAATTGCCAACGGAGGTCGTGTGGCAAGGTTTTGCAGGCAGGGTCCGGGCGGCTGCAAGAAACTGTTTTGGTTTGGGTGGCGGGAAATTCTTTTGTTTTTGGTAGCGGGCAAATATTTGCCAGGCCCGGCATGGCCCGACCTTTTATATGGGGGGCCGCATTTGGCCCCTTACGTGGACACCCGAGGTCCAGAAACCCCGCCCCAAAAGCAAGACAAAAAAACCGCCCCTCTTCTTTTTCAGGCCCAGGCTCGGGCCGGCCGAATCAGGGAATGCTGCGCCGCAGGCGGCAGGGTACATACGTGGGAGTAGTAGACATATTTGTGGGGGGAGATTCAAAAATCCGTGTCTAAGAAAGATGAGGAAAATTCACAGCAAGTGCCGACGGGCCGGAAAAAACAGGGCCTTATATATTACGCAGGACGCTGGGCAGTTTTGGTGCGGCCGCAAATCGCACTTCTGGCGCACAAAAGTCCGACGGCGCGGGCTCGCTTTTTGGGTAGGGCCGGTGGCTGCGGCGCGCGCCTTACTAAGCAGGCGGGCCCAGCGAGCTGGCAAGCGGGCAGATTGCGAGAGCAAGAGCTTGGGCCGGGCCGGGGACGGTGGATTTCGGGAAAAAAAAATGGCGTTTAAGAAGCGTGTTTGTATTCTGTCTGGATGGTGTTTGGGTTTCTGATATTGTTTTGTGTTTCTGATCGGTATTGTGTTTGGGTCTGTTTGGGCCCTCTGTTCTATGTTAGGGTTTCAGTCGATATGATGCATGTGGGTTTTTGTAGATGAATTTTTTCTGAAGATTCTGGATTGTTTCTGCAGTGGATCGCCGTTGGTTTCGGCGCGTTTGCAGGTCTGGAGCAAGGAGTGTCTTATTAATTCAAGCCGGCGCCAGTGCGTGATTAGCGATAACGCCCTGGGGCCACTTCCGAAAATGCCGGCCCCGCAGGTTTGGCTGGCACCCACCGAGTATTACGTGATGGCAGGGAATGAGAATCACACCGGGGCCCAATATATCGAGAAAGCGCGGCCCCGGGTGAAAACTACGGCAGTCTTTGCAAAGCAGTTTGTGTGAGTGTATCCCAAACAGGCTACTTTGACAAGTTTGCCGTGTAACCACGTGAAAGATTGCGAGTGTTGGGAATAAGAAACATCCACAGAAGAAGGGGGGCAAAATACATTGGGAATCGCGGGGCAAATACTTGGGGTCGGAACCTGGTCAGAAATCTGGGAAGAAGTCTGGTCAGAAATCGTGGAGATCCTTCAAAACCAGCGCATATTCGAAAGCTCCGCTGATGTACTGAGTAACGTGGTTTGACGCACGTACGGAAATTAATCGGGCTTGCGCGGCGCGGCTCGTCATATAATGCCAAAACCTGTGGTCTCGCTACCCAACGGAATACCGTTCCAAACTCCGAGTCCGGGCCTCGAAAACGATATAAAAAAAACTAGCGACACAAATGCCAGCACGACGCACATAAAACAAGCCTCAAGATGCCTTTGACTGCTTCTAGAACGCAGACACCGTAAACCCATATTTGCTCGCTGGGTATTTTCGTGATTGCTGCCGCAGTCAGCCTGCCGCACCGAGCCCGGTCCAGAAAACACTGCAAGTGGTTTGCGGGCGTCTGGACTATTTCATGAAGGTTTACAAAATTCCAGCCATCATGGTGGGATGAGAAGCCTAGCTACTTGTGGCAACGAGCAAAAACATCCTGAAGCTTGTCTTGGTTATTCCCAACGAGCTCTACACACTAGATATACGAGCTAGCTATACTTAAGCTATACTTACTAGCTATACTTAATTTATGCTTACTAGCTATACTTAATCTATGATTAGTAGTTATACTTAATCTATGCTTACTAGCTGTACTTAATTTATGATTAGTAGTTATACTTAATCTATGCTTACTAGATATACTTATTAGCTATACTTTTAGCTATTATTAGCTATACTTCTAGCTATTGTCAACTATACTTATATCTAGTATTAGCTATATGTACTAGCCATAAAATCGGGCTATATCTACTAGCAAAACACCCAAAAGCCTTCGTCAATCCCCCACATTCTCTGTATATAAAAGCCACGAGTGTTTCCTCCGAGTCAAACCATCCCAAATAGAGCCAAGCGAAATTGCCTGCCACACTGTCGCATGACACAGCAATCACCGCAGAGGCAGCGTGGTCACGTGCCTTGCAACAAATGCACGCGAGTCCCCAAACCCAACCACCAGCGTGCAAACACACCCCAGAAACAAGCACATGCCCGGGGTCCAAGCGCATCCACATGGTAAACATGAGCTTTCTGTGGCTTGCACCGTCTCACCGGCAATGCGCCGCCGGTGCATGCATCTCTATGCGGCCACCTGTTGATCTCGGGCAAATCACACAGCGCTCCACGTGCCGCGGGCTTGCATGCAGAACTGCCCAGATCGGGCCGCAGCGCCTGCATGCGCAGCAGCTCTGTTTAGCACTAGTCACGTGGTATTGTCTGATTTTGCAACTTACTTGAAATATATTCGGGCCGGTGGCGGAACTCTCGTCCACCACTTCCACAACACAAACGAAAATGCCCATTCCAGCACCACACGGAGGAATCTTGCAAGACCTTGTCATCAGAGATGCAGGCATCAAACAGGATTTGTTGAGCGAAATCGCCGGCAACGGCTTGACCGTGGCCAAATTTACCGAGAGACAGCTCTGTGATTTGGAGTTGATCTTGAACGGTGGGTTTTCGCCATTGACCGGATTTTTGAATGAGGAAGACTACAACTCGGTCGTAGAAGACATGAGGTTGACCTCTGTCAAGGACCAGCAGTCCGGCAAAGGCTTGTTGTGGTCCATGCCAATCACTTTCGACGTGTCTTCTGAATTTGCCCAGTCGGTCGCCGTTGGCGAGAGAATCGTGTTGCAGGACTTGAGAGACGAAAAGCCATTGGCCGTGTTGACTGTGCAGTCCGTGTACAAACCCAACAAGGCCAACGAGGCTAAGAAGGTGTTCCGTGGTGACCCCGAGCACCCTGCCGTCAAGTACTTGAATGAGACTGCGGGCGAGTACTACATTGGTGGTCTGATCCAAGGTTTGGACTACCCAACGCACTACGACTACGTGCCGCTCAGAAAAACGCCCACTGAGTTGAGAAAGGAGTTCCAGAACTTGGGCTGGGACGCGCAGAAAATCGTGGCGTTCCAGACCAGAAACCCCATGCACAGGGCCCACAGGGAGTTGACCGTCCGGGCCGCCAGGGACCTTGGCGAAGACGGCCATATCCTCGTGCACCCCGTGGTTGGTTTGACCAAGCCGGGCGACATCGACCACCACACCAGAGTCAAGGTGTACCAGCAGATCTTGAAGAAGTACCCTGAAGGTTTGGCCACCATCTCGTTGTTGCCATTGGCCATGAGAATGGGCGGAGACCGCGAGGCCTTGTGGCACGCGTTGATCCGCATGAACTACGGTGTCGACCACTTCATTGTGGGTAGAGACCACGCCGGGCCAGGCAAAAACTCGGCCGGCGTCGACTTCTACGGGCCTTACGACGCACAAGAGTTGTTGGCACTGGTGGAGGCCGAGTTGTCTCCCAAAATGAAGATCGTGCCCTTTAGAATGGTCACGTACTTGCCGGACGAGGACAGATACGCGCCTATCGACACCATCGACTTGAGCACGGTCAAGACCGCCAACATCTCGGGCACCGAGTTGAGACAGCGCTTGAGAAACGGTACCGAAATCCCTGAGTGGTTCTCGTACCCCGAGGTGGTGCAGATCTTGAGAGAGTCGTACCCTCCTCGCTCGTCGCAGGGCTTTGCTGTGGTGATTGACTCTACTGGCTACAGCGACTACAGCGAGCACTTTGCGTTTGCCTTGCAATCCGTGTTGAACCAGTTTGCCGGCGGCCGACGCGTGACGAAGTTGGACGACTACGACAACACCTTTATTGTCAATGAGTTGGTGCAGGCCGGGTCCGGTGTCATCTTGACCAAGAAGTCTGACATTGCGTCTGTTGTCAAGGTTGTGGGCAAGGACAACGTTTTGGTCGTTCTGCCCGAGGGTGAGGGCGAGCCATACCAGTTCAAGTTGCAGGGCGACAACGTGGCTGCCTTGTTGGAGGAGATTGTGGGCTACTTGAAGGAGCAAGGTTTCTATGCTTAGGACGAGTGCGTATTTATCATGTGAATATATAAAATGAATTGGAACGGATGAAGCCTCAAGTTGTCCTTAGACCCGGGGCTCTGCGTATTTTCAAACCAGCGTAGCTATCTTAGGGGACGGAAAGTGTTGAAATGAGAGACGTTTTCTTGAGTAGTACCGAGCCAGCAGACTTGCTTATGGTTGGCCATATAATAGAAACATGGTGAACTACTTAGACCATAACAGAGGTGCACTAGAAAGGGTTTTTACCTCTTTATCATCTGGTTTATTCTTTAAATAGAGCTCTTTCGTGGATTTGTCTTTGCGTGGCACATCACTTGGTGACTATGGCCACGAGTTATTTTTTTCATTCAGACTTCAGGCCACGTTATGCAAAATGTTTTGAGTCGAAATAAATCATTTGATGTTGTCTGCTTGCAGAGTAATATATTTGGCCATGTTTGAGGTAGTTCTGGTCATATTATGCCCAAAATTAATTTCCATGTCAGGTATTAAAGAATCATGTGCATTGACCCTACATTTGGAATGTCGTTTGCACCCTTAGGTATGTAGCCTGTTCTTTTGGTTTTATGACGTCATCATACTTATTTTGGAAGCCAGCCAAAGAGAGATTAAGTATTGATTGCAGGGTAGATTTGGCAAATTGACCTTTCAGCGTTCGATTCAAAAAACAATATTTGAAATAAAAATAAAGAAATAATGGGATAAGTCCAGAATTAGAATCCAAGGACTATATGTTGACACTTGATATTTATGGGTCCGTGTAAAGTCAGCTGACTGGATATGTTTGTTGCACGTATATAAAGCTTTGGTCAAAACAAAAGAATACAGTCATGTGATTCCATTGGACTATCTAGTACGATAATAACGTTGATACGCATTCTCTGCATATCGCATCGAATTCCAGTCACTTCTCTTAATTTTTTGGTTCCTGCAATTTGATCAAATGCATTTCTAAGCAAAGGGTTGACAAGGAGATTGATTCAAAAAATCTTGATTAAATATGTTTTTGGCAGGTATCGATATTTCTGAGATATTTCTGAGATTCTGAGTGAGCACACGGGCGAAATTTCCTTATGCTTATCATTCACCTAAATGTAGTAAATTCAGAAAGTAAATTTTGAGCTTCTGCTTTACAATCAGCTGCGTTCTTATCAATACAGGAAAAAATTGTAATGTAAGAAGTAAGCAGTGAATGAGCTTTGTTTCTTAAGCTCCTGTACTGGTTGAAGTACTCATTGTTGCTGAAACATACAAACCATATCATATTCCAAACAAAATCAAAAATCCATTCAATTCACAAGATATCTCAGCTTTAATTCACAAGATATATCAGCGTTTACAAGCACATGTTACATAAGTATACAGTGATATCTTCCTTCAAGCCTCTCCCATCGAACAGCTAGTCTGATTTGAAGTCTGAGAACTCTTTCTTCAAGTTGGTCAATGAAAAACTCCCAGCTGTTCAAAAAGGCGACTCGAGAGTCAAGGTATTTTACTTTATAAGTGATCAAGCCTAACGACTTTGGATAGAAAGACCCGAAGAGGCAATATATGCCTCCGATTATAAGGGTGAATCAATTGTTGGGGTTAAAAATAGTCACTTGAGCCTAATATGAGGAGCATGTCATGAGGATAATGATCAGTGAACGTTTTAATGGAGAGATTAAGCCATGTGTTTGAATACTAGTATTAGCGCCAAGGATAATAAGCCGCTTCTTTGGTAGTGGTGAATATTTACTGGATTGGCCACATTTGCACAGAGTTTGTGAATTCAGAAAATAACACACGGTATACTCATCTGCCTTTTCTGGCGATGTAGGCCTCTTTGTAGTTTAAGCTGCCGAATGAGAATTTAAGGTTTTAAAGGTGGTAGAAAGGTATCGCCGGGTCTAATGACAAATGGGAGTAGAGCGAGTCTTTGAAGGCCCAAATGGTGAGACGACGGAAACAAGAGCAATATTGATGTGTACACTGATGATTTGAACCGGGAAGTGTTAGACTAAGCCTGGACTCTCACCAAAAGATACGGCCAGATCATTGTCTAACGCAATCTCCGGCTAAAGCGACAAACCAAAGCTGGGGGTGACTACCTGGGGCGAGTATGCTAGCAGAGTTTTTACAGCAAAACAATCTAACTTATTGATCCTACTGACTCGCCGAAAAGTATCTGAAATTTCGTAACCGTTCTCAGAAGCGAAAAGGTTGGAGTGGACAAAGGAATTTTCATCGAAGATGCCTCAATCTTTGGCAAGCCTCTCGAGACCAATTCCGGGTTCTGGTACACAGCAGATATTACAAGAAAATGTCCTTGACTATGTAAGTATAGACTTTCTCGGGTCACACTCACCGCTTCGAACACTTGAATTGTAATTAAGAGAGCACGTAGTGGTTTGAGAGCATGTACTGCGCATTCAACTTGAGATTGAGCATGGGCACGACGAGCTCTGCAGTGTATAGCATATTCTGTAGCTTCAAAAAACTCAATTTCAAATTATAAATTCCACTCATCATTTTTCTCAACGCCCAGAACTCTGAGGAACAGTCAGACACCGCGAGCCCGCAGACGCGTGGCGCAGGCTGCTCGCTAGCCATCTCTTAGGCACAGCGGATATTCCTGCACGCAGCACACGTATATGCACCCCGGGACGCTCCTCTTGCCGGGCAGAATCAGCCCCTCCCCAACCCGCAGTGCGCATCAACGCACCGAATGCGGAGCACCATATCAAAAGAGTATTGGTCACTAGTTCAGTGCATCATTCTTCAGTCCACGCCTCGACAACCCAATTCCATCCGGATACAAAAAAAAAAAAACAAGAGAGTGCACACGACTAAATATAGATGCTGGTGGCAGTGTACGTGTTTGTGGCGGTGGCCTCCGGCCTTCCCTTGGTGGCCCTTCTAGTATGGGTGGCGTTCTGGCTATCTAGATTTTCACACACAGCCGACGAAACCCGCCCGCTCTTGCAGGACACTTTCCGTGCATGTGATGTCGACCATGCGTTTTTGAACGACGAGGAGTCGCTCATGGCCTTGGCCGAGGAGCACGACTTCCCCACTCTTTCGCCCGAGGAACAGCGGGCGTACTTGGAAGGAGAAGAATTTCTGAAGTTGCACCCGCCGGACCCGGCACACGCCAGGGGCAAGGCGTTCACACGTGACGACGAACTCGTGATCAAGGACTGTGGCATCAACGCGTTTGAGTTCGAGCAGGAGCACGACATTCTTGCGCCCCGCTTCGTGGTCGAAGATAGGACGGAAATCAACTTCACCAACAACGCCCGGCTGTACTCCACGGCCACTGCAGTGCTGCGGTTTCCACTTCCAATCAAAAACCGCCTGCCGGATACCGTTTATTTCGAGGTCAAGGTGTTCGAGTATGCCGAGGATGTGCCCAACGCCCACTTTGCCATAGGCCTCGTCACCAAGCCGTACCCCTCGCAGTTCCGGCTCCCGGGCTATAACAACTTCTCGATGGCGTACGAATCCACGGGAAACCTCAAGATCAACAAGCCGTTTCCCACGCCGTTGCAGCAACATCGCGGCACAGAAAGCCAGTATAATGCACTTGTTCTTCCGCCGCTCAAGCAGCTGGACGTGGTGGGATTTGGCTATGTAGTGAGCTCGGGCACGTACTTCATCACCCGCAACGGGAAGAAACTCATGGACGTGATGAAGGGCTGCCACTTGGACCTCTACCCCGCCGTGGGCTGTTTTTCCACCAACGGCAGGTTCCAGGTGAACTTTGGCCAGATGGGCTTTGTGTGGATCGAGGCCAACGTGCGCAAATACGGGTTTTTCTCTGCCAGCGACCGGCGCTTTGCGGGCCAGCGGGGCTTGGCATCCTTGCCCGAATACGGCAATTCCATCTTACTCAACGACAAGCTTTTGGACAAGGGTGACGAGCTCCCGCCAGAATACCCCGAGGAGGAGCTTGATTTCTTTGGCCGTAAAATCCGCGTCGGGACCTCGGCACAATTCCACGGCAAGAAGCTCAACGAGGATTCGGAATTCGAGGTGAAGGATTGATGGCATGCTCTGTGAATGGAGGAAATGGAGTTCTTCTGCATGAGCGCTGGTCTATTGTCACCTTTTCTTTTGGCTGGCCCAGAGAAAGGGGGTGCGTAATTCTGGCTTCATGCTACGGACTGAGTCTTTTGGGTACAGCTGGCACGTGGGCCCGTGAGGCAAGGTGAACACCGGCTGTGTCTTTGTTGGCTTTCGGTACACCATTTCCAGGACCCCAAGAATCATGCAACTAGTGAAAGCGGGCTGTTCCTTGTCTATGGCTTCGGCTAAATTAGACTTCGAGCAATGTTCAGTTTCGTCTACTTCGTTTTTTTCTGGCTGGGAGGCGGGAGTTTTTGATGTTAGACTCCAGCATTGGCAATTTCTCAAATACAGAGGATAAACAGACCATCCTGCCAACCCAGAAATTGAATTCCAATCTGGGCTGGGCTGGCTATATGCACCGGATAAAAATCCCGGATGCCGCTATCAAACCTCGATCGAGTCCAACTCCCTACCCCAGCTGACAACGAAATTCAGAGGGCCCCCTTATAACCACGTGTCTGCATCTCGCGGTTGATTTGCCCATGCGGTCTGCTAGAGTCGGACGCAAAATGCGAACAACATCTGTCTTTTTGTGACCGCTTTGTCCACAGTCTTTGGGTGCCAGAAAACTACACACATTTCAAGCCAATGGATTCCGAAAATAGTCTGCTCCCAATAGCAACATCTCCTGATATACAGGCCATACGGCCTGGCCACACCCCGCCTCCCAGTTACCCCCAGATGGAGTTACAGGAATTCATCGTCACAGGCAGATTGATCAACAGAAGCCTCAAGGTGTTTCCATCGGAAAAGTCCTTGCGAATGTACAAAGAGTACGCTAGACTTGGCCGACGGGACCCCGATTTCATCCGGGCCAAAAACGCCCAGAACTCGTCCGTCGCGTTGCCCCTCTTGATGACCAAGCGCTCTTGGGGTATAGGTGTGGGCGATACCAGCTACTTGCGCATATTCGAGGCCGTGCCTTCGCCGGAAGCCAAGGACAGGCTTTACAGCAAAGTCGACAATCGCCACATTGGCGAGGTGCTCCGGCGGAATTTCTTTGGATACACGCGATACAGGCTCCAGATCAAGGGCGTCGAAACCGTGGTTATTGCCCACCGGCGACTTCCCATTGTGGACTGGCGCATAAATGACGAACGGTTCCGGTTTGTCAAGGCCACCAATCCAGTGTTGAGCCCAGACCTCTTCCTGTACCATCTTTATCTCTTGGCACCAGACCAGGACAGCCTCGTTGATAAGATGGACTCCTCGCTAAAAGTCCACAGGGGCAACGCCTTGCTTGGCGGCCTCCACAACATTTTCCTGCTCAGGTGGTATCTGAGCGACCGGTCCAGATACATGTCTCCATACAAATGCGGGCTGCTCGAGTTCTACAGGTCGTGGAAGATTTTCACCCGTACAAGAAAATGTTCTATTTTCTCCATGTACACGTACGCCATAGGCAACCAGGACGCTAACAATGCAGTTGAGTTCCGCCTGCTCATCTTAGTTGCCGTCAGCCTCATTCTCCAAAGCATCGAAGACGACATGCATTCGAAGAGGTTGACGAGCAAACCGACACGCCCAGCCAGCACAACAATCACGACACGCTAAAAGATAGCACGAGGAAGACTACGTGATTGGTCTTTTTTTTTTGATTATTGTATCGCACGAATCACCCGAGCAGGTCACTGGCGCTTCATGCTTCACTGAGCTCACCCCATGCTTGAAGGACCACATTAAAGAAACCCCTGTGATCAATCGGCAAATCTTTCAAAAACCATCACGGTTGCTAGAAATGATTTACTCATGCTTAACTGAAATTGGCTTAGCAAATTGCCACGAGCCGCACGTGCAGTTTGATTGCGTGCTTTTTGGCGGGCGCACACCTCGGCACTTGCGAAGACCAAGATAACGAAATTTGCCAACTTGGCAGACTTTCCAGATATAGCAGTGAAAAATCATGACTGAGTACTCGTATCCACACGCTGTGGTGTTTGATCTTGACTATACTTTATGGCCATTTTGGTGTGATTATCACGTGGACCCACCGATTTCCCGAGTCACTGATTCCGAGCTCAAGGACTCATCTGGCTACAAACTTGCGCTTTGTCCAGATGTTGAATCCATCATCCGCGAGCTCGTAGAGAATAACGTCACCATTATTAGTGCCAGCAGAACGCCGACACCCCATATCGCCAAAAAAGTCTTGTCGTTGATCAAAATCAACGGTAAGCCCATGATCGAGCATTTCCACTCTTTGCAGTGGGGCGAGGGAACGAAGATCAAGCATATCTCGAGAGCAGTTCAGGATCTCGGGCTCGAGGACCATTTGGAAAACGGCAGTTTCATTTTGTTTGATGACGAGGCCAGAAACAGGGACGTGGAGTCGATCGGATGCCACTTTGCCTTCATCGAGGATTACAGGAGAGGCTTGACAAGACCGATTTTCGAAAACGCATTGAAGACGTGGACTTCGGCGCAAAAATAGCCGCTTCCACTTAAGCGAAGATGATACAACGACTGAGTGGTGTGTGATTATAGTATACAAATCATAAGTTAGCGACGTACTTGACAACAATGAGCAAGCGTAGTAGTAGGTAGCGCATGACAAGCATGACGTTGAGATTGCCATTAAATACCCTGTTGTATTGATTTAACAATGGATACAAGCTCATCACGGCTAGCATGGGAAGGAGGACGGATTTCTTTCTAAGGTGGTTAGTATTCTTTGAAGGACAATGAGCGAATACGCAAGCAGCAGAGTGCTTTAGCCTAAAGCTTTACAAACTCAAATATTTGAGCCGTCACCAAGGCTAAGCGTGTCTGGAGCCTCAAAACGCACGTCGTGTGAGTGAATGGGATACTTACTTCTGTCAAGTAGCTCTTTAAGGTTGCATCGCACCATTTGGAAGCATCCGCGGGAATCTTGTTGGTCTGTATAAGTGACTCAGTGGTCTCGTCTTCAGATGCGGCTTTTTCTTCATTTAACTGAACAACGTCATTTCCATCCTCTTCCTCGGCCGTTTCTTCCGAGAAGCGGGACAAAAGCGACGTCTTCAAATGAGGAAAGGTTTTGAAAAGCAAAACACCCGCTCCTATCACAAGAGCGCCAGTAGTGACTGTAGACAAACGAAACCTGTTTTTTTTGAGTTGAAGCGCCATTTCGTGAATCTCGCTGTGAAAGACAGAAGTACCGAATCCCGCGTTTTAGAAGCCACAAGATGGCCCGACTCCGCAAAACGCCGAGGGGTGTGCAGGTAAGAGGGCTCATAACAAGAGACTCGGATTAGCGGAGCGCTCCATGTCTGACCAAAGCTGTTTTGAGTGTTTTCATATTGATGCTGCATGTCACAAAGAGACGTATACAATGTTCACTTATTGTTTTGAGATGGGAGCTTGATAATGCTAACTGATGAACCTTTTGGGCCCCATGTCTCCTGAGATAAGGCGAGGTGGCACGTGACCCCTGTCGCAATCTCACGCGATACTTCTCACAGCAAAATTTGCAGCATCTGTTTCCCAAACTCATGCGATCAAAGGCTCTCGAAATACTATATGTTCCATGCAATCAAAACAAAACGACACAAAACAGTAAAAGAACCTGACATCTAGAAAGTATCAGAGAATCTTCGAGAACGTCTTCTGGGTATTGTCCTTTTTTCTTATTCCCAAAAGGGTTTCTGCCCCACTCTTGTGTGATCCCCGGTTTACCGCCCGCCTTCATGACAACACGCACAGAATCACATTAATCCTGAAACCAGAATTTTGAAAGGAACACAGGTCACGTGCAAATAGCCGCAGTATTTTAGGGAATTATTTTCTCGGATTTATGGGTCGCTGATGTCTTAAGCCGTTTATTGCGTGAATTAGCCCGTTGCGAACGGCGCCCCGTGTGCCCCACATAATGTTCAGGATAACAGTCGGATGTATATAGTATGTGCAGGACAGATATAAGGCCCCCTAGTTTCTTATTGTCATACCCCACGCATTTATGAGGGACACTCCCTAATTAGATTGCCAGGCACAAGTAAGAGAAGCAGCAACAGCAACCACGCTTACCCCACACAAGACACAACATAACCAAATCTCAGAAAGTTCTTATCAAAAGACCGAAATTCTCGCCGATTCGGAATTAGTTGCCATGAGCACCAATATTGTTTCGATCCTGGTGCTGTATGTTGGCGGCCCAAACGCCACGCAAGAAGAGTTCAACTCCCTGATTTCACGGGAGAAGATATTCACTCTAAAGTCAAAGCAGAAACTTGCTGACTTTGTTTTGAAGGGAACAATCCTCGAGAAAGTTTCCTTAGATACGCTTATCTTCAAACGGAGATCGAAAAAGCACAGGGCATACGTGTCCTTGGAATCTGAGTCAGATTTCAAGGAATTCCTTCGCAGTTCAAAGGTGAAACATCACATCAAACTCACCTTACGGAGAAAAAGCGAGAGCAGCGTAAACTCTGAGCGTGCTGTTTCTGTACATTCGATTGGCACAGAGACGGTGGAGCAGGTCCGTAAATTAGTCAACGACTTCCAAAAGTCTGAGATTTACGATATCTTAAAATCTTTTTCCAAATTGTACACTGAATCAATGAGTTTTGACGGGGTACTCCCAAGTGAAATAAACTGTGCTATGGCCCCTGGGATGAAGGGCGAAGCTACCAGTGAAGAGGCACACAGGGTAGAGATTGATCACAACATTGCTGGCGTCGTGCACCAAGGGGTTATATGTGACAGATGTCATCCCGAAGATAGCAATAAGTACATCAAGGGCTTGCGCTATAAGTGTATGATCTGCGATAATTTTGACCTTTGTTTGAAGTGCTACAAGCTCCACGAACGTCTAGGACTGCATTCTTCGCAACACTCGATGATTGCCATTGAGGACTCTCAGGTTTTTAAACAATACCTCCATTCCCTCGGCCTTTCATTCCAGTGTCGCAACCCTTTCACTGTCAACAAACTTATCAGACCCGCCCGTGTCGCTGATGAAACCCCAGAAGACATCAAGAGGAAGTCAGAATTGCCCACTGTGGTATCTGAACAGGCTGAGAGGTACACAAAGCTTGCCGCATTAGTGGATGGTACTGACGAAACGAAGTTTGAAAAGTTGAAGCTTTATATCGGGAAGGCACAAGAGGCCGAGAAAAAGGCGGAAAACTCTGCTAAACAAGAATTCGATAAGAAAACCAAGGAAATTCATCAGATTGAGGTCGAGACCGAAAGCGAGACTGATGCAACAGAGGAATGCGAGCTAGAGGAGGAATTCAAAAACACCAGTCCCGCTTCGACTGTGCCATTATTGATTGAAGTGGCAGTGGTGCCGAAAGGGAAGTTCTTATGCCAGATTCTTGTTATCAACAAAAGCGGAGAAACGATCAACTGCCACGACATGAATTTGAATGTTGTTAATTGTTTTGACATGGTCGTCGCAACCGTGCCAATTGAAAAGAAGCAGGGAATAGCTCCAAACAGAACTTCCAAATTCAATGTCTCTGTTAGCAACACACACTTCAAGTATCCATTCAAGATTGTGTTCAGCTCAGCTAAGCTCGCGGGCGAGTGTCAGCTCAGCTTGAAAAATATGAGCGGGATGGTTGCGTTGATTCCAACACAAAGAGATGACAGCATCACACAACCAGTAAATGTTGGCGATGTTTCCCTGGAAGACTTGAAAATGGAGGAAGTTGCATGTCATGTGTCGTGCTCTAGTACACCATCCCTTGCAACAGCTTCAGTGCATTCTATTCTTTTGCCCTCGTTGCCCAGAGAAGTACCCCTGGCATCATTTGTCGAGGACGAATCATCCGGGACTAACCAGGATATGTCGGTGTCGGAAGACGGGCTCGATGAAAACGAGGGAAGTGATGACTACGACTTGATAAGCGTTACTGATGCAGAGGATATGGATTCGGATTACGAGATCTTGGCTGGAGGCGACTTGGCCGAATAAGTGAGGTACTGGCGGTGAACAGGACGTTTAGACTGTATGTGTATGCGCACTGTCTCCAGGCTTCCATTTGTTCGAGTTCTAGAGGTGCTTTTTTTTTTTCAACACTCCGTTTTGTGTGACTGGCTTTGGGCTTGGTTACCGATGGAGTCGATAAGGCTGTCGCCGCACGGTCTTGTCCGTTTTTCTATCTAGCTTGATTTCCAAATACTGTCAACTGAATCATCGTCTTGCTCAACAAGCGGTGTGCACACAGACCCATGGCTGCGCTTGTCTCTCCACATCCACGCGGCCAGGACCGTCACTTGACCACGAAGACCCCAGACCAATATGGCCAACAGCAAGGAATCGGCGCCGGAAAGCGAAGGTATGTGTCACAACGCGGCTTGCTTCCCGGCCTCATCATATGTTACTAACATCTAGAACAAAAGTTCAAGATCAAATGCGAGGAGTTGCGCAAGCGTATCTCCGAAATGGAGGAAAGCAACGAGGTGGCCACGGTTGCCTTGCTGCGGACCCGGAACTCGATCCGCAGGCTCAGGCTCGAATATGCCGTGCTTTTGGAACGGCTCGAAACCCAGGTCGTGAGGATCCTGGAGGACGGAAACCCCAAATTGAGCGAGGCCATGGCCCGCCCGTTTTCGCCGGTCTTAACTGACGACAATTTGGAGGCCAAGCTCGCCAAGGTCAAGGTAGCCCGCCCCAAAAAGGCGCCAGGTGTGTCGCGGGCAGCATTGAAAAGAGCGGCACGTGACCCCAACCTCCCGAAACGGCCCACGAATGCATACTTGATGTTTTGTGACCGAGAAAAAGACCGTGTGCGGAGTGAGCTTGAGCGGCAAAACCCGGGCCAGCCGGCCACAGAACTCACGCGTGCGTTGACCGATGCGTGGAAGCTTTTGAGCGACGAGCAAAAGATCCCGTACCTTGAGTTGTACGAAATCGACCGGGAGCGGTATCAACGAGAAATGATGGTGTACAATGAGCAAAAGCACGATGAAACGCTGGTCAAGGGCAAGCTGGTGGCCCAAGCCTCGCCTGGTCTGGGCCCTGTGGAGCCGCAGGGATCGACCGAGCCAGGCACGCCGACGCAAAACGCCGAGGAAGTCGAGAACAACGACGAAAATGGCGCCGAGGACGAGGGCTTGGAAGATGAGCCAGAGGCGCAGGATGAGCTGGATGACGACGCCACGCTGGGGCTCAAGCGGGAGTTTGGGAGCTCTGTGGAAAGTGGAAGCCTACCGGAACAGGGGGCAGAAGGAGGTGCAGAGAAGAGACAAAAGGTGTGATGAACTTTGATTCAGTTTCTGTGGTGATGGAGCTAGGAATAACATTTCTGGGCATGCCATGGCCATTCTTTAGAAACTCCTAAAACGGAGATCTATGCACGGTCACTGGTTTGTTCTTGACATGTTCTGAGACTGAAGACGATTTCCGGACACATGTTTTATACAGAAGCACGTGTTTCTTAACAAACCAAGAGATCGTTAATATCATTTTCTAGGTCACCTCGTCAACAAAGTCCTAGGTAATTGGGTGAGTACGGCTGTACGAGGGGTACATACAATCATAAGGTATATGCTGAAATAAATTGCTGCGATAGGGACATGGCCAGTGTTATTTAGCTAAGGGCAGAGGGTTTGCACTTTCCGTGCCTGGCCTGACAATACTTCCAAAAAGTCAATTCTTATTGAAAATTGCTGGTCTCAAACAACACAAGTATTCCAAAACTTCTGAAACCTAAATCTCTAGAACAAAAAACTAGGCCCCGAGAACAAACCTTCACCAGAAGAATATCTTCTTCCATCATCACCCCAAACAAATCAAAACCATGCCTCACAAAAACCACCATGAAAATTTATGCAGTGATCGTCTAACACAATTCCAATGAGTCCTTCTTGTATTTCGGCATCTGCTCTACTTTTCCTTTTTTTGAGAAGCGAAGCAGCTGAAAAGAAGTAGGTACTTCCACAGTTCACATCGACTTTAAAAGTATCAAATTTGGTTGAACGCCCCTCATTTGTGAAATGTATACGATGACCATGAGATGTAAAAGATTCTTAGTGGGTAGATCAACTTCTAGAAGGTCATGAATTAGTTTAGACACATTCAGTTTGTCAAAAATGAAAAAAGTTTTGAGTCAAAACAAAGAAATAGACCACAGGAAAAAAAATCAACTATATTTGAAGAAGATGTCTACCAAAATATAGTACAACTGCAATGTCGAAGGAGTGTCGCAACAAAGCGATGGAGCACATGTGCTGTCTATCCTAAGAATCATTTTTAAAGTGTTCCTATGAAAAAAGCAGTGGTTATAGAGAAAGCCAATTGAGACAGGAGCTATACAGAGCTTTACCAGAAAAATGAAAAACATGAAGTTTTTACGTTTTTGCAAAACATTAGTCAATCTTTACGCTCGAAGATGCCAAAGGCTAGGAAAATAACTGACATGTGTCCTTCAGATTATTGGAGAATGAAGGCTTGGTGTTCCACTCCGAAATTGAAACAATCACATGAGCTCAATTATGACAAGACTCTGTCCAGTATGAATGAGATTAATAGGTAGTGTGGCACCATTCAATGTCAAATTATTACATTTCCTTCGTGAACACGTCCCTCAATGAGCTAAGATAGTTTGACACTACTCTGCATATGCTCATCACTGACAAGTGCCTAGAGAGGGCATCCAGAATCGTCAAGACATGCTATATTGCGTTGCGATGCTTTCTTTTAAAAAAAACCGACTAACCTCCTAAGGCCACCTCAAAATTCAACTACGAGAATATTAACTGAGACAATTTTATTACACCCTCTTAGAATTGGTATTACCGTGCCTGCTGGGACCAAGCTTGCCCTCCAAATGTTTTTCTCTAAGTCATTTGCATTACACTCATTCCAATTGCATTCTGAATGCACTATGCTCTATAACCCTGTAGTCGACATGGCTTGCAAGGGCAATCCGAGAATGCTGCACTGTCATACCATGACTTCCTGTACCTAATTGTGGAACCAAGATATTTCCTTCTCAGGGCATCAGTCCTAACAATTGAATACTGGGCAGGATAAGGAACCCCCAGTAATGAGGCTGTGATTCGAGCCTGTTATTATTTCTGGCTCACCCCACGTGAGATTCCAAGGGACCTCCATCGTCCCTTTTGATTGCAAATTGACGTTTCCCCAAACATCCAAGATACCCAGATAAGGAGATCAGGCCTCAAAATTAAATGTTCACCGCCCGAATTCAATCCAAAGATCATATGGAAAAATGACGATATTCTGTTTTTCTGAGGAACTTATTTTCTCTTCGCTTATAATCAGCTCGGAAGAATACACAGTGATGATACGTATTACCGAGGGAAAAATGACGCAGGACTGTACGTAGAGTATTATATTTTGACATATATTCCGCGACGTTATCGGGGAAAATCGGCCCACGCGTTATGAATTCTACTTGGCGAATTATTCCTAGGAAACAATAGAAGACGCAGTATCTGACTTTTGGGTTAAGGGTATCGCACCCTCGAATCTGATCAGACACAAGATTGAAGAGCGTTTCGTGAGGAATATCGAACATTGCTGAAAAGAGTCGTTTGTGCTTTAGAAATGATGAATTGATGACCTAACACTTTAATAAATTCGTCTACATTTCTCGCCAAGCAATCGTGCGGCTGTGCCATACTAACAGAACCATTTTGGGCATACAGTACATGTACTAACAATGCGCGGCTCAACCCTTTTAGTTGTTCTTGCCGAAAAACAGAGCTCAGTACCAAATAGTCTTGGCCATGCGTTAAATGTTGCGGACATCTTTGAAGGTTCCTGGGGATACAAAATGGAACGGAGCAGCTCTATGGCGTGATACATTGAGAGGAACAAGATTTTTCAATCCCTAACATCAATAGTGAAACACATATTTCTGTCTTTTGCAATCATTAAGTGCCGCGAACCCCCACCACCAGAACTTGCACTATGAAATTGGCTGTATTTGTGACATCTTTGTCAGCATTAATCAGACTGGCGCATGCTGTGGCTGTCCAGAACTATGCAGTATCTATCAACCACGAGATAGTGACGATCTCCAAACTTTTGCGATTTGGCGATTTCACCATCGCTAAAGACAAGCATCTTGCAGCTTGGAACAGTAATAAGGTTCAAATTAGTGGGAGCTTTCACAATGAGGGGGGATTCTACGTTACAAACACTGATAACTCAAATGTCTGGATGAGCATAGTCGGCGGTACTGTTGAAAATAGTGGAGAATTTGCCATTAACTCCTTATCTGCTACGACCAACCCTGGATTCTTAATCCAGACAAGTGAGGGATTTCAAAACACGGGTAAAATGTATTTTGGTGTTTCTGGTCTAACATCCGGATCGCGCCCTATCAATATTACTTCTAAGAGTGCTTGGTTTAACTTGGGTTCGATAATTTTTCGGAGTGAATCTGCATCTAAAGTTCCATTCCATATAGAGGGGAAGCTTTTTGATTCTCATGCAATTAAGAATCTAGGATCAATTTGTATGCGAAACGCTATATGGGAGACGAAAACATCTATTTTGGGAGGCGGCTGTATTAGTGTGGGCTCTGGCTCGTTTTTGGACTTGGCGCTCGGAAAAGATGAAATGCACCAAACAATTGAACAAACCATCATAATGGAGTCTGCTAGCTCGGAGTTGAAGATATCGAAACTTGACATGTATCAAATTGCTCCAGTTATTAGAGTTGTCGGGTTCGGAGGCAAGAATAGAATATATGTTGATGTCCGTATTGAGGGTACCGACAATCTCAAGTATTCTGAGAATAGATTAAGGTTGACAATCACCAACTCCACAATTTCTCTCCTTGACTTGGATATAGGCAGAGGGTATGATTCAATTCTGTTCAAGCTAACCCTGAGTGAAGGTGGTACTACGTTGTGGTACGAAAAGGCAGTCCCAGCAGATAGTCGTCAATACGACTGCGAGTGTGGGTCAGAGTTTCCTGTTCCACCACCAGTGCCTCAGTTCTAGTTTCTTTTAAGAAGCTGGAACTTTTTAAGTTGCTGTAATATTTTTTAAATAAATAATTTTGACATACCATCAGCTTTATTGTTGAGTGGGCGCTGTCCATTCTGGCATTTCCTGATTGGCCGAATCCTACTCAGTTGAGGAATGGTCTGCGACTGTTTGCTTTTAGTGTCTTTCTTTTGTGGCGCATTTGGAAGTACTTCACCTACTTAGCTTCTCGGAGTAAAAGTCATATTAAAGGACACCGTCAATTATCTCAAATCATAAACAACTCAAGACACAAATATGTAAGAGCTCCAAGTATCACAGTGTCAGCTAGACGAACGAAAGAAACATGTGCACCCTAGGGATTTTCAAAGTGCCTGGAAATAACAATGCCAAAATCGATTCTGAGCTTTCAAGAACTTGAATATCGCTTTTTTATAAAATAAACAAAGACCATCACTCAGGAGCTGCCTGAAGTAGTATCACTGGTTATCTTTGACCAGACGGAAATGTCTTTGCTATCTGATAAAGTGGCCCAACGAGGAACTCCAATACTTAGTCGCTTCTGACTAGCTAGGAAATTTAAACATCCTGACAAACTTGGCTCTCATACTTTTTCTTTTCATATATCTTAAAGCAGACATTAAATACCTTATTTACTCAGTTCTGCTGGCCCTCGTCGAGAAAGTGCACCACAATATGACCGAGTGTTTTTTCTTACTAATGTGATCTATACTGAGAAAATTTCTTAATATGTTCAGGAAGCTGTTACATCTAGCGAAGGCATGATTCTCGACAAAAATTCGTCCGGACAAAAAGCACAACAAGTCATCTTGAAATGCTTTTCTTATATCCCCAAGTTCTTGAAGCCCATGGAGTCTCACTAATTATTCACAAAACTCATATATAAAGCTGAATATACTAAAATAGAGTATTCAATATACTTCCTGTCTTGAAAGTGCAAGACTTTCCAAAAAGAAGCAATGTACCAGTTTTATAGTGCTCCCCCTGAATTGCAGAATCCCCGCCACAGACAGGGGGAAGATGACTTCTGAGGGGCGAATTTCAGTGTATTAATGACCATCATGATTATTTTTCTAATTGAAACCTTGGCGAAATCAATGCTTCATTTTCTGGGCAATTAAATCCTTTGTTCCGCGAGGCGCAGTAATAAATCTAACAATCTCAAAGTGGATACAATCAGAAGCATCAGTCGTCTAAACATCAATCTAAAGGATCTGTAGAACGTTTAGCAGTGTTTTGGAAGATTTTGTCGGAACGCTGACAATATTTTCTTGTCTGTCTCCTTTCTTGGCGCCTGAACTTTCCCCGCCTCAACTATATCATATGAAGTATAAATAAGAAGGAAAGAGCATAAGAGCATCTTCTTGGATTCGTGATTGAGATCTAGCTAAACAATATCTCTTAAGAAAAAAAATCAATATCATTATGAGATTTGCCATTCTCGCTGCATTAGTCTCAGCTTTCACAAGTCTGACAAATGCCATGACTACTATGGACAATTCAATGTCCATTACACACGATACATTGACAAAGGCCCAGACTGTGCGCTTTGGGGCTTTTAGTATCGCTAAAGACAAATAATTTGCAGCTATTAACAGCACGAACTTTGAATTGAAAGGAAATTCTGATATCAAAGGCAATTTATTTGTTACCAATACAGGTGATTCGGAAGTTCTGGTGCTTATAAGCGGAGGTAGTATTCGCAATTCCGGGGTAATTTCCTTCAATTCCTTATCGTCCTGGACAGTTCCACGTTATGAAATCAAAGCAACAGAACTTTTTGAGAACTCAGGAAATATGTACTTTGGTATTCACGGGTCCGATCTCTTAGTATACAGCTTCAATATTTTCTCTGAACAGCAATGGATAAACTCCGGCACCATGGTATTTCAGGGAGTCTATGGACGAAAAGTACCAGTGAAAATTAAAGGAAACAGTGAAAACAGACCACTGATAACCAATCTGGGCAAAATTTGTTTAAACAATGCTATGTGGCGGACGCATATGGGTATTGAAGGAATCGGTTGTATCAATGTGGGTCCCTATTCCCGCTTGAATTTTGTTTTCGACGAGTCGCAAATTAGAAACAGGCAAACTATTGTTTTAGACTCTTACTCTGAGTTAAGGATCTCAAAACTTGATTTGGCTTCCTCTGTCCCCTACATCAAAGTCGTTGGACTTGGAGAAAGTAATGGTGTTACTGTCGATGTGCGTATTGAAAGTGATAAAATCGATTATTCCAAGGACACTGGATTGCTTACCCTCAAGAAATCTGGTCAGGACATGATACGCCTTCGAATTGGCCGGGGGTATGACGAGAATAGATTCAATGTCACCTACAACTATTTTGGAAGCACCTTGGTTTACAAGCATGCGGCTCCAACATTAAGCTATGAAATTTGTTCATGCGATAGCAAGTTTCCTGATACTCCAAAAGTTCCTGCGTATGAGTCGTGTTAGACTGAATAAGCAATGTGGAGAACAACTTGTGACTGCTGCAGCCAGATTCACAATGCTTCGATATCGCTCTTCGTGTGAGAATTGGGCTCTTCTTATTTTTTCCATCAGTTTGTATGCCTTATGTTTATGTGGACATGTTCATTGCACCACTATCTTCCATTGTTTCGATAAAAAAACATCATTCCAAAATATTTCCTGTAATCTTGAAAAGCCTGTCACCCCATGTTTCTCAGAGAACGTTTTGCTTAGATCAATCGCACTTCTCGCTTCGCCGGATATTATATAAACTGAGCCTGCCTTGTAAGGTCCCTGGTATCAGCTTGACACTGATGGTCCTTGTAAGCGCATATATGGCTATATGCACTTCCATTACTGTTAGTTCCGTCAGATATCATTCTAGACAACTCGCAGAATATTCTTTCGCGCTAAAGGTTCCGTCTACGTGACCTCTGGGTAAAGTATATAAAGGTGGAATAGAACTCCTGTAGAGTTCTAGAGAAACCAGTGATCAAATAGTAATACATAACGCCTATGTCCCGTGAAGTCCCTAACATGCCTCGTCTTTTACCATCTTCGAGATTCCCTTATGTCGACTAGTCCAAACTCCAAGTTTTCGTTTAGCCCCTTCATATTCCATCGATCATATGAAATGCCAGTGTGCTAACATTACCAAACTTGACCAAAGGGCTTCTTCATAAAGTGTTTGAAGCGTCTTAGACGTAACATTTCCACACTGTGCTAACGTTGCTCGAAACTCCTTAAGCACGCGCAGATCCACATAACAGCCAGTAGAAACATTTGTTTTAAATCCTTAATTCTATCAAACTATATGCATTGTGCCGTCCGGGACTCAAGCCTGGTTCCTCTTCGTGCGCTTGGCCCGGTAGTAGCCGTTCTCGTCCTTGCGGTTCTTCCGCTTTTCCCTGAAGTTTCCGTGTCTCTTCAACTTGCGTCTTGCTGCAACGTCCGGAGCATTGACGGCCAACTGCGATCGCTTGACGCGGCGCTCTTGTCGAATACGGTCAATGTGTTGTCTGACCCCGGTGTGAATCTCCAGGTATGCATTAACACCCAACTTCTCCTCGAGCGCCTTGGTACTTTCTCTGGCCATGATCAAAACGTCGTTTTCCGCGTCCGAGTACGCATCCTGCTCTAGAATATAGTACATGCCAAACAAGAGCTGGCGCGCGACCTGGGCCAACTTTTCGGTCGGCACGAGATGCGCAATCACCGCTCCGAGCTGGATGGCCGATTTGCGGGCGACCAAGTTGCGGTCCGAACGCGTATCTTGCCTCATGAGAGCACACACACGAGCTAAGATGAAGTCAACGGCCAGAGCATAGCGGGGAGGCTCGTCCACTTCCGCGGCAGGTTCTGCTTCAGCGTTTTCCTCGTCGTCTTTGGTCTTGTCGATGACGTAGAAAGGCGTGTTCTCCTGCTGCCATTTGGTGACAATCTGGATCAAGTCTTTGACGACCTGTGAGCCGAGCTCGGGCGCCACCACGGGCGCGCCCAACTGGCGAAGCAACCTGTAAGCAATGGTCTGGAGCTGTTCGCCGGAAAGCGAAAACTCGAGCTTGTCCAAGTTGCCAAGAAGCACGCCCACCAACCGTGCAGCAAGGAGCCGCACCCACGTGTGTGGATACAAGATGGTGTCGAGCACGTGGCGCCAGATGGACTCGAAACGAGCCGTCAAGACCCCGCTGCCAAGCGACGCGCAAACACCAGAAAACACGCTCATCGCCGTGTACACGTCTTCCCAGTCGTTGTCGGATTCGGGGGCGCCGTTGCGGGCCAGGCGCGTGACGCCATCAATGAGCAGCAACGCCACTTGGTCAAGCCGGCCGCTGGCACCGTAGCCGAAGACGGACACGTAGACCTTGTACACAACGAGCCCGCAGCGCGTGAGCAAGGCGTTGGCCTTCTGGGTCATCCACGCGTGGATGAAGTTCTCCATGTCGTGGGCCTTGTCCTGACCGACCTTCTTGAGAAGACGTGCGATGAGCGAGGAGGCCATCTCACGGCATTTCAGGATGTCGTCCGCCACGGCCACGTTGGCCAAGCCCACGAAGAAGCTTGTGGCGAGCTGTGCGAGAAGTGTGTCGGAGGCCTTTAGGACGATGGAGTGCATGAGCTCCATGACGGACTCACGGCCCAGCTGGGTCGGGTAGGCCAAGTTGCTGACCAAGAAGCGGAAGGCCTTGTCGAGCTTGGCCGGGCCCTGCTCGTACTCCATCAAGAACTGGAAGTACAACACGCGCGACATGTCGCGGATCTCCTTGTTGTGGTTGACCACCATGATGCGCGACACCTTGTCCATGACCTCGTAGACCTCGGGGAGCAAGATGTGCTGGAACAACACGGCCTTGAGGAAGTTGAACGCAAGGCCCTGGTGGTCCGGGTCCTCCAAGTCCGGCATGATGCGCACAAGCACATACACCATGGCGCTGTCGCCCAACGTGACGCTGGACCTGTGGCGCACGAGCGTGGCCAAGTAGCGCAAGCAGGTCTGGCTGAGCTCGCTGGCGGTGGTGGCCAGATCCTGGAGCACGGCAAACGCACGCGTGGCGGTGGCGGCGAAGAACGCGTCGCGGGCGTCCGGGAAGTCGAGCTTGGCGACGAGGTCGAGCACGCGGAACAACGCCACGAGCAAGCCCTCGTCGTCGGCCTCCAAGCTGGCCTCCATCAACGGCACGAACGCGTCGAGGTTGGCCACGGTCATCAAGTGCGCGTGCTTGCCGAGCGCACTGCGCATGAGCTCGAAGCACAACTTCTGCAAGGTGAACACCACCTGCGAGCGGTCCACGTTGGAGTGCGTGGGCCGGGCGTGGGTGCGCACCAAGAAGTGCTCCTCGGCCTCCGTGGGCTCGGCGTACTTGCGCGTGGCGAACTCCACGCTGGTGGACTGCTGGTGGAGCTCGAAGCACAACACGAGCACATCGCGCGTGGCGGCGCTGGGGTTGAAGAGCAAGCCGTGCGCGTACTTGCGGAGGAGGTCGTCGAGCTTGCGGCGCGTGCGCAACGGGAGGTTGACTTTCAAGAGCATTTTGAGCGGCTCCACGAGGAAGCGGAAGCAGGGCAACGAGATGTTGGCGCAGAGCAACTCGCCGGTCTCGAAACTCTTCTTGGCCTTGACCTCCTTCATGGAGCTGACGTAGTCCTCGGCGTCCTTGTCCTGGCCCGCCGCGCCGAACACGTCCTCCATGATGATGTCCACGATGAGGGGCGCGGACTCGTCCAAGTCGCCCGGCTCCAAGTCATCGCGCACGGCCGCGAGCACCGCGTGGAGCGTGTAGCTCAACACGTGGATCTGCGCGCCTCGCGAGAGCGCGGACTTGAGCTCCTGGACCACGAACTTGAGGTACTTGGCGCCCACGATGCGCGTGGCGCGGCACAACGTCTTGCGCACCGCGTCCCTGGTGGGCTGGTAGCGCAGGCGCAAGGCCTGGCACGTGCTGGTCAAGGTGCCGGAGATGGCGGCCTCGGCCACGCCGTCCGCCACGCACAAGAGGCAGTTGACCGCGGCCTCCACCAAGAGCGTGCGGTCCACCACGGTGTCGTCGTCGCGCACACGCACGATCTTCATAATGGGCTCGAAGAACTCGCGCATGACCGCGTTGTCCGCGCGGGCCGCGTCGTCGGGGAACGCGGCAAAGCCGTCGGCGGCGGCGCCGGAGCGAAGCGCCCGCACCGCGGCCAGCATGCCCTGTGAGAGGTGCACCACGAGCCGGATGCGGTCCCTGCGGCCGGCCTCGTCGGGCAGGGCCGCGGCGGCGATGTGGCGCCGGAACAACAGGCGGAAGTGGTCCCAGCGCAAGCGGCGCACCACGTGGGCCCATGTGGCGTGGGTCTCGTCCAAGATGGGCCGCATCTTGTCGTCGTCGCACTTGGTGTACGACTCGGTCATGGGCAAGATGTAGTGGTGCACGCACTCCGGGCTGAGGCGGTCCGCCACGGCCGCAAGGCTGCGGATGGCCTGCTGGCGGCACTTCAACTGGATGTGCGTGAAGTTGGCGAAGAAGTCGTCGTCCGGGTCGTCTGCGAGCAAGACGCGCATGGACGCGAGCTCCGGCAACTGGTCGTGGCGGCGCACGGCAGCCGCCAACACGTGCACGTAGCCGTCCTTGATGTCGTCGCGCTCCTTGCGCAAGCCCGTGCGCAAGTGGGGCTCCACCACGGCGTGGAACAAGTCGCGGTGGGCCGCGAGGCCGTCGCCGGCCTTGGACGCCAACGCGGCGACGAAGCGCGTCAAGGTGTGCGACGCGTTCAGGCGGATGGCCACCTCGTCCGGGTCGTTGATGAAGAACAAGCAGGCCTGGACGATGGGGAGCCACTGGCGCGGCGAGAGCTGCGTGCTGAGGTCGTCGTTGATGGTACGGAACGCCCGCAAGCGGCGGTCGAAGTCCGGCTCGGCCATGCGCTGCGGCGAGTACGCGTTCAAGTCGGCCACGAGCGCGGCCACCGGCGCGAGGTCGGCGTGGTGGCGGCCGAGCACGGCGAAGATCTGCACCAAGGCCTCGCGCACCTGGCGGTCCTTGTACGAGCGGAGCGCCAGCGCACAGACGTCGTAGAGCACGGCCACGCCGTCGAAGGGCCCGTCGAGCCCGTCCACGATGGTCACCAACAGGAGGAGCAAGCTGACGCGGTCTGCGGCGGCGAGCTGTGCCGGCGGCTTGCGGATGGCGCTGGCGCACGCGGCCACGAGCGCGCGGCGCGTGGCGTGCTCCTGGACGTAGCCGCCGTCAATGATGAGGAGCAAGAGCGTGGCGGCGCGGGCGGAGATGTCCCTGTCGAGCGCGGCCTCGATGATGCGCGGGAGCACGGCCAACAAGCCGTCGACCACCAAGGCCAAGAGCGTGTAGTAGCGGTCGTCGGCGATGTCCTTGCGGGTGAACGCGGCGATGCAGAAGTCCAAGAGGGCCAGCTGCACCGGGTCCTTGGCGTGCGGGCTGGCGAGCAACAGCATCAACGCGCGCACGGCCGCGTGGCCGTCCAAGTAGAGGAACGGCACGAGGCGCGGCAGGCCGATCCAGCCCACCACGAGCGCCATGAGCGCGGACGGCTGCTGGGCGTTTTCCTGGGCGAAGCGCGCGAGGCGCGGCGCCACGAGCTGCGAGAAGATGAGCTCCGCATCGGCAGACCACTCGAACGACGCGGCGGTGATCTTGAAGAGGTGGTCGAGGCAGCGGAAGCCCACCAGGCGCACGGTGCGGGCCACCTTGAGCGTGAGCTCGTCGGGCGCGTGCGGCGCGTCGAGCGTCTTCTGGGCGCTGACGAGGGCGAACACCAAGGGCCGCACGGTGCGCGGCACCACGTGCGCAAACTTGTAGCCCAAGCCGCTGTACACCTCGAGGAGCATGTTCACGTAGCCCACCATGCCGGCGAGCGCGGCGCGCGACGGCACGGCGAGCTCGCGCGAGAGGAAGAACGGCCCGTGCTCGAGGTGCTGCGCGAGGATGTCGAGGAACTGCGCCACGGCCGCGTCCGGCAAGTTGGGCAACACCGTGGCCACGGCGAACTTGCGCCCGTTCTTGCTCTTGTTGTTGGACGCGCCCTTGGCCCGCCCGTAGAGGATGCGCAACACGACGGGGAGCACCGCGTCCGCGTCCGCAGCCGCGAGCCGCGCGTCCGCGTGCTTGCTGACGAGCTGCTGGAGCTCGTCGCGGAAGAGCTTGTCCTCGAGCAAGTTCTTCAAGTTGTCGCGGTACTTGTTGATGTGCGCGTTGTTCCAGGCAAAGAGCGCCTCGAGCGACTCCTGCTGCACGGCGGTCTGCTTGGACGAGAGGTTCTCGAGCACGAGCGCAAAGAGCGCGTCGTTACCGGGCACGCGGGCCAAGCGCTTGAACTTGCCGCACACGCCCACGAGCGCAAGCTTGTCCTTGCCGGACCACGAGGCAAAGGCGGCCTGCGCCGCGGGGTCGGCGCTCTGCAGCCGCACGACGTACTGGACGAACTCCGCGCCGTGCTGCTCCACGACGTACGCCACGGCCTGGAGCGCCTTGATGACGCGGGCGCGGAGCTGCGGGTTGTACGAGCGGGCGCTGTTTTTGGCGCGGGCGATGGCCAAGAGCAGCAGCAAGGCGAGGGCGCTGGAGGCGAAGACTGACGCCTGTGCGGCGGCGATGCTGGCGGAGAGCCGCTCGTCGAGGACCTGGAAGACGGGCACGGACGCGTTGGGTACAGACACGTTGGGTACAGACGCGTTGGGTACAGACGCGTTGGGTGAATCCTCGTCGGGTACAGACACGTCGGGGATAGACACATCGGGTAAACCCTCGTCTGATGCATCTGGTCCAGCCACATCGGGCAAACCCTCGTCGGTCGCCCCGGGCACAGACACGTCCCTGGACCCGGGCTCCGCCTTGCCGCCCAGAGACCCGTCCTCGGCCCCGAGGTACGCTTGCGGCTGGCTGCTGTAGTCGTACTTGACAAACGCAAAAAGCGCGTTCCAGAGCGGCTCCAGGCACCCGCACTCGGCTAGCTGCGGGAGACACTCGTACACGGCCAACCAGCAGGGCTGGAAGTTGTTGCTCAAAAGCCCAACCACATACTGCGAGAGCACAAGCCGGTCGCCAGGGGTGCGGTCCTTGACAAGCGCGAACTGCGACACGGCGTGGCGGATGCGCATCTTGATGTCGTTGGCGTTGGCGACCGTGAGCGGCACGGCGTCAATGACAAGCACCTGCGACACGGCAAACGGCACCGCGGCCCCGGCGCACCGGTGGAGCTTGGCCAAGAAGCTGGCCGTGGCCGTGCGCACCTGCCGGTCGGGCAGGCTGAAGTTGTGCGCCAACATCGCGCAGAGCGGCTGCATGTCCGCGGCTAATAGCGGCTGCAACGCGGCCTGGTGCTTCTCGAGGAGGCGCGTGGCGCCACTCAAGAAGTCGAGCGACGCCCGGCACGGCTCGAGGCAGTTCTGCACGAACGTGTACATTTCCGCCGCGGCCAGCGACCCGGCCTTGGAGAGCCGCACCGTGACGCTCATGCTGGTGCCAAGCACGTCGTGCAAGAACGGCGTCTGCGGCAAGCTGCGGTCCGAGAGCGACTGCAAGATGCGCAACGGCGTGGCCAGCTCGCTGCCGCCCTCGGGCAGGAAGCTGAGCAACTTCAACTTCCAGAAGAGGCCCTGTAGAACAGCGCTGCAGAAGGGTTTCTGGATGTCCTGCTCCATCATGTCGAGCAACTGCACGGAGAGGAAAGAAGGGAGCACAATGTCGCCGATGGCCTGCGGCGCCACGGCCTCGAGCCGCTGCAACTTCTGCGCGAAGCTGATGAGCTGCGCGTCGCTGCTCGTCTTGTTGAGGATGGTCTGGAGCGTGCGCGCGGCGCCAAAAGTCGCCATTTTGTCCGGGGCGCTCGTCACGGCAAGCTCGTAGAAGCTGAGGTAGTACTGGACGTGCGTGCTGCTGGCCAAGAACGCAGACATGGACTCGAAGTGCTTGGAAAGATGCTCGAGTGGGCAGTTGCGCACAATGGTTGCAAAAAGATGCGCAAAGAGCGCCATCAACGCGGGCGCAATTTGGTCGACTGAGCGCGCAACCAGCCGCGCCTTGTGCACAAGCGCCTCGACAACAACAAAAACGGCCGGCCAGTCCAGAATCTTCTTTCCCGACTCGGCAAAGCACACGGTGATGAGGACCTGCGCCACGTATTGGAGAGTGACCTGGGACCGCGTCTGCGCGACCACGTCCTCGAGGTACGCCATGCAGCTGGCGTGGAACCGCTCGCATGCGCGCGCAGAGCCGTGTTTCAGTGCCTGGAGCATAATGTCGCAGAGCGTGCCCACGCATGTATCGCTGCGGGATGTGTCGGCCAACGCGTTTTCTAGCAACGCGGAAAACACGCCGCCTGCCCTCAGGTGGAACGTGTCCTGTGTATTCTTCATGGCCTCGCTGAAAAGAGTGACCAAGGACTCGCGGTAAAAGCTGTTCTGGTCGAGCAAGTCGCGGTTCGTATTGAACAAGAAGCGCACGGCCTCCATCAACGGCTCCGGCTTCAGTTTCTTCACCAAAAACGACACTGCCTCCGCGCAGAACCGCAGCACGTACGTTTTCTTGGTCATCTGCAACACGGGCAAAAGCTGCGCGAGCGTCGGCGTGAGGTCCTCGGTTAGCACGCGCGCCAAGTACTTGAACGCAAACGCCAAGGTGTTGAAGCACCACTCCAAGACATTGGACGTGTTGCGCATGTTCTGTGCATCGTTGGGGCTGGTCTGCTGCGCAAGGTCCACCACAAGCTGCAAGAACGGCCGGTAGAACGGCATGAAGTCGGAGCCCAAGTCATGCACGAACTGCGCCATGAGCTCCAACAACGGCTGGATCAGATTGACGTCGTTCTTCTGGATGTGTGCGTGCAAGGCCTCGAAAATGCGGGTTTGGTGGTGCAAGATCTGCGGCAACGTCTGGCACAACGGCTCCACCTCGCGCAAAAAGTCCGTGAAGTCTCCGCTGATATTGACCTCTTTCCAGTGCTCGAGCGTGGCAAGGAAATGGGACGTTTCCACGTAGTCGTGGGCCCGCGCGTTGAGCTTGCGGCTGGGCTCGATTTTCATGGCGTCCACGCGCTCCTTGAACGAGCGGAACGCATGCCTTCTCTCCTTGGGTGCGTCGGCCATCTCGGGGACAGAAACAGAAGATGTGAGAGGGGCAAATGCAGAAAAGCGAGGAGCGAGAGATAGGTTTGCCTGCCATGTCCGGGGAATTTTTCGCAGCGCATCTCATCGGGAGGCCCGCGGAGCGGCGTGGTGCACGGGTGCGGCATGTGGCAACAGAGCGCGCGCCCAAGCCCAACAGTCAAATCAGGAAGTAAGAGTAGTCAAATCAGTCAAATCAGTCAAGCCAGGCAGCAAAACCAGGCAGCAAGACCAGGCAGCGAAATTATACGACAGTCATATCATCGAGCTCTGCGTGAGTTGACGACGGCTGGACCGCCACATTTGGCGGGTCGGGCCTCGCTTGGTGGGGCAGGGAAACGGCAGCCGCCGGGCAGTCACGTGGCTAGAGGCACGTGGTGCAAGGCACGTGGTGCAAGGCACGTGACTCGTTTTAGTCACGTGACCCGATTGAGTCACGTGCGCCGGTTAAGTCACGTGCGCCGGTTAAGTCACGTGTCCCCTCTCACGTGCGCCGCATCACCCCCAGTTCAGTCCCCCGAGCCCGTCCCCAAGGCCCCAAACCACCAATTTCCCCCAAAAAAAACCCTCATTCACCATGCTGAGTGAGCAGAGCCCGTTGCTCGAGCAGCCCCCAGCAGGCACCGCGCCGCCCGCGTGGCAGGCCAACAAGACCGGGTCCAGGCTCTCGCAACTGCCCAAAATCGGGCTCCAGAGAACCAGCCGGACCAGCCAGAAATTGAAGCTCTTGCCCGTCGTGCCGGACCTCGGGGCCGAGGACGACGACGGCCTGGACGAGGCGCCGTTTGCCGCGGCCGGCGGCCAGCGCCACGGCGTGTACTCGCAGGTGACCAAAATCAAGGACCGGCCCGCACGCAAAGACGCCGAGATCTTGGGCAAGCTGCACCGGGACCTCTTGCCGCGGGTCACGGCCTACTGCACGTGCGGGCTGTACCGGATGAAGGAGCTCTTGCGGTGGTTGAAGGACCGCAAGCGCATCCACAACACAGGCCCCCGGCTCTTCGACGAGTGTCTCTATTCGCCGTTCACGTACAAGGACTGGCGCAGCGACTCGGACGGCGGGTCGCGCAAGCTCACGCGGTTGGCGGACGACGGCGGCGAGATCGAGTTCGGCACGAGGTCGGACGTGTTTGTGTTCGAGTACGGCGTGGTGATCATGTGGGGCTTCTCGGTCAAGGAGGAGCACGCGTTTCTCGAGGACTTGGCGCGCTTCGAGTCGGAGAAGTTGCTGGCCGAGGACATCCAGGTGGAGGAGTTCAACTACTACATCACCACGTCGTACCAGCCGCGCATCTACAACGACTTCATCACGCTCCGCGACGACAACAACCACATGTTGAAGCTCCTGGTCTCGCATGCGCTCGCGCAGCTGGTGAAGATCTCGCTTTTCGAGGAGCTCGTGGACAACACCATCGAGGACACGCACGACATCCCGCAGCAGATTGCGCACACGGGCAAGGTGGAGATGACGCGCGACGAGACCATGAAGCTGATTGGCGAGCTTTTCATCTTGCGCATCAACATCAACTTGCACGGCTCGGTGCTCGACTCGCCGGAGCTCATGTGGGCCGAGCCGCACTTGGAGCCCATCTACCAGGCCACGCGCGGGTATCTTGAGATCAACCAGCGCGTGGAGCTTTTGAACCAGCGGCTCGAGGTGATTTCCGATCTCTTGCAGATGCTCAAGGAGCAGTTGGGGCACTCGCACGAGGAGAACCTCGAGTTCGTGGTGGTGTTGTTGGTGTGCATCGAGGTGGTGGTCAGCGTGGTGAACATCGTCGTGGATATTCTCACCTACTGAGAAGGCCGTGTGGGTTTGAGTGAGGCCGTGTGGGTTTTAAAGGGCGTGGGTTTTGAACTGGCCACATGGATCTTGCAAAAACATCCACAGCACAGGGACCCAAAAAAGCCGCACGTTCTGCTGCGTTTTGAGGGCAGGCCCCTTCTTGTTCGGCTGGCGTGGGTGGGAAAGCAGCCCGCCCCAGTTTGTCGTGGACCGCAATTTTCTCTCAGACAGCGCCTGCTCGACTGGCTTGGCCCATGAGCTAACTTGTGTCTGAAACAGAGGCTATTACTAAGGGCGAACTGACACTACAAAGACTGCCACATTCCTAGCGCAGACATGGCCATGAGGCCAGACGCCAAAGCACGGTAGACCAAATTTGCAGAGGGGCACGGATGGCAGGGACTGAAAAAAAGGCTTGGTCAGAGCCACTGCTGGATTCTCCAAAGACTACGTGTTTGGTGCTACCGCGCTGCTTCGGCCGCACGCACGGGCTACTGATCTTAGGGGTGGGTTTCCTTTTTTTGCGTTCGACATGCGTTGAGCTCGCGGTGAAACTTCAGATGAACGACAGCAAGAAAGCGCTGGCGCCTGGTGCACTCGGTAAGAAGCGAGGCCGCATGCGCCACACCACGCTCCGACCAGTCGTACCCCAACGATGTGTATTTCCGAAAGCGCCAGAGGGACCGCAAGACGTGCCCCTTCCATTTCAAAACGTGAATAATGCATCAGGGCCCAGGGTCCTGTTCTGGAACATGCTCTGAGTGCCTTTTGCCTCGAATGCAGAACATTGGGTCGGGATAAGACACAACAATTCCGCATTGGGCTAGCCGTCCTGTTTCTGCGCGAAGCACGATAACGTCATCAGCAAATCTGCGAATGCTGCAGACTTTTTGTCCCAGTGAAGTAACCTGTATGCAGCAGTTGTTGAGGGAATATAGGCTGTCTCTTATCCCCTTCGTTTTGCTTGCGGCCGCGACCGCCTCCGCCTATCCAAAAAGACACCGCATACGATTTCTGCCGAAGCCGGATCTGGGAAAAGGACGCAAACTTTGCTGCAGATGAGGCGAGTGCCGAGTTGCTGCTGCAGAGCGGGTAATACTCATCATCGTCTGAATGGGGAGTAGTGTGGCGGCATGTCTCGCGAAGCAGGGCCTAGTGTGCCCGAATCCTGTGTGCCGCGCCAGCCACTCGCATATTGTCTCATCCGGTCTCAAATATCTGCATACAGCGCCGGCCGCGAATGGATGCATGTATGTCTCGCAAATCATGGCGGGTGCGCGCATTGGCCACAACCTCTTAAAGCGGGCCATTCCCTTGGCCACAGAATTCGCCGGTTTTTGCTCCCAGACATTTATATACCCGCGAGCGACTGCAAAACCCGAACTTGCCCTTTTGCACGCAAACCACTCCACCACTTCCAGCAGCCTCCTGTTTCGTCTGAGAAATAGCACTCTGGCCAGTTCAGCAGCGTTTCGGATCCCTGAGCCTTTTCTTTTTTTTACCAGATTCAGAGTTGTCCATCTCCGTCCCCATTCGCCACTAAGCGACATTCCCCGACCATGGCAAGCACCGAGCCCCAGCCCACGTTGATCCGGACCAGCCGGCTCTCTCCGGACTACATCCGCGAGAACTTGGACAAAATCAACGTGCCCATCAAGTTGAAAACCGACCGCAGTTTCGGCCAGATGGAAACCGACTGGACTGAGGAGGAGGTCAGCAACGAGAGGAGGCTTGTGTCCTTGCACATCAGCCGTGAAAGCGTGACTACGTTCAACATCTGCTTTTCCCCGGTGGCCCCGGGCGCCGTCGCCAAGGACAACACAGACTTGATCATTTCCTGCATCCGATGGGAGGAGAAGGACGTCATGGTGGTGACCTCGGTCGACATCATACTTGTGCTCGAGGCGTTGGTCGGAGAGTCGTTTTCCGTGGACGAAAAGAGCCGCATCCGCCGCAACTTGCAGTTCTTGAAGCCCAGCAACATTGCACGCGCCACGTGCGGGCGTCTTTTCAGCTCCCTCATGGCCATGGACAACCCGCGCCCAAGGAACATCGAGAAGGACGTCAAGGTGTTCCGCTGGAGCAATTTCTTCGACGCGTTGAACAAGGTGTTGTCCAAGTTCTCGGCCAACCCCGCGGTGTTTGCGGCGCAGCGCCCGGCGCCCTCGCAGGCGTTCTACGACGCGGCCATGCACCCTCCCAGCACCCACCATGTGCCTCTAGCGTACGCGGCCGGCGGGCTTCCGAATCCCACTACGCACGCCCCCTTCACATCTGCAGTGCCCGTCCAGGGCACCGTCTTCACCGACCTCCCGAGGCACATGGCGTGCCCGGCCCAGGCCTGCCGGCCGAGGCCTAGCCGGGGAACTCCAGCCGAACATGCCGCGCGTGGCCAAGCCGAACTTGCCCTACGTGCAGCCCGGCCCCTGGGCCAACTTCCCGGCCCAGCTGCAGTACTACTCCAGGTCTGAGGCGGGCCTGGGCTCGGTGCTCGCCTCAGACACCTCCGGCAACCTCACGGACTTGTCGCTCAGGTCAAGAGGCCACACCGCGGGCACCTCGGCCGGCACGCCTGCGCTGGATGGCCGGGCCGCCGCCAAGACCTCGGCGAACGACGGCTCCGCGTCCGACAACTCCGCGTCCGACAACTCCGCGTCCTTGGACTCGGGCTTCGCCAATACCCCGGGCCCGGCCGGCATGGCGCGCAAGGACAGCGACCTGCTGTCTCTCTCGTCGTCGGCCAGCGTGTCCAAGTTGAACGGCGCGGGCGAGCAGTTGAGCTGGGCCAACATGAAGGAGCACGACCGCCAGTGGGCCGAGCTCTCGCACAACCACGAGCATGTTGTCCCCGTGGATGGCCCCGTGGATGGGCCCGCCAAGCTGTCGCTGGAAGACAGGGCCGACTCGCTCAGCGACGGCTACAGGCGGCGCAGGAAGCGGCGGCTCCCGACCGTGTCGTCGTCCCTCGACCGCTCGTTCCCCCTTCCGAACCCGCAGCAGATCGAGATGTACTCGCAGCAGTACGACAGCGTGGACCTCGACACGCGCTCCACCAGCCCGCAGAACTCCTCGTCATCTGGTTAAACTTCTTTGCATTTCATTCACATAGACTCTTGTACGGTAGTATACGATTCTCGCTTCGCCGGGACCGCAGCGTTCAAAACATGTCTGGTTTTGAATATCTGTCTGTTCTTTAAAGTATGCCTTTTCTTGAGATCCTGAGGATCAGTGCAATCTTCGAAGTATGCCTGTTATGAGTCTGATCGTTAGTTATTGGGCTGTTCTATGCCTTTTCCCGAGAAACCTGACTCAAAATACGTCTATAACTGCCTGTTCTTCATTATTGAACAATTTTCAAAGTATGCCTCTCCTCGAGAACGCCTGATCCGAAACATGTCTGATCTTGAATATCTATCTGTTTTAATTTTGTCTGTTGATATTTGGATGGCTACTTTTCAAAGTGTGCCTTTTCTCGAAAACACTGATTCAAAGCATGCCTGTTCCTGAAAAACTGGGTAATCTTCGAAGTATGCCTGTTTTGACTCTGGTCGTTGGTTGTATGGCTGTTTTTGAAGTATGCCTATTCTCAAGAATGCCTGATCCAAAAATGCCTGTTTTTGAATATTTGCCTGTTTTGACTTTGTCTGTTGATAATTGGATGGCCATTTTTACAAGCATGCCTCTTCTCGAGAACACCTGATTCAAAATATGTCTCTTCTTGACAATCTTTTGTTCTTAAAAATATGCTTTTTCTCGAGAAGATTTTCAAAACATGCCTCTTCCTGTGAATCTGTGTAATCTTCGATATATGCCTGTTTGAAATTTGCCTGTCGTTGATTGTTGTTTTTTTTAACATATGCCTCTTCTCATGTTAGTCTGGTCCAAGAATTGCCTGTTCTTGCGGACCTGCCTGTTTTTGACTCTGCCTGTTCTTTAGAATATGCCTTTTCTCGATATGTTCATGCAGATGTGCCTGTTTTGACTCTGGCTGTTGTTGGTTGTATCGCTGATTTTGGAGTATGCTTTTTCTCGAGACTACCAGAATCAAACATGTCTGATCTTGGATATCTGTCTGTTCTTGAGTATCTGCTTGCTCTCAAAATATGCCTGTTCTCGATTTTGTTCTTGAATATCTGCCTGATCTTTGAAATGTGCCTGATCTGGACAATTTCTGATTCAGAATGTGTCTATGCTTGCGGATCTGCCTGTTCTTTAATGTCTGTCCTTGAGAAAACGCCCAGTCCAAAGCCAATCCGCCTAGTTTGTATTTCCATCAGATATTTCAACTTGTCTTTTTTATACTCTACCTTTCCTTGAGCTTGACCCTAGAAAACACCCTAAATACCCCTTTGCCCTCGAACATCATATCGATACACCATAAATATGTCGATATACCCAAAAGGGTTGATGCGCTCAGAACCTGTGTCCATGAAACTTCACGTTGCCCGTGACTCTCACAAATAGGTTCTAAAAGTCGTCAAATATCAAGCTCCATGTCCATAAATCCTACTCTGTTTGGAAGCCCCATAGTAGGACCTCTGCACGGCTGCTCCACATAAGTAAACTCTTTACTTCGAATCTATTTGAATTGCGCCATCAACATTGTCGTTTCCGTCCGCTATGGAAGCTAGGTTCATATCCTATGGATAGCTGTCTCTGTAAATACTGCTTCACCGACATCAATGCCCTTGGAAGTGTCTCTCGAGAATGCTGCAGTCGAGGTCCATTCCACAGCCCGGCCCAACCCTTGAACTCATCTGCTATTTACTATATACGAGCTACTGCTGCAGTGTCTAGTTCTTATGCCGAAGGCCGTCCTTGAAGTCATCAGTGCTCTCGATTTTCGGCGCTTTCCCCGGCTCAATCGTGACCACGTTTAGGTAGTCCGCTGGCTTGTTCTCCACCAGCTTTTCCGGCACAATCTGCACGTGGCTGGCCGGCGTTAGGCGAGGCAAGTCGAACTTGCGCTCGAACGACTCCTGAGGCACGCCGGACTGGAGCAAGATGGTGCGTGGCCCCACGACCTTCACGAAGTCCTGGTTGCCGATCGCCTGCTGCATTGAGCGGCCACGGAACTTCCGCAAAAGGTCGAATAGCCGCCAGTAGTAGTATTTCAGCTGGGTCCACACGTCGCGCCACGTGTTGAGGCTGGCCGCCTGGGGCGGAGGCACGAGGACCACGTTTTCCATCTTGACGGGGTTCTTGTGTGCCACGATGCAGTTTTCCAAGTCATGGGGCCCGTTGACCGAGATGCCAAGCAAGTGTGCCCTGCTGACAGCAATCAGCTCGCCCTCAGCAACACTGGCCGAGTACACCATGCCGTTGCCTACCAAGCCAAGCGCACCGCGCCCGTGGACAAAGGTGTACCCGGGCCGATACCAGCGGTACAAGCCCGTGGGCTCGCGCAGCCGGAGCTTCAAGTGCTTGCTGAATCTGCGCGAGATCCTCGCGGGCACCCGGCGCATGGAAATCTCTAGGGACGGCCCCGCGTACACCTGGAGCGCGTCGCGCTTGAAGAGCGCCCAGTCGGCAGCACCATCCAAAGCGAGATTGGTGAACGACTTCTGTGTGGTCCGGGAGAAAAGAGACGGGAACCAGCTCGGCGAGCTGGCCAGAACAAGCACGCTGAACGGCTCGGTGCCGACGATCTCCTGGTACCGCAGCACGAAGTTTCCAGACATGAGCCTCTGCAATGGTGCTAGCAACCGTGATTGGAAGCGCACGTGGTCCATGTTCGCCTGGAGCGTCATCATCGTGTTTCGCCTGATATACACGGGTAGAGATGGGGGGGCCGCCACGGAAAGCGCCTGGGGCGGCGAGCCCAAAGCCTCTAGCCGCACGTCATCCACGGATCTGAGCGTCGGCAACTCCTCCACGGCGTCCAAAGCAGGCAGCAGGTTGACGCCGGGGAAGACCACGGGCACTGGGCCCAGTGCTTTCGGGGCCTGGTTAAACGAAAGACCGCGAGCCCAAAAAAAGCGAGGCTGAGCAGCCCTGGCGGGAAGCACAGCATAGGAAGTCATTCTCCTGACACAAGCAAAGAAATTGGGGGCTATGTGTGTGTTTTTGGTGCCCTTTTTGCTGGCTGTAGAGACTGGTCTAATTGGCCCTGATGGATTGGGCCACTGATCGTGGCGCGCGCGGACGTCTCCCTTCTGGCGGTGATTAATGTTGACATGGGACTTTTCACAGATGGTGTCTCGAGAGAGAGTGGACCTTTCAACGCATTGAGGGTTATTTTTGAGAAAGATTGCCTGGTTCAACTTTTTCTTTTTTGTAGTGTGATCACATAATTGTTTCGCTTGCTATTTTCAGCGTCATCAACGGTGGATTTAATTTTAAGTATTCGGTGCGAAAATGGAAGGTATCGTCAAAGTGCCGAGGAATGGAGGCCAAGGAGACGAACAGAGGGATAATCATAAAGAGGCAGGTTTTCAGTGACAAGCGTTTGCTATGGAAATCAAAACACCTGAAAGCCAATAATTCTTGTCTTTTGTTATTTCCAGAAATTGGTACAGGTCAAACCAAAGGCTTGTAATCCCGCCGGCTTTTGCTCTAGCCTAAGAACCATCGGAATCAAAGAATTTCACCCGTAATGCCAGGTTTTGAAAATGGAAAAGTTTTCTGATATAAAGAATAGTGTCAACGAAAAGATGTTTTGGGCTTGGGTCAGATATGCCTGGCGGCGAAACCCCTCGATAGCGCGTTTCGAAAATTCCCGACATGTGTTGACAAGCTTATTCCGCAAAAAGGCTGTAGAAAAGCAGCCCTTGATTATTTGACGCTGAAAATCCTGTTGGCAGCTTTTTTTGTTTTGCCATATCTTGACACAAAGAAGCTGTGGTTCATGCGGATCTATTTTCCTAGGCGGGCCGCGATATATGGCTGCCAAAATCACCTGACTCAGAAGACAGATACTACTTCGGCACATGTGTTGTTGGTCCAACGGAAGAAACAGAAGTCAGTCAGCATAAGAAAGTCGGGTCTGGTGATGTGACAAAAAAACATGGTTGAACAAACGAAAGAGAAAAATCAATTAAACAACGAAACCTGCCACCTATCTCCCAAAGCCCGGCTTAGGCATAATATAGTAATTTACCTGCAGCTGTAACCCCACTTCCCAAGAGATATAACTTTTACTAGAAAAAAGATATCTAGGAAAAACTAGCGTGATGGAGGCCTGGAATTCGCAGTGTCGAATATTTGATTTTTGGGTGTTGCATATGATATAGCGGAACTAGCATATCAGTTTCCTTGCTGAACGGCACCAGAGAAGACGTACGTGTGAGTTGCAATCAATATCTTTGATCCCTAAAGAAGTTACGTGCTTAATTTAGAAATTTCTGTAGGCCAAAATACGCAAGACGCATTTCCCGTCTTCTCTCTATTCTTTTGCTTCATGATTTATGTCTCCACGTGTTCTTTCATACAACTCTGTTCATTTTATGACCTTTGCTTACAGGAATGAAACTCAAACTGAAAATCATGATCCCTTTATCCTAATCTCGGTATGAAACGATCTACGTTTGACAAACTTCACGACATTTTTCAAAAAAAGGACACCACTGAAGCATCACACATCCACAATTTAATTGAATATGGGGGAACATGGGCAGAATCGGTTCTTCATTGCAAAAAAGCCACTTTCTTTCCAAACTAAAGTTGTGCTTTATGAACATGCAACAATCGAATGACCTACTTTCATAAATATCTAGGAAGTCCTTTTTAACCTTTTTTTAAAGAAACATCATATTATAGGGTGTCACTGGTCGCTGGAGAGATGTAAAACTTCACCAACAACAAAAAACTATGAAGAAAAAACCTACTATTGATCGCAAAATTGGCTCAGGTGAAAAGCCGTGAGCACCAATTCACGAAATCTCCCAAAGAGGATGTCCTCAAAAAGACTTCTGCCTATAACCAATGTCAACCACTTGAATAAAATAAACTAAATGCAATCGTCCGATAGGATATTTTTTCCTGAGGGCCCGTGACCATAGTTCATTTGACAAGGCGGCAAGACGTGTCCTCAAATGAGACACGTGGCGAGGTTGAACTATGATCTACTGTCTCCTATAATCACGACCTTGAGTTACCGGAAATATACATTCTACGTCCTTTGGCTTATCTTTAGCAATATCACGCTTGTGAGTGGTAGTTGAAACTCCAAAAATTGATTGGACAATAGAATGATTTAAAAATTCCGAAGGTATTTTACGTTCTTTGTTAATCTTGAAGTAGCTTAGTGAGAGAAAAACTTTTCGCACCTGCCTTTTTTTAAGATAAAAATATTTCTCACTGTAAAATCCTCAAAACGAGACAAATATTAAAAGTCTATTTCTATAAAGTCCTTATGTTTAAGACAATAATAGCAAAACAATCCTGTCCAAAGTTTAGCAGGTGCTCCAGTGGCGCAGAGGTTAGCGCTTCGTGCTTATAGCTGGTTACGACTTGGTTATACCAAAGTCACGGTCGTGTGAGGAACGCGATGGTCGTGGGTTCAAACCCCTCCTGGAGCATTTGTCCTTTTTTTCCATACTTTTTATTTATTCCAGGATAGACATGGGGCTCAATATTTTTTTGGTTCTGAATGAATACGTTACAATCAAATCTTTTCAACACCAGGGGACCGGTGGTGTATTCACTAAAACTTGGAATGATGACCAATTCAATGAGTTCTCAAACAACCTCAAGGAAACAAACCATGGCAAAACTCCCATTGATCTTGATGGACTGAAAGATCTCACATGAAATGATTGCCATGCCTTTATTTTTTATCTACGGAATGATATAGGGGACCTCATTAGAAGTATACAAGAGATCACTCGAAAGGTTGCCTTTCCTTCATTGAGCGGTATTTTTGTAGGAGCACTGTGATAGAATAGTCAAACGTACATCTGAAGTTGGTTGGCAAACTTGAAATATTTTAGTTAGTTTAAAGGGCCTACAAGATTTACCCAGTAAAAACTACTGAAAGTCATCCGGCCGTTTGGCTTGCACAGCAACGCGAAATTGATCGGAGTAAATATTCTAGATGCTTCAAGTCATTTTCGTGAAGCCAAAACAAGAATGATATGCCCAATAACCTCTTGGATCTCTTTGGAGATTTAAAGCACAATAAGCTGCTTGTGAATATGTAGCAACATAAAAATACATGACTCATCAAAAGTTAGAAATGAGAAACATGTACGATCTCATTATCACTTCGACAAGCCCATAGACTTGCATATCCTAATTATCTCTGCCCTGAAAGATCCGTTTCTGGAGGTGTCTAGCTGTCCGCTCTCAAGAAAAGGCACATAGCCAAAAGAGCCATCATGCGAGATATACCTATTATGTGGTGATCGAAGTCCGTAACGAGATGGCAATACACTGAGATGCGCTTGTTTGAGTCTTGTCAATAGAGATCTTCGGAAGGACTCAAAAGGTCCAATTCAAGACTCAGGGCGGTTTCACTGGTATTTTTATCCTGAAAATGCATGAGGCAAAATCTTAGATCATGTGGCCTCAGAAGTATCGAAATCTCAGAAGGATCATGAACAAAACTATCAAACATTAGCAGGGCACTAGTTCAACGAGTATCAAAAAGCGATCGATAACATGAGTGATAATGACGGAAAGGTACAAATAGGGTTTTGCCACTTTTAACCGAGTTTTCAACTGATAAATTCTTTTTCCAAAACGGTTGTACGCGAGTCGAAAAATCTAAAACCAATAACTGCATTCATGCAACATCCATTGGTCCATCTAGTACCAAGTACTTCAAATGCTACCTCATGAAATATATAAAAAGCATGCCTGCATTTTAAAGTCATGAAAACAATGAAATTGGTCAGTAAATCACGCCTCTTTCAGGACATGGGGTGCCAAACACGAGAAAGAATTCTACTTGCACGTAATCGCTTTCCATGATCATGTTCCAAGATTCATTAACAGTCTGTTGATACTTGGCATACAGAATACATATTACAATAAGACGCATATTGGGGATTTGAAACGAAGATGTCAATTTATTATAAGACCAGAGCGACTGCAGCGAGAAAAATTTAGAGGAAAAAAGAAGCCCGATGCGGGGCTCGAACCCGCAACCTTTTGATTGACCTTATGTTGTTTAAGAGTCAAATGCTCTACCGATTGAGCTAACCAGGCTTGTATGGTTCAAAACACGAAAGCAGACTATATAATGTATATACGCAAAATGTACATGGACCGTCTGCTCATTCTTGTGCTGTTTTTAAAAGGTTTCATGTTGCGCCTCCTCAAAATAAAACACCTCGGCAACTTGGGAATCAATCAGATGAAACAAAGCGGGGCGGGCCGAGCTAAGACACTTGGTACGTAGCTGGGAGCTGTTTAAAGGTTTTTATACATATTATTTATATAGTTTTGCCCCTTTTCTTAGACCAAAAAAAAAGGCTAAATTAGTTGACTCGAGCAAACCAAAAAACAGGTGGTATCTAGGTATGTATATGGGCTGTTCGAAGGTTTTCATATCCACCAAAAAAAAAAAAAAGATTCTGACCCCTGATAGCGTGTGCAACTTCTTGTTGCTACACTTACAATTGGTACCCTATGATGTAATGATTTTTCGAAAAAAAATCGGGAACCACTCAAGGAGGAATGAGGTTTTATAGTAACTACTATACAGCTTTACTACTCACCAATTTTACAACCCGAATACAAGAATAATGCATAAATATACTTTTGATGAATATATAATTTGTCATATATACTAATTTTGAGACTAGTCGATCTTCACTTTTACATCTGAGATGCCGTCTTTTATAAATTGAATGAATCTGTCGCCGTACTCACGAGCTGGAACCGCCGATATAGTGCTCCTTGACTGAGTGATGGACCTCCATGCTGTTTCGAGTTTCTTTTTAAAAGAGTAATTTGTCAAGCAATCAATGATGCCCAAATAGTAAATCTCGGAAACAGGCTCATTGCTCTCATTTGTAGCACGGATTCCGCCGTTGTGGCCGTAAAATATGTATTTCGATCTTCCTGGAAACACGTCAGACGGTAGATCATTCTGTCGGTCTATTCCTCTGGGATTTGTTTTGAAGACTTCTGCTTTCAAATTGGACTTGGGATCAAATACTGTCAATTTGGCAACTGTTTCGGAATTGCCTTTTTTCACATCATGTATCCCTAGAAGTAAGGAATAGTCCATGACATTGATTTTCTTCAAGAGCTTTACATCAGCCTCGAGTTGTTCAAGGAATATTCTTTTCTTCTCCGGACCAAATTTGATGCGGTCTTTTCTTTGAAGCCAGTTAAGGTCTTTGAGAGTGTGAGATGAAAGATCCTCATTTCCGGAAGTCTCTGGTATTTTGGTATATCTACCCCACGTAGAACCTTTGAGATCATATTTGACGTGAATATCTCGATGAGGGGGAAAGAGGTTGTTCATGACTAAAAAGTGAACCCTTTTGATTCCGCCCTTAACTTTCAAACGATGCAAACCATAAAATTGACTCACCATAGTATTGGGATTGTTCTTGACGTGATGATAATATTCATGTAGTATTCGGCGTAGTTGCTTGTGTTCAGAATGATGAATTGTCTTGATGATAAAACGGTAATCTCTGGAGTAGTAAAAGAACGAGCCGCTCTTGCCTGAAGAGCCTAGCTCCGAAAGAATGTACTTTCCTGTGATGGACATTAAATAGTCGGCCGGGTCAATCCCAAAGAGAGATCTCAATTCACGAAAGACTTCAGGAGAGTAGTCTTTGAACTTAAAATCATACTTTGAGGAAGGCGTGAGTTCCGTCCCATCCATATCGAAAGAAAGCTTTTTGGTAGCCCGGAAATCGGCATCGTTGAGTTTTCTCATTACTCCCGAGCAACGAGACACAGCGACTCTGATACCAGTGAGCATATTGTAAGCCATAACAAAGTTCTGGTGGCCCTCAGTGATTTTGTTTCCCACTATATGAGTCATGTCATCCACAATATCTTTCTTTCGCTGAATATTCTTGGTGACCATTGTGGATTTCATTCTCGTGAGTTCAGACTCGGGCTCAGAGTGCTTGCGACCTTGGTGATGATCGCCGGCAACAGAAGGGTTTTTGTCTTTCGAGCTCGGGCGCAAGATCGTCGACATTTTGCGCAAGCTATAGAATTGGGTAGGTTTCGGGCGATCTGATTGATCCACAGACTTCCTGGAGACAGGGACATCGACAGAGGCGCGAGAAGCTAAGGCAGAATCTTGGAGAGAGTGTCTTCGGGAATTCCATGACTGTACGACGTTGGGGGTCCCGGCTCTTCCGCTAGATATAGCCCCAGGGACCCCCGAGGAATGATCAGACTTGGAGCAGGTTCGGGACACTGCCATGGTGCCGTTGGCGTCTCTAGACACCAATTTAGGCTCATTAGTATCAGCCTGTGGCTTCGGATTCTTGTCGAGCAGAGGCTTCGCGGCCTCAGTCACGGTGTTTCTGTCCAGCTCGGAATCTTTGTGTTTCGCGTGGCTCATGCTGAGAGTTTGCGCAGAGGTATTGAGGTTGTCCTCGGCGATGGAGCTTGGGATCGTCTCGCCGCTAGCAGCCTCGGATGTATCAGAGTAAGCGCCCCTTATGGAATTCGACGTCGGAGTGAGGGGCGTCTCTGCATTCGTATGAGAGTTGGCGGAAATGCTTTTGCGACCAATGTTCGAGCTGGCGGAGAACAACGGCGGGCTCAAGGGCACATCTGACTCTTGAAGGTATCCCGGGTGGTTTGGGCGAGGAGAAGGAACACCTCTCTCAATCTGGTGGAGCTCGAGCAAGCTCATTGGGGAACGTGGAAAGGGCTCACAAAAGAGCCAAAGACAAGGGGCTGGTGACACACGCCCCGACAGCAGCAGAAATACTAGTTCTGAGCCGGATGGGTTATCTCCACTTAAGATGCACTGGTATCTCTTTTCCGAGCGACTTGATAGGCAAGACTTTGGAAGTGGCACGACCTCGGCTGAAGATCAAGTGGGAGCCAGGCGCTGGAAACGGGCAAGGGCTGGAACGACAGAATCCGTGAATTACCCCTTCGAAAACAACCGAATCAGATGACGGGCGGGGGGAAGAAAAAAAATGCCGCGTTGGCGCTAAGCCCCTTTGTCGGAATGCGTTTTCTGTTTGTGGCTAGCGTGGCGTGAACTAGCTTGAATGTATGTGAAGCAAATAGACAAAGAACAAAAGAAGCACAACTTGCAACGAGCGCTGGGGTTGGGTTTTTTCTGGAGGAGCGGCCACAAACCAGGAGAAGGAGTAGTGTTTTGGTTGGCAATGCGCGGCAGACGGGAAACGGGACGGCTACGGCTTCCATAAAAAAAGGGTGCACTTCTATGGTCCATAAAAGGGGCGGGAGAAAAGAAGAAAGGAAGGAGATAAACAGGAGCACGTGCTTCAAAATGCTTCAGGTGATCTACAAAGACTTCTGCCACGTGATGGGGCCGAGGAGTGAAAAGAAAAGAGCACCGCTGGGGCCGCCGGGCCGCCGCTTTAGCGCCGCGCAGGATGACGCTGTCACGTGACCCCGGTCACGCCGTCTCCGGCCACGATTGCCGAGCGTGGCCAGAAATTTGCAGGAGTGGCGGCCGCGGAAGCCAGCCGCACTACCGGCCAGCGCGCGGGGGCCGGGCCTGCCTTTTCGGGAGCAGGCGGGGCAAAGTGCAGGTCACGTGACCCGGCCGTTCGCCCTGCGGCGGCCCTCGGGGTGCGGGTGCAAATTTAAGGTCGGCAGACTGCAAAATGAGGCCAGGCCATGGCCTACACAAACCATGCAAAATAAAAGGCCGGCCTTCTCGTTTCTTGATCTTGCTTCTTCATCATGAGGTACAGATCTGTTTGCACGGGCTTGCTGTGGCTCGTGGCTCTATGCTCAGGCGCAAGCCCTTTACAGAACTCGCTCTCTTCAAGCTGCGACCTCGTGTCTGTCCAGTCCTATGACGAAATCACGTCAAAGTACTCGGACCTCCTTGCTCCAGACTCGACGCGGTGCGTGCTTTTTCGGATCAAAGAAAGTCAGACCTTCCTCACCCGGAAAGGACGAAGGAAGTGGGGACTCGACACGCCGGTCGAAAGCTTGGCGAAACTCGGCAGCTTGTCCCACCCGGCAACAAGCAAAAGCTCGTTGCGCCATCCGTTCTTCCGAAAGAACCTCAGGCGCCAGGACAGCACCCAGTGGTTGGAGTTCTTCTATTCGGATTTTGCCAATTCGACAGCCACGGGCCTCACTCCCGTTTCCCTCTGCCACAGTGAGGTTTTGGGGGAGGGCAGTCTCGTGAGTTTCGAGACAATCTTCAATAGTGCGTCTGGCTTCGGGGGCGAGCTTACCGGGGACTTTGATCTTTTCAAGCTAGCCGTCTCCACAGCCGCGGAGGTCACTCTTGAGAAAGCCACAAGCATTGCCGTCAAAATCCTATGTGCCATCAAGCCGGGGGAGATAGGGCAGCTTTATTTGACCAACACCCAGTACATCTACTACACCCCATGGTTTCGGACCAGGGGCTACGACTCCGTAACAAACCTGTTTAGTGACGGAGATGAATACTCGGAACGACCGAGGGAGCGCCGCATCATGAAAGGCGGGATTGGGGATTGGGTGTGTGCCTCCAGCTCGGTGGCCGATTTGCAGTGCCACGGAACGAGTGGCCTCCGCTCGTTGTGGAATCCGGGCGCAGCCTCCGAGCAAAGTGAATGGAGAAAAGACGAATTCTAATCCTGCTCATTACTGGTGCCTGGTGCCACTGACGAGTCTGGTGGACCTATGCCTGGGCACTGCAGGAAGCCGCATTCGTACCCGGGCATAGAGACGTCCGGGCCTGCGTATGGAGGCGTAAACGCACCTACGCTTAATCGTCGCATGTTGACAGTGCAGATTCTTTTTTTTTTGTTTTTGTTTTTCGCTCGGGATTTGGATACTTCGGGCCGTATTCCGAGGCCGTTCCGCGAGCTGCGGTGCCGGTGGATTTGATTCGGTGGTTGCTTGGAGCAGGCTCGTCGGCCAGTCGCCACTGATCTTCCAGATAGCGGCTGGACAGTTTATTCATAAATACATTTGCTTTTTCTTTTTCCTCTTCTTTGCAATAGACTGCGGCCCGCTTCGTGCACGTAAGACTATCGCAGATAACCATCACCCAAGAGCGCACCAGTCAGTTCCATTGTATTAACTCTGCCTTCGCACCCATGGGCTTCTCCAGCTTTTTTAAACGCGGCCCTTCCGCCGAACAGCAGATTCAAGACGCTGGGTTCGAGATCTCCGAGTGCTCTGAGGAATGCGAAACGTGTACCAGCAGTTTCCCCAAAAGTCTCTCTTTCAAAGACGATGACAGTGCCTCGCTTTTTGGCTCCACGTCGCCCTACGGCTTGCACGTGGTGGTGCCTACCAATAGATCAGATTGGGCCCATGACGCCACGGGCAAATCTGGGACCCTCGCCCACACTGTGGCAAAATGGGCCGGCAGTGCCAAGTTTCCAGGGTTGGGCGAAAACTCGAAGATCAAGGTCACGGTAAGCTCGCTTTCTTCGTTGAAGTTGGAGACCGATGCCGAGTACATGGACCAGAAAAGAGGTGACGTGTTGCTTCTCCCCTTCTTTGTCTGGGTGAGGAACATCTCGCTCGAAAGTGCCCCGGGCGTGCTTGACAAAGTTGTTCCCAGCTTGATCAACTTTCGGGACCAGGGGCTTGCGGACTTGCCGGCTCTATCCTACTCCGGATTCCCTGAAGTCGATATCCGGCCCGACCCAAGCAAGTCGTACGTCTTCCTCTGCTCGCATCGCACAAGAGATAAGAAGTGTGGCGTGACGGCGCCCATCATGAAGCGAGAAATGGACATGCACTTGAGAGACGTTGGGCTCTATCGTGACACCAACGACGATAGACCAGGCGGAGTGCAGGTGGCATTTGTGAACCACATTGGTGGCCACAAGTATGCCGCCAACGTGCTTATTTATAACAAGAACTCGGGCAAAAACATCTGGTTGGCCAGGTGCAGACCGCAGAATGTGGTGCCAATCATCGACGAGTGTGTGATTGGAGACGGCAAGGTGTGGCCGAATAAGGTCAGACAGGTGCAAAAGTTCAAGGCCATAGAATGGTAAAGCTCCCACGCTTACATGCCAGCCAGATCTTAGTACGTTTACATAAATATGTTGATTTAGAATCCTCTATGTAGGTGCGTCCATGGCACGCCTGGAGAAACCGTCTGACTTACTGGTCAAGATAGGCTTTCAAGATGTTGATCCTCTTTTGCATGTAGTCGCGTGCGCTCCTCTCCAAGTCCCGGGCATTCTTGGTGATGATTCTCTCCAATCTGGCAAGCTCTTTTAAGACATAAGCCCCGTCCCCAGAGGCAACTTTGACGGCCAATTTGGAATAGTATGAAAGCATAGAGACGTCGTCTCGGAGCCAGACATCCTCTGCTTGCACCAAACCATCTTTGCCAAACTGCACAAGACTCTCTTTCAAGGACTCTATCTCATCGAGAACAGCATCCTTTGAGTCTTCGGAAATGGACCGAATTGCCTCATCAAGTTTTTCGATCCTGCCTGCTTGGTGTGTGAGATTCCCGCTCTCGTTTCGGTATAAACCTGCAATGTCATTCACATAGTCAACCATGGCTCCCAAGCTCCGTTCACCGGTATATGGCATAGGTCTCCTGAGCCCATCGTCATCGGTCTTACTGGGGTCAAATAGAAGAATCGTAGGCAACAGTGAAACACCAAACTGGCCCACGATTTTGGACACATGCGCCTTGTTCTCCTCCGCGAGATTGACCTCCGCGAATTTGATTGTCTCTCCATCTTCTGCATATATTTGGTTTGCCAACTTGGCCAAGACTGGCTTAAACTTCTGGCAAAATTGGCACCAAGGGGCTGTGAAAGCAACCACGGTCTTGTGACTTGCCTGAAGAACGTCCTGCTGAAAAGACTCGTCATTCACTTCAACAATCTTGGAAGGACCTTCATACTCTGACGATTCTTCCTCGTCAGAACTACCGAGCCTAACACCAGAAACCTGCTGTACAAAGTTACTGATGGAGTCCAAGTCTCTCATGCCTTCAAATTCAACAGGCTCATCTTCGCCATGAAACATGAGAAGACTAGGGAAGCCAGGGATCTTGTACTTTCTTGTCATTTTGCGCCCATCCGCATCTCCGTTTATTTTGGCGATCTGAACATTTGGCACGTCAGCATATAATTCAGCGAGTTGTTCAATGGTGGGCATGAGCTTCATACAATGGCGACACCAGTCGGCATAGAAATCTACCAACGTGAAGTTTCCGGACAGGAGTACAACATCTTTGAAGTTTTTGTCATTGACACGTATCAAAGACGAGGCTGTGGCGAATGCAAAGAGGAAAATTAACGATAGTTTCATGTTTGACTCTGCTGTCACTTTTGATAAGATTAGTAAGAGCAAAGTATCGCAGCCGGACCGGCGAGCACGTGACCAGCATAGCATACCGGGCATGGAGTTCCGCCCCCATCTCTGGAAAAATAGGACGTGTAAGCCAGTTTAACTTTCGGTCAGAAACTGTTTGACTTTCCTGACGCAATTATTTCTCCTTCGAAAATATTTCTTGAAAATTTGTAACTTTGAATTAGTCCATTTCGTTCGTAATGGCACAAATGGGTTGGTCTTCCTCAGGGAATTTGATGATTCATTCCGTTGAAAAATAAATATTCTTCAAATCTTACCCCTTGATGTCACTCAAAAACTGACTTTCGAAAAAATGGCCAAACGGGAACTTTATTTATATTGACTTGAATGCTGAGACTACTGTCCTGAACATAACCAAGTCTCACCAAGTCCACACGGCCTTTGTAATTCCCTCTTGTTAAGAAGCCCCACCAAAATGAACCCCACCACAATCAGATTGTTCTCTTCTAGCACGCTCTTGCGCAAATTTTCACTCACTTTCTTCACTAAGGACACATGTCTGCTCTGCAAGAACGCGTCTGTCATTTTGCACCAGACTTTACAAGCCAAAGAATTCAAGGACGTGAAATTGACAACAGTCGACATCATGAAACCTGAGAACTCATCTGCTTTTGATAAATATTGTTATGATGTACCAGTGTTGCATGTGGATAGAGCAGGTCAGAAGAAACCTGTCAAGTTCATGCACTATTTTGACGAGGAAAAGCTTGCGGCTGAATTCAAGAAAGACATCTGATACGCGAGAGCTTTTGATCAAGAGGTATTGAGGTCTGTCACTGTCACTGGTGTGAAATTGATGCTAGTCTTAGGCATAGATGACGTTTTGCTGTGGAAATCCTTATAGTGCATCTCCATGATTGGTATGAAACAAGTGCCAAGTCACTTTTTGGAATACCAGGGACAGGGTATTCAAGAATCGTTTTCTGTTGATGCATATTATACTGAGGGAAGGCGACGCAGTCATATTATCAGCCAAGGTTTTTCGCTTCCTGGACTGCAATCTATACGGTACAGATTAAAGCATTTTTTTTGGAAGAAATTCGAAGACATGTACAAGACTGTAACACGGTTAGTTATCACTCTCAGTTCGAATACATAAATTCGCATACTTTGATGTATTGAGGCGACGAAACTAAACAGTGGTAGAGTTGAAAAGCACTGATCCCAATTTCAAAGTCAAACTTTCCTGGGTTTTTTTCTCTTTTGTTGTCTATTATCACAAGCACAATTTTGAATCATTCTCTTGAGCTTCTCGATCTGAAGAGACAACTCGTTGCGCTCTCCTTCAAGGACTAAAATGTTAGCGGTCTGCTTATCGAAGTCGCTTTTCAAAATCCCGAAGGCGTTCTTCCTAAAATCTGCCGAATCCTCAAGATCGTTACCCTTGTATGTTTTGATCCATCTACCGCCTTTGAACTGCAAGACTGTGGGCTCTTCCCTTTCAACATACTCGTTGTTTCGCGGTGTCTCGTATAGCAGCCGTAAAATATTTACGCATTCCCTTGACTCCGTCAACAAAGCTTGCAAACAGGAAAGAAGCTCTGCTAGAGTCTCGTTGACTTCACAATCCCAAATACGCAAGCCTTCGAATGGCTTCTCTTCTTGTGAGTCGATGCAAAAGTTTCTGGCCACGATCACGATTTCCCGCTGGAGCCGAGTTTTCAACCTTTCTAACGAGCTTACAAAACACGTTCCATTCACAATATAATCCTCACAATCGATATCCAAGCTGTTTTTCGCAGCCAATAGCATAGACTCCTGTAGTTCATATCTGCATATCTCGATCTGCTGGAGCCAGCGCCAGAGGTCATCAAGGAGAAAATCTGGGCGGTTTATTTCACGTTCCATTCAGTAAAATACAATTAGCTTCTTTCGTGCTTGATTCTTGTTTTTGAAACCCCCTTTATTTCTATAATGGAAGAAGAGCAAGTTTCTGGGTTGACAATCAAAATGCGGAGGTAGAATCCAGCTTTTTTGCAGCTTTATTCACGCGCTTTCGTTGAACATGCGCCTCAATAAAATAAACACAATAAGTCTGCAGACACCCGATGAAATCAAGAGAAGACTCTCCCAGAATATGAACAGTGTCAAAGAATCTGGAAATGCAAAACGTCTTTTCTGATCGCTCTCAGTTATTTCAAATTCATGCCTGCGCCTTTTTACAAAACGGTGAAGCTGTTTCTTCCCTTGTGAATTTCTGGCTTTGAGTATTTTTCTATCTCGAGCCTGCTCGCTGAAGTTTCAGTGCCAAAACACTTCAATCCAAGGAACTCGTTACTGTGCCTGAATTACTTATTTCATTGATTGTAGGAATACGTCCAATCTCTCGTAATACATCCAGGGTTATAATCTAGAAGATTGAATAAGAAATGAAATCCTTTAGGTCCAGACCAACGTACCTATATTTAGCCACGTGACATTCAAAAACTATTTCCAAATAGAGGAATATCAACCAGATTTCCTTTCCCGTCTTCCTAGTAGTAGAGGTGTAGATCTTGTTGAACTTGGCGGGTATGATCGACCAGTCTTAAGCGGCTCATCTGATCTCCTAGAAAGTATTAGAGAATTTTCTATACTTTAAAAGTCCTTTGTCTTTGGTGTGAGTTGACACCCATGAATTATTATCAGATCTTCAGAATCGGGTGGTCTGTTTACTGGGGAATGATATTAATCATTCAAGCTGTACACTTGTATTGAGAGTCCAAACCCCCAGTGTGATACTACAGGGTTTTCAAAGCGATCTTCCCGCTAACATTGTCTCATGTTTTGTTTTCTTGAAAACCAAATACGTCACGCTGATACCTTTTAATTTGGTATTTTTATCTGATTAAGGAAACAAAACTATAAATTATAAAAAAAAACATACTTAAAAAACAGCTCCCAGATACGATACCACTAAGAAACCTCTAGGAGCTGAAAATCATTTCAAAAGACTTATGATCTAAAAATACATATATTTAGTGCTTTAAAAACTGGTATAAATGACAACTCCCTTTTTTGATATAATCATCTTACTAAAGGAACAAGACTATACAACAATACATAAAAAACCTTTTAAAAGCTCCCAAGTATGTACTTAGTGTGGAGTCTGAACACTTCCCACATCTTTTCGTTCCAAACTCAACATCAACATATACAATTAGCAAATCATACTGTACTTGATCGTTCTATTCGTCAAAAAGCTTGTAGAGCTTGTAGTACTGTACTGTATATTTATCCAAGAAGAAATTTATTCACCGAAATCCGAAATAGTGTAATGGCTATCACACGACGCTCTCACCGTCGAGATCGGGGTTCGATTCCCCGTTTTGGAGGCATTTCTTTTTCATCTCTTGGTGTTAATTTTTGTTTATGATTGTAAGACGAAATAAAATGGCATTTAATCCAGGCAAAAGCCTCTTGGAGGCCCGGGCTACGACGCAGCCATCCATAACTTTACTAGGCCTGCCCCCCTCTTTTTCACTTTTTTTTCCATTTAACTCAAAGGACAAACCTATAAAAGAACGTTCAAACAATTTCAAGATAAGTATCTTGTTATATTCACAAATTTTCAAAATTCGAGATCGAAAACCTAAAAAGATCTTTGGTTCAAAGTAACGCTGAGAATTTTGGCTCGGGTGAGGTGAGAGTCGGAGGTTGTTTGTTATTTCAGTCGCGAATTTGAACAAGCGTAACAAAACGCAAAAATTATAAAAGTCAGTAAAAATTAGAAACACCTCTATTCCGATATGGGATTAATTTGCAACTGGAAAAAAGGTCAAGGCTCAAAAGGCATGAATGCGAGTATTTCTTTTTAAGGGATTTTTTGAAAACACGGTACATGGAAGCCAGATCTGAGATAGAAGAGAAACCTTTAGGGCATTCAGACGAGGATACACACACATTGAGCAGACGCTACTATTTTTCATGGACTAGCGTGTTGAGAACGATCGTTGAGACTCTTAATTGGATTCCAAGCTCTATAATTGAAATGATGAAACCACTCGATAAGTGGTTAGAAAATAGACCCAAGTTGTTTTCTATTTCGATATTCGGTGGCCCGAGGGCCATATTGAAAAATACACACTTTGACTCCGAAATCAAAGCATGTGTCGACTTCCGTTCCAAGGCTCAGCTCCTTGTACTGGTATTGGCTTTACGGCTAGCTTTTGAATCGTCGGAGTAATAAACAGCTATTGACTGTCTGCAGGTGACGTATGCAACGGGTCTCTGAGCCAATTGGGAGTTACCCGTTCTGCATTCAGAAGTTCACACAAAGTTGCAGCAAGGACGGAACTCCATGTAGCATTAGCCACACGTTTCCTCAAGCTAAACTGGCTTCAAATCGTGCATGCGTCGTTTAGTCTTAAGTCCGGGACAACAGGCTCGTACGTCAACTCTTGCTTTAAGTGATGCGGCTCACGCTCGCACACAGGAAAGCAACCGTTGGCGACTTTCGTCATCCACATCAGTCACTGCATGGTCAGGATACTTTGGTGAGTCCAAGCTTGGCTCACGATTTGGTTTAAACATGGATCAGCGGCGGGAACAAAAAAAGCCCCCAAGTCAGAAAACAGAAAAGTTCGGGCAAAACGCAGCGAGTCGGCCTGAGTTTTGCGGCAATATACTTTGGATGCAAAGACTGCTAAGGCTCACCGCAACTGCTCACAGCAAGACCCCACCAGACTCATAGCAAGTTCAGCAATCTTCCACAGGCTCTCATCTATAAAAAGAGTTTTCATCTCCGTCCCTTACCGGAAAATTTTCTTTAACTTTAACCTAAATCTTCACATCACCGATCAACCAGTCTCCAGCAAATCTGCCATAGTTCAACAAACATCATGTCCTCTTCTGTTCCAGACACTTTCAAGGGCTTTGCCATCTCCAGCTCCAAAACCTGGAATGAGCCCAAGCTAGTTTCCTACAAGCGCAAGCCAATTCTTTCCACAGACGTGGTGGTCAAAAACATCTGCTGTGGTGTATGCGCGTCAGATGTTCACACGGTGAGAGAAAGCTGGGCCCCTATTCAGAGAGACGATCTTGTTGTGGGCCATGAGATCGTGGGTCACGTGGTGGAGGTAGGTGATGACGTCAAGACGATCAAAGTAGGCGACAGGATCGGAATCGGTGCTTCCACCAGTGCTTGTGGCGAGTGCCGCAGATGCAAATCTGACAACGAGAACTACTGTGCCAAGGTGGTTTCCACGTACAACGCCCCCGACAGCTTCTCGGACGGGTACATCACGCAAGGCGGCTATGCGTCCCACTCCATTGCCAGCGAAAAGTTCTGTTTCCCGATCCCCGAGAAATTGGACTCCCATGTTGCGGCTCCTTTGATGTGTGCCGGCTTGACCGTATACTCGCCCTTGGTGCGGATCATCGGCCACCTCAGCCACCCGGTAGTGGCGGTCGTTGGAATTGGCGGGTTGGGCCATTTGGCGTTGCAATTTGCCAAGGCCTTGGGCGCAGAAGTGTATGCGTTTTCGAGAGGCTCCTCTAAGAAGGCAGATGCGCTTTCTCTCGGAGCAGATGGTTTTATTGCCACACAAGAAGAGGACGGCTGGGAAGAGAAATACCAGGATAAATTCGACTTGGTGTTGAACTGTGCCTCTGGTGCAGACGACTTTCCGGTCGAGAAGTATTTGCAGACTCTTGCGGTGGGCGGCACCTTGCATAGTGCCGGCTTGCCTCCTTCTGACGAGACGTTTTCTGTGCACCCCATGTCATTTCTGCTGAACTTCTCGTCATTGAGCTCGTCTCACTTGGGCTCGAAGAAAGAAGCATTGGACATGTTGAAATTGTCGGCTGACAAGGGAATCAAGCCTTTGATCCAGGAGATTCCCATTACCGCGAAGGGCGCTGGTGAGGCTTTGACCAAATGCGACAACAACGATGTCAGGTACCGTTTTGTGCTCACGGATTTCGAAAAGGCGTTTGCATGAGGTGACGAACAATATTAATTATTTAGGATGATTAGAAAAAGGCATTTTCAGACCAGACAGCGCGAATAAATACGTCCAACCTAAAATTGCATGATTGATGTGCGTCAAGTTGGCATTATGCAGCAAAGTGCTGGATGCAAATGTCAAAGAGCACAATTGTAGTGAATTAATTGTTCTTAGGCATAATTCAGATGTGTGCCTCTTAAGTAGTTTACGAAAGCATACTGGAAGCAGGACCAAATACACCTCACTGGTTATTAGACAGCAATTTAAAATGCTTTGCTTATCGCTTGCGGTCCGCAAGCCCACACCGAATATGCCGATCCAATTTGTTAATTGAAAGCTTGAACTGAAATTGTGGGTGTATAATTTTCGGCACTTCAGAGCAGAAAGAAGTGAAATTAGAGCAAAATGGGTTTGGGGCGTTCTATGTCGGGCTGTATTTCACCCACGGGACACCTCCTATCAAACTTATTCTATATCATAGGCTATATATAGTTAAATTAAACTGATAAAGTCTCAAGGCCTCATCCAGTACAAATGTGTCGGAGTACTACAATGAATGGAGACAAATCCAGAATTCCGCCGAATTAGTTGGTCACGTGACACCCGGCCTGCCGCAGCAACTGCCTCCGATTCTTCTCCACACTTCAACAATCACCTCGCTTCGACCCCCATTTTTTCTCTCTAGTGAGTGTGGACAATACTCATACTCAGTTCATAGCCATGACACGTCAAAAAGTAGCTCTTATAACTGGCGCCTCTTCAGGTATTGGGCATGCCACTGCAATTGAGTTTGCCAAACGGGGATACAAAACCTACGCATGTGCCCGGCGCTTGGAGCCCATGGAACCCCTTAAAAGAGAAGGTATCATCACAGTCACGTGCGACGTCACGCTGGGCGAAAGTGTGGCCTTATTACGTGACCGCATAGCTCAAGAAAACGATGGTTTTCTCGATGTGTTGTTCAACAATGCCGGCCAATCTTGCTCGTTCCCTGCTATCGATGTCTCGGACGACAACGTCGCCAAGTGCTTTCAGGTCAATGTTTTTGCGCCGGTAAGATTGACCCGCGAATTTGCCGCCTTGCTTATTAAGGCTAAGGGTACAGTTGGGTTCACAGGCAGCGTAGCAGGTCTCGTTGCATTCCCATTTTCTAGTATATATGCAGCGTCTAAGGCAGCGATCCACCAGTACGTGGCAACTCTTCGCTTGGAGATGAAGCCGTTTGGCGTCAAGGTCTTGAACTTTGTCACGGGCGGAGTCAACACCAACATTGCCGACACACGTGACTTGCCCGAGGACTCGTGGTATCAGGTGCCTGGAATCCAGGAGGCGTTTAGCGAGCGGAGAGAAATGGCTAAAAGAAATCACCCCATGTCTGTTGAGAAGTATGCATTCCAGGTGGTGAACGATTTTGAGAGACAGACTTTGGGCGGGAGACTCAATTTGTACAGGGGCCTGATGGCCGTCTTGTTGGGTGGAATTTTGCCCTGGTTCCCTCGCTTCATTGTGGAAAAGATTTTTGTGACGAAGTTCAAGTTGGCTGGTGTTTTCAATTTCATCACGGAGAAATACGCTAAAACAAAGCTCGCCTAAGTCTCGCTGCTTCACTGGTCCGAATGCTGTATCTGAAACCATGTATATGAGCTTTTCAATAAATATATTTTTGAGATGGGCTAGTACTTTTTTGAAGCACATAGGGCATAGGAACGTCAGATGAGTAGACACTGCTTCACGCATCGACAGTTATGTCTATTTGGATTGAAGAGAGAAAGTTGGACACTAGCTAATTATGATGGATTGCTCGGAAAGTGAGAAAACCGCATTGACGCCTTGGTAGTATATTGCCAGTGGGTGGGCAATTATCTTTATATCGCTGATCGCTGGAAATTCCTCGGGCGCTTCTTTCGGACAGAAAAAAACAGTGATTATTTTATTCTACGGCTGGTATATGTGAGTTGATCTTCAAGCAAAAGTTTCTAATTTTGCCATGAGACTATACAAGCTCAAGGTCTTAGCAGATGTCTGCTTTCCGACGATACTCCCACAAACTTCGAGCAACAACAACACAATGTTGCAGATTCAAATTTTGAAAGGATCAAGTAATTTCGAAGCATTCTGAGTTCAACTGACAATGATTCACAGTTGTCGTGTTTATTTTATTCGTAGTTCTATCGGGTCACCTGACTATTTTGCAATCATGAGTACATATCTCACCCTAAGCAAAGCAAGCTTGAACGATTAATATCTCATCTATGGAGCATGTGAATTTGCTACTGGGAAGCTCGTGATTCTACAAGGAGACGAACGTTTCTTTTCAAGTAGTTCAACGCGAACTAGGCAGTCTTGCAAAGTCAAAGGAGCATACATCTTTAATGCAGATGAACCTTGAGATGTAAAGATTGTAGACCAGTTTATTGGTGCATTGAGTTCATGGAGTCTCATTACCGAAAACTACCGTTAACACCGAGTAGAAAAGAGCTTGGTCTCTTCTGCAATCACATGTCAAAAAATCCTGAGATTAAAGTTTGTATAAATATAATTTCTTGGCCTCATAACGTATACCTACCTATACGCGCAAAACAAATGGTAATACAGAGATATGATTATTGGCACCATAGGCTGAGTTGTGTTCCATGTTTCAAAAGTGTTGACACCTAAATCAGAATATACATTTGACGAACTGAAAACCAAATCAAACATCAGCAAGAAATAGAAAAAAAAGCAAAATTTATCTAACGACTGCGTTATCTCAATTTCGAAGATCCACCTGATCACTCGCTACTTCAAACCCAAAACCACTTTTCCTCATGTAAAAAAAGGCTGTTGATGGGATTCATGTCCCTGAAATCCTGCTCTTAACTCCTCAGCCGTTTGAATGGTTTGTGCTATTCCTTGGTTAATGCTCCTCGTGACAGCCTCAATACAAAGCATAGATTGCAAGGCGTCATATCCTGAGCATTTCACGTCAGTTTCTGCTCCAGTAATCAAATTGATAAAATGACCCAACTGGAGATCAAACGGCTTAGGCAATTTCTGCGTGGCTGGCCCGAAATTGGCTTCTTTTTCTTCAAAAGATGACGGCGGAGTTATGGCAGAAAAATCATCCACGTACATACAATCGTTTTCCTGATACACGCCTCCCAAAGACTCCGATTGAATAGGATTCCACCACGAATTCTCTCTCAGAGAGAAATTGTCTTGATGGTATAAAGTTAAGTCTGGCACCGAAAGAGTGCCACTGCTTCCAAAAATACGATAAAACCCCGCTACATCAGGATGCATTGGAATCAACGGGTTCTCGCCTGTTCCTGCTTCGAAACTATAAGGCGAGGTCACGTTATCAGAACACAAAAATGTGCCACAACAGCCATTTGCAAAACGAAGCGTGAGTACCGCCCCCTCATCCACGTGATTGTCTTTTCCTTCTGCCTGTCTTTGGCGTGGCATGAGCTCGGCATAAACACGTATCACCGGGCCAAGAAGATACTGCAATAAATCTAAATCATGAATCAAATTGATCAAGATGGCCCCTCCGCCCAGAAAGCGGGAGCGGCGCCATGCCTTTTCGTCAAAGTACGCCTGATGTTTCTTCAAAGCCCATACACCCTGGACGGCCACCGGCGATCCGATTCGATGCATGTGGGATTTGGTCGCAGAAATGTAGGGATTGAATCTGCGGTGATGGCCTATCAAGAGCTTCACATTATTTTTCTCGCAGACGTCAATCATTTTGATACAGTCCACTGCTGAGGAAGCCATGGGCTTTTCCACAAGTACATGTATACCCTTTTCAGCCAAAACGACCGTGATTTCTGCATGAGAGTCATTCGGTGTACAGACAACAGCAGCATCTGGGTAATTGGCATCATGATTGTCGCAAAACTCAAGCATATCGTGGATGCTTTGGAAATGCAAAGTGCCACACGAGCTGGCTATAGAGGGGCCTTTGGCAGAACGGTCGACTATTGCAAAAAGAGAGCAGTTGCTGTTTTTCAATACCAGTTCTGCGTGCCGCGGGCCTATAAGCCCGGCACCTATCACGACAACAGAGACTGGGATCATGTGATTGCACTCAAGTCTTTTTTGTCCTAGCGTTTTTGACAGATTCTCGCCAATGCTTGAATGTTTAAATATGGAGAAGTTCTATTGTTGTTTTAACGAGCTGCACCGGACTTACTTTTGGAACAGCAGAAACTCTGTATTCTGATTTTCTTTCAAACAAGCCTTGTCTGTTTTTCTTACAAAATATGGCGATCAAGCAATCCAACACGACCAGAAGTGCAGATACACACCAATGTGTTCGTATGATTGACTTGGTCTTTTTTGTTGTATCTTTTAGCTGATGGTACTATCGAGACGTCTTCAAGGTCGTTTGAGTAATACACAATATATCAAGGAAGTTGCTACCTGATCTGTATGTCTAAGGAGTAGCACGTATCAATCCTATATATTTGGGGCGTATGATCGAGTTGGTTTGTCAGTGTCGAGCTGTAGAAGAAAAGAAAGTGGTGGTCACACAAAAAATAGGAGAACTCAAGAACACATATGTGTGGCGGCGACGCGGCGTCGATATCAACCGATGCATTTCGTTCTATTCGTGCCTTATCGCATATTTTGAGGTTATGAGCGCGCGCCGTAATCTATGCCACGCGTTTGCTTATCTCCCAGCTCACGTGCGAGACCTCGATGCAGAAATACCAGCCTTGAGACTACTTAGAGTGGGAGCCGCTAATTAACGAAGCACGTGGGGGCTTAGACCGTGTGAGCACCCTTGATTAAACTTTCTTCTGAGTAGCAAGTGTGTTTTGACAAGCATCCCCCGAGAAAAATTCAACGACCGTGCCCAGTCCAGTGCGTAGTTCCCGAGCTCTGTAAGAGAAGTTGTATAATGAAAGGACGATAGTCAAGTAGTCAGTAGCCAGAAAAATTATCGCAGTCGCCGCAAAATCAAACAATGAGTGATCTTTGGCGCTCAAACTTTCAGTCTCAGTTCCTTCTCTTCGTGGGCTTCAGGATAAGTCATTACAATTGCCTGACTCACCGGAAGCTTTTGAGAACAAAGGTGGGAGCCTCAACATATGTTTTACAGCTGCACCTTCCACCTCCTAGACATATCAGCTCAGAACCAGGCAGCCACTTTCTCGCCACCGAAGATCTCCTGGCGGAGATGCTCTATCACCCCCCAGCCATACCCGTTGGCAAAGCGCCGCCGCACAACAATATTGTTGTGCGCATCTGGTGGAAGATATACCAAAACCTTCCGCCAGCTGAGGTCAGGCGAGTGGTACTTGCGGGCAATTTTGACCTGCTTGTCCATGCGCCAGTCGTAGTAACGGAAGAACTTGCTGATGGCGCCTGTATGGCTCTCACTCTTTGGGACGTTGTCAAAATGATAGAACTTATCGTGAAAGATCACCGGCGTCCGGGTCTCCGGGTCGTCGATGTAGTCCCGTGACGGAATCGGGCAAATGAGCGAGTTGAAAGCCGACTCGACTGCAGACGCTTTAGGAGGGATATTGAATGAGTTCACTTCGTCGTCCGCCTCGCCGATTTCGTCGTCCGCCGTGTCTGTCTGCGTCTGTGCGCTTTCGGAAATGTCGCTGCCTTTGGCACTGATTCGGGCATATCGCTTGATGCGTTTTTTGATGCGCTTGGGCCGCCTTCCTTTCTTGTGTGACGGTGTCTCTCCGTTGGTGTTGAAGATCAGCGAGAGGAAGGTGGTGTACTTTTCCAGGAGGTTGATTGCCGAGTCGCTCGGTATCTGGCCGACGTTGCTGGCGGTCGTGTTGGCCTGCTTGTTGGGGAGTTTTTCGTGGATGTCGGCAGTTGATTTCTGAGAGCTTGCAGTGGCTTTCTGAGAGCTTGCAGTTGATTTCTGAGAGGTCGCAGTAGCCGTCCGAGACAAAAGATTCCTAGGGCTGTTGCCATCATTCTCCGCTTGTTCCCGACTCTCTTCGTAGGTCAAGCTCGGGCCCACACTGGCTGAGACCACGCCCCCAGCTTCAACAGTGTCCCCAGAAGAGCGCTCCGACGCTCCACTGGTGTCAGCGCCGGCCATCAGCTTCAGGCGGTCCTTCAAGTCCCGCACATCGCCAAGCGCCTCCCAGTCCAAGTAGAGCAACGCGCTGGTCCGCAACGGCACGATGCCGTCGTTCACGGCGTTGGCATAGACGACGCGCAGGCCAAACAGCTTCAAGGCCAGTTGCACGGGTTCGTCCGGAAGCGTCTCCAACACGGGCCGCACCATGCCGAAGCGCGAGCCCGCACGCCGCTTGATGGTCGGAAGCTTCTTCAGAAGCGTCAAGTCGCGGCCCGTCTTGCCCAAGGTGCCCAAGTCCAAGAACCACGAGATCCACAAGCTGATTTCGCTGAGCACGCCGAGCATCGGGCTGGCCAAGCACACGAAGTTGGCGAGCAGGATGTGCTGCCGCTCGAAGTAGTCCGTGCCGTGGGTGCTCAAGATGTGCTTGAGCGCATACAACTGCACGGGCCCGCCGAGCGAGTGGCCCACGAACGAGAGTCTCGCCACGCAGTGGCCCTCGGCCCGGAGCTCGGCAATGCGGCCCGCCACGTAGTTGGCTACCGCGGCCCCGAGCCGGTGGATGCCCCTCTCGGTATGGCCGGCATTGCCGCGGTACCCGTCCACCAAGTAGTTGTCCAGGCGGAGGCTCAGGAGCATGTCGCGGAGATACAACATGTCGGCCGTCAAGTTCAGGAAAATGCCGTGGGTTACGATCACCAAGTGCACGGGCCGGCCCACTAGCCTCGGCTGGCGGGGCCAGAGGGCGTCGGTGCCGGCACACAGCACCTCGAGCCCGGCGTGGGCCAGAACGCCCCACTCGGAATCCGTGGGCTCGTCGTCGCGGGCGGAAAACGCAAAGTCGCCCTTGCTCAAGCTGGTCAACGCGGAGCGCGAGGCCCGGCGCATCTCGGGAAGGTCCTCGCCCACCATCACCACGAACAGGAGCTGTGCCCGGCGGTTCAAGACGATCAGGCACATGACGTCACATGACCACGCGTATGTGGCCAGCCCGTCCGCGTTGACCAGATCGAGGCTGTTGCCGTTGAGGCAGAGCGGCACGTTGAACGTCTGGCCCGGCTTGAGCGCGTTGCGGAAACACACCTCGTTGTTGGCCGGCGACTCGGGCACAAACCGCACGTGCGGGTCGTAGTTGCACGGGATCACGTGGCAGTACACGATGAACGGGCCGTTGACCAAGTGGAACGCCCGGAGCCCGGCCTTTTCGATGTTCTTGGCCCGGAAGTAGATGTGTGTGCGCAGGGCGTCTCTGTTTGTAAACCTGATCTGGTAGCGGCAGACGTCGCCCAACCGGAAAGTCCGCTTGTCTTTGTACCAGACGGTCGGCGGCAACGGCATGTTATAGGGGGTGTTAGTAGGGCTGCACTGGGTATCTTGCCGATAAATACCGGGGTGCTGCTGGAGCACGTGTGAGCAGGCACAAATGGATATATCCGTTCGGGACAGGTCCGTTAGCTATGAGCAAGCACTGGCCAGTCACGAGCGCAGTGTTGTCTGCTGTTAATGTGCTTTGGTTTAGTGTAATTCGCTGTGATTTGCTGCAGTTAGCTGTTGGTTACCAACACTCGTACAAGCGCTGTGAGTAGGTGGCACTTCCAGTAGAATTATTGGACGTATACCGAGAATACTCAAGCACTATATAGGTACTGGACAGGGCTTCACAGACCGCTCAGCGCACTGCTGTCAATTCTCTAGAATCCAAAGAAAACCCGCTTATATAGCAGTATACTTTTCCGGCGGCACTGATTTGCGTGCTGCTTCTTGAAATGTCCCCGCTGCTGGGCATCGGAAGGTCCGGCTTTTCCGGGGTAGCTGGCCATGTGCCTGAACGAGAAGAGGGCGAGATCTGGAAGGCCATGTGGTCACGTGACCCTCTGGGCTCGAAGCCGGGCTCGTTTTATGGGCCAGCTGGCCACAATACGCTGCAACAAAGTCACCAGAGACCCGGCGCGCCTCTCTGTTTTGGCAAGAAAATCACAAAAATTCTTGTGCAACAGTCTTTGGGATCGGATCTCATATTTGGTTCAATAGCCGATGCGCATCTGGCCCGGTCTGGAGAGCCGCGACTGCAAAATAGAGCCATGCTATTCTATACAGAGTGGAGCTCAACGATAGTCCCAACATTCTTAAGTGAATCAGAATCGGCGCCATCGAGGGTCATAATTCCTCAGGAGTCTCGTGTCCATTATTTTTTTGTTTTATTCTATTTTGCTTTTACCACGATTGAATTGTTTGCGCCTTCAGATTTTAGTGGGTGGTGAATTCCATCTGAAGCTAAATATTGGCGAGAGTTCGGTAGCAAACAAGTACAGTGGTGGAAAGATGAAAGCGCTCTGAGAGAAAGTAAAATGGCACGTGAGATCTCTAAAAATGAAGGGCTTGCAATCAGACAAACCTTTGTCTAGGCCAACATCGGGGCGAGGGGAAGTGAAAAAAGAAAAGAAAATTGAGATCTCACGTTTGGCATCCGGCATCTTCAGTTATTTAGTCTGATCATTAGAGAATGGACTAAAAAAAAGGGGGGATTTGGGGGCGGAAAAAAGATTTGTTTCTACATTGAAACCTCTGAGTGTACAGCGAAGACCGGGTCTTGTAAAATATATTACGGCTACTTGGGTCACTATAATCTCCCCCATTTCAAAACAGAATTTTAGTTTCTCCTACAGTACTCAATACGTTGCGTAGCCATGCGAATACCCGCAATCCAACTGCCTCAAGTTCAGAAAGAAAGAATCTCAACTAAACGCACCTCACCCCAAATGAAAACAAATTATCTACTTTGAAGGCTATTTCCAGCACAGTACGTGTTCGAAGAATTCCTATGATACTAGAAGCTTGCTTTCATATTAGGCTATTGGCCGTTTCCTAAGATAAACAAATACATTTCCGGCTGCCGATCTCTTCTCACGACAAAGCACAAAGCAAACTTCTGCTTTCTTCACATAAAAACGCATCTTCAAAAGAAGTACATATCAGGCCCCAATTCAAGACCACTTCCCCGGCTCGATTCCGAAGTAAGCTTCAAGCAGCTCGTCGAAGTTTTCTGCGTTCCAACACTATGGTATTTTATTCTAGACAACGCCAGGCCGGGGGAGCTCAAAAGGCTCCGAACAAATCCTTTCTTCTTCGTCACATGTGGTATCTGAGTTTTTCTGCCTGACAGACCCTCCGCATCTTTCCAAGCAATATCAGTATGTGATATCTTTCTATAGCTGGAAGATGTATGGCCACATGCTCTGGAAGAAAGATTTGTGAACACTTTGCGAAAAGGCTCCTTTGGATCTTCATTGCTCTGGATTTTATGGATCAAGCTTTCTGAATTCTCACGTCCAACATTTTCAACAGTGGGCGAAGATACTCTATCATTGTTTGCAATGCGCTTGTTACTTCTAATAGGTGAACTAGCAACCACCGCAAACGAGCCCCTCTTCTTATTATAGATGTTCTCTTTATTAACAAGCTCCATTGAAAACCGTTTGGGTGTATTTTGACACATATCACTCAAATCAGTGTTTTCTATCTTCTCCTTTTTCCCCTTTTGCAATTGAGAGTATCCTTCGGAGGTCTCATGGCCCAGGGCACTGGAGGGTCTAACCCTTGAATCCAGATATTCACAAGAGCCAGTGGAGTGATGCGAAGTGCTAGCTTGATTTTTCATCCATTCAAACTCACTGTGAAAGCAGAAATTATGCCCTCCACTGAAACTAGAAGGACTCAAGCATTCGCTATCAATCGACTGTTCGCTCAAAAAATGAGACGTCACCTTTGAGTGATCTCTAGGATCATTCTTTTCAAGATTGAAATCCATTATGGACTCTGTAGAAGCTTTCAATGCTGTGTACTCACTCAATTTTTCTTCTCTTCTCATTATTTCGATGACTTTGGAGAAGGGGCTACTGAGACTTGGGGTTTTGGGTGCAAAAACTCGTGGCCTGGCACTGGTGCACGGGTCTATGCACGCACGGCCCCTGGCAGGGCCATGGATCGATGTGTACCTTTTCCCGTTGAATCGAAGTGCTTACGCCCTCGTTTTTTGATAAATCTTCTGGAAATTCATGCACTTCAAATTTTCGGGTTTGTCATCAGACTCCGAGATCACTACTTCTGTGAATTATACTTTAAGTTTATATTCAGGTATTCGAGGCTAATCTCTCATATTGTAAGGTGATCTGCAGGCTTTTGGAGTGTCTATTTAATTCTCTTGGAACACTTCCTTCAAGAAATTCTCCTCCTCGGCAGTATGCATGGACTTAGAACCAGCTGCGACAGACGCAGAAGGATCTCTTCCAGCGTAACGCAACGTAAGGTCCTTGTAATTTTCGGTCTCAGCCAACGTCGTGGCGATACGTGGAGCAACAAACGAGTATGAACCCATGTTCAATGGCTCCTCTTGACACCAGACCATATCCCTGATGCTAGGGTAGGTGTTTAAAGCGTCACGGATCTGGGCGAATGGGAATGGATGCATTTGCTCAATCTTGATGAAAGCGGTGCTCTTGTCCTCGATAGAAGCACGCTTCTTGTGCAATGCAGTGAAGACTTGACCACTACAGAACACAACGCGCTCAATGCCTTCCTTGTTGTGGATGGACTTGCCTAATTCTTGGTCCTCGATAATCCATTGAAAGTGCGACTCACCGGTGAAGTCATCCAATTCGGATCTTGCCAATGGGTGTCTCAACAACTGCTTAGAGAAGAAGAGAGCCAAAGGCTTTCTGAACTGTCTGTGCATTTGACGACGCAACAAGTGGAACAAGTTAGCTGGGGTAGTTGGGTAAGCAACTTGCATATTGCAGTCCTGGTGTTGTCTCTCAAGCTTTTCTGGGGATGGGAAGAAACGTTGGTCTTCGTTACACATCTGCAAGTATCTCTCGATTCTTCCAGAGGAGTGCTCTGGACCTTGTCCGTCATAACCGTGAGGCAAGGACAATACCATTCCAGATCTCTGCTTCCATTTGGATTCAGCAGCGGAGAGGAATTGATCAACAATGACTTGAGCGGTGTTGGCGAAGTCACCGAATTGGGCCTCCCATTGCACCAATGCGTCTGGGGAGAACAAAGAGTAACCATATTCGAAACCCATAACACCATACTCAGATAAGGAAGAGTTTGAGATGTCAAAGGCACCTTGCTCTTCAGACAAGTGCTTCAAAGGGGTGTGAACTCTCTCGGAGTTTTGGTCATGCAAAACAGAGTGACGTTGAGAGAAGGTACCTCTCTCAACATCTTGACCAGAAACTCTGACGTGGTAACCCTCCAATAAAAGAGAGCCAAAAGCCAAAGCCTCACCAGTGGCCCAGTCGATACCCTCACCACTGTCAACGGTCTTCTTTCTGTTGTTCAAAATACGCTTCAAGTTTCTGTGAACTTCGAAACCCTTTGGTGCTTGAGAAATCTCAGTACCAATCTTCTTCAAGATTTCAGAATCAACAGCGGTTGGAAGGTGTGGCAAGACTTCAGTGGCCAACTCCTTAGGAGACTTGAAGTCTTCCCAAGGGGTGGTCAACCATTCTCTCGAGGTTGGCTCGTATTCCTTGGACTTCTTGAAAGAGTCCTCCAAGATGTTCCAGACCCACTTTCTGTGCTCCTCGATATCTTCCTTGGTAAAAGAACCCTCGGCGAGCAATTGCTTGTTGTAGTACTCAAGAACGGATTTCTTTTCGGCGATCTTCTTGTACATCTCTGGCTGGGTGAAAGAAGGTTGATCAGTCTCGTTGTGACCGTGCTTTCTGTAGCCCACGACATCAATGATGACATCGGAGTGGAAAGTAGCTCTCCAGTCAGCAGCCAAGTTGAAGACGAAGTTGACGGCTTCAATGTCATCTGCATTCACGTGGAAGATTGGTGCATTGATTGACTTGGCAATGTCCGAAGGATATAAGGTGGATCTGGCGGAACGAGGGTCAGTGGTGAAACCGATCTGGTTGTTGATGATAATGTGGACAGTACCACCAGTAGAGTATGCTGGCAAGTTGGCAAAACCCATGGTCTCGTAGACAACACCCTGGGCAGCAAAGGCAGCGTCACCGTGCAACAAGATGGGCATGGCCTTTTGGTACTCACCAATGTCGTTCTTGTACTGTTGAATGGCTCTGGTCTTACCCAAGACAACACCATCCTCGGCCTCCAAATGCGAAGGGTTGGCCACAAGAGACAAGTTGACATGCTTTCCGGAGGTGGTAGGTCTCTTGTAGTTCATACCCAAGTGGTACTTGACATCACCACTTCCCTCGTCAAACTCCTTGGAGCCAGTGAACTCGGAGAAGATGGACTCGTTGGGCTTACGCACAACGTTGGACAACATGTTCAATCTACCTCTGTGAGGCATACCGATGACAACGTCCTCGACACCGTTCTCGACAGAAGTGTCGATCAAGGCCTTCATACCGGGAATGATGGCCTCGGCACCCTCAAGACCAAAACGCTTGTCGTTAGGGAACTTGGTGGCCAAGAAGGACTCGAACGAGCAGGACCAGATCAAACGGTCCAAGATCTGGCGCTTCTGGTCGACAGAGTACTTGAATGGCTGTGGGATCTCGATTCTCTCACGCAACCAGTCACACTGCTCCTTGGAAGGAATGTGGATGTACTCGACACCGTAGGATGAGCAGTACAACCTCTCGCAGGCAGCGATGATCTCCTTCAAGGACATGGCCTTCTTGCCCTCCTCAGCAAAGCGGGGCAAGATACCAGGACCAAGCGTGATCTGCTTGTCCATGTCGGCTTCCGAGAAGCCGTAGTGCTCCAAGGTCAACTCGACGGGAACGTGGCCCAGGGTGCCGAAACTGAGGCCCAAGGGGTCGATCTGGGCCTTCTGGTGGCCACGCACCTGGTACGCGCGCACAAGGAGCTGCACCTTCAAGTGGGTCACCACATCCTCGCTGTGAGGCTGGGCCCCTGGGTTGAACCCAACACCAGCGCCGCCAGTGGGGACGGGAACAAGGGTTGGTGGAGCGGTGAAAGCGGCAGAGGGAGCAGCGCCACTGTCCAAGTTCTTGAAATAGGCGTTCCACGACACGTGCACGCTGCTGGGGTCCTGGCGCCAGGCCTCGTACATCTCCTCGACGTAGTTGCTGGAGTTCAGCTGGAGAAACGAGTCCGTGGCCAAGAAACGGGCCGAGGTCAAACGCTGTGTTTGTGCCAACGCTAACGCCCGGTGGGCGCGGGCCCGGGGAATTGCTGTTCTGAATGCTCTAAGCATGGCCCAAAACTATGTGTGTGTGTTATGGGTGTGATGGTGTCCAGTTGTGTGGAGGGAAGAAAACTGTGGAGTTTTTTCCTTTATGAGGAAGAGTCGGAGTAGATATTTTTTTCTGAAAGAATGCTTTTTTCCTGCCCCGGGATTGGCGAGACCCGCGGCAATTTCACTGGCCGCGACATTTCCGGCACTCCCGGCGAGTCCCGGGTCTGGTGCCGAGGGCCCGGGTGCTAGCTCTTCACGCAGTCTTGAGAAAAAGTTCCGAAAACGACACGCTTCGGGTTTCAGGATAAATGCGTGTTTTGCCATTGAAAACATTCTTGCAGCCATGGCACTGCCGGCGGTTGGGGTCACTGCTCTCAAGTCGTAATTGCTGTATTATGGTGCACGGGTGCACAGGTGCGTCGCGGGCTCCGGCTCCGAGATTTCTTCAACATGCTTTTTGCCCCATCGCTCTCATGTCGCGGGCGGCTATTGAAGGGGCTATTGGGAGCGGCTAGAATGCCCCCTAGATCTTGTCCAATTTTTTGTCCACACCGTAATTTATCTTTCCACCTCCTCCCGGCAGATCTGCATATCGGAAGACTTCTGAATGTATTGTCAAAAAGAAGGTTCTTGCGTAGAGACTGGAGTGTATTCACAACTCCGGGGATTCGCGTGGATGGTCGTTAACGTGTATGCCTGATTCATTCGATCTATAAGGTTTGATTATAAGGAATTTGAATGCTGGTTTACGATGTGGACCTATGATTTCCTGACTCGTGCTATAAGTGGGGCCTTGTGGTTGGAGGGTCCTAGGACACATTTGCTATTTTTATTGTCCGTTGGCCCCTTCTTCTCCTGGAATGACAGATTTCGATCCATGCATGTCGCGCTTCAATGCACTCTTCCGCGAGCCTGTTCACGTGACGCCTTCCCCACAAGTCATTTTCCTGGGGCAATCATCCACCGGTCGTGCACATGATGTGTCGACGTGGATCCAAACTAGTTGCGAAAGACGGTGAAGTGGTTAAAATAACACTTTGGTTATTCTTTAAACAAATTCTGTTTTTAGATCTCTAGAAAGACTAATGGCTGTGATACACCGCCAATCAGATGCATACTTTTACTTGCACTTAACACGGTCGTAATGATTCTCTCTTGCTTGGATTACACTAGATACTAAATCGGATTTGATTTTTTTTTCAAAAGGGTATACCTATGAAGTTCGGATTAGTCATGGAAGAAGATTTCAATAATTCCAAAATCAAGGAAAAGCCTGAAAGTGGCTACTGGAATGTGCGTGACATAGGTTTCCAAGACTTCATACGGCTGTAATTGAATAGGAAGCCTTATATCACAAGTGTTTTATCATGAGTAAAGACAATCTTTGGAAGTTAAGCTATATTTCTACCCCAGTCACAATTTTGAATAATAAACAGAGTAATGAAAGACCCATACTCGATAAACCGTTTGTTTGAGTTCTTAGTCGAAACATTGATGGTGTCCTTTTATCGACTTGTATGGCTTTTTGAGTGCTCAAAATACTCTTTTGAGCAAACTAAAAGAAACTTATATCTGCACCTGCACGGCTCGATTATCGTCAATATATATGACTTTACATAGGATGTCTCTGGCTTTCATTTTGAATTCAGAAAATATATTGCCTGTATTGAATTAGATCAACATGCCTGATTTGTGCTATCTATGGATGTTATCACCGTGCTTACTAGCACCACAATTGATTGTGAATGATGACAGGTCTGCTTTGAGGAAAAAGACACTTCCGCTGACCGATACCAGCATCGGAAAGCGCGATGCATCGGGTTAGGTCCCATATTGTATTTCGAATTGTTGTAGATTAGTCTATCAACTTTGTTTGCACAACCCGAGCTCGGAAAACTGCTCAATTGATGTCCAATAATCTCATGATTCAAGCTGGATTCATACCTTACTAAGCTTTAAAGTTAGTTTTAAGTTAAAAACATCTCATTAATCATTCAGTAAGAAGCCTTCGCCATAAAAACCCTTGCCTTTTCTTTACGATCCTCTATGGCCCAGAATAAAGCATAACTCGTAGTTGCTCCACAGTATCTTACGAACAAGGTCTGGTTATACATACTACTTGAAAGATCTGGATCTGGGCGTAATAGCACTGTTATCTCATGAATCTCCAGATCATTAAAACAGAAGCTAATAAACTCTTTATGGATAGTATATTTGAGAATACAAGCATATTGAGATCCCTTTTCGTTTCAAGCCTTTATGAATGACATGTGGCTAGGTGACCCTTTCAAAGTTTATGACCATCTATCAATAGTATAAAACAGTCCATGACTCACATTTTCAGCTTATTTCTAAAACACATTCTCGGTGTATGTGACCATAGGATTCCAAGAACTTGGAAACTACGCGCAAAACTCCATTTTGTCATCTGATTCAGCACCTCAATCATCATCAATACATACAATCAACACAATTCAAGAACAACAAAAACTTCGAACCTCCAGACTTCGAAGATAAACCCAAACTAACGAGGTTTACAGTATATTCAACCTGACTTTACAAGTCGTAGCACAGAATAAAAATCCATTTACACATCTACGAGGATTGGGAACATATCTAGTCCTCACATACTGAGAGATGCCACCAAAGCTAAAAATTCCCTTGCACCGTTAAATCATAACCCAACATTGCCGAACCCATGCATATTCATGAAATACTGGCCCCAGTCATGAATATGACTTGGTTCATGACGACCATTGTCATGGTGTACACTCAATAGCTGAAGAGTCTCAGAAAGAGAGCTTCTTAGTTCCCCTCTGACAACCTGACTTGAAGCAGCTTTTCCTACACATTGATGGCTCCTTAAGTCCGCTACAACCATTTGAGTTGAAGCTACTACTACAGGAGACCTACTTAGGAGCCGATGACGTAATATCCAATACGTAAACAGATACGGGCCATGATGACCGTCCAGGCCGTGACTAACGGAAGAGGACGGGCCGAGCTAAGACACTCGGTACGTAGCTGGGAGCTGTTTAAAGGTTTTTATATATATATTATTTATGTAGTTTTGCCCTTTAAACAAATGAATCTTTTAAAAAAATCAGGATAAAATATCCATTCCAGAAACGGATGATTTAAAGGTTTCTAGATATATCATTCATATAATTTTGCTTTTTCAATCAGATGAATGTACCAAAAAAAGAAAACCAAAAAGACCGTCCAGGTCGTGACTAACGGAAGGCCGCTTCCTGAGTTTCGACACTGGGTACGTATCGGGAGCTCTTTTAAGCATTTTTATAAATTGTTGTATAGTTTTGTTCCTCAAATCAGATGATTATAGCAAAAAATACAATTAAGAATCAAATAAGACATTTAAAGTATCTCTAAAATGTCTAAAAGCACTTGTACATCTTTTTATTTCTTGAGCTAATGACCGCAGATTACCTAAATGAGCAGTTGATTTAAATTTTCCAAGATCATTTGGGAGAGAGATGGAGTTTTTATAAGGATCTTGAGGACACATGCTGATACCACGGCAATCATACTTGTTTTATGCAAAATTCTAGATATTATTCGATTTTTTTGTTCAGATCATGGCGGTGTGTACCAAATTATTTTTGTCAGATCTTTCGAAAATGATTTTGCCTCCTTTTGTTTGTATCCTCCGATTCAGCTAGTATGAGTATTGGAATTCATTCCTTTTAAACTTATGATCACAAGCCCTGGGAGGCCGAAATACACACATTAGATCCAGCTGCACGTCCAACGGTAAAATTCAAAGCAGCGTCAATCATAACAGTGTTTTAGCATGCAAACATAAGTGGAACATATATTCCTTACATAAAAATCGGCCCACAAATGAAGATTGTTTTGCGATCATTGGACTCTAAACTTTTCATCAGTCACTATGCTCTATGTACATGGAATCAAAGGAATTCCTGGGTCTTTCTTCTGAACGCGTTGCAGTCTCTCAACCACTGCTTGTAGTTATCCAAGGAGTAGATTCTCTCTCCATAATAATCGGGCACTGGGTTGGAAAACGACTGCGACGATGGGTCCACTCTGTTTCTTTGCACTCTTTGCAAAAAGTTTTGTTCCTTGACCATGAACTCAGGCAATTTTTTACTGTTTTTCATGTTGAACACACGCACACCAATAGATGGGCCTGCAAGATATCCGGCCACACCACCAATGATAACCACTCCGCCCATCACCATAAATGGGTCGATTCCCATTATTGGCTTCTCCACGTCAATTTCCACATTTCCCAAATACGTCAACGTGGCAAAAGCACCCGCCACACTTGTCAAAGAGGACGCCACAATACTAATTCTTTTGCTCTCTTTGCGCAACTTGAAAAAGTCTACCCAGTTCATGTGGTGGGCGTGGCCCGTCGAATTCAAGCGCACCGAACTTTTGAGAGGGCTCCTCAGTGCAAGCCTTCCATAAATTCCTAGAGTTCTGAACATTGTTATGTGAATATATGAGTAGATGGTATGCTGAAGAGCCTGGGTGGTGTGAGATTTGGCACTGAAAAAGACTCGCTCTTTGTTCGCGATCACGTGATGCGCCCAGATGGAGCTGGCTTTGTTTGCTGTGTTGCATCCATAGACTGTGAAGGGCCTCTCCAAATTGAGTTCACGTTATACTAGGGTAAGCTTAGAATTAAGGCTTTGCTGTTGATGATTTTTTGTTGGCTGCTGAAAACGTTTGGTGTCATGGGTTTTCGTTCTATCAAAATTAAATGCTGGTCTAGGCGAAATAAACGAGATCTAAGAATCTGCCCGGTCTGTTGAGCCTTTTTTCAGATTCTTGTATCAGTGTGTCACAAAAAAAGTTCTCCCATTTCTGGACTCTCATGCTATCACAATTTAAATATCATGTCTTTGTTCAGATACATACGTTTTTAGTGGTCTCATACTGGGGTTGCGACCAAATGTGCAATGGATTTTTCATTCAATAAAATAATTCGCGCTTTTATTCAATGACTTATTACAAAGCCTTGAAAAACAGCCGATATAAAGTCATGCAGATGTAGATTTGTCCTTTGAAAGTAAGCACACAGCTCCCAAAAGTCAACAGTTTAATGCTGTAAATACTTTTTGAGAGCTCACGTTGCGATCATTAAACTTGGAGGCGAAATCTAGAAAAAGCAAAGAGAAACCACTCAAATGCACAACCTTGAATTAATGCATAGTATCACATGAACACCGACAAGAATAAACGGGTGGTATTTTGCTCGGGATTCGATCTGCTTGACATCCAAGGGCACATGCTTTTAAAGACCCAGTCTCAGAATGCAATGTTAGTGATATATGTCTTTCCTCCTCAATGTACTCAGGCTCCAGAGTCATTTGGCTGGCTGTGTATCAGTTTGGTCGCGGGTCTCTCGGTTTTTGCTTCAATTAGAAGCTTCCACTTATTTATTGGTACGAGACAAGAAGTACAATCTAGCCCACGAATTGGGTGAGAAATGTTCTCGTACACATTCCATTACCATATGCTACCTTGCGGTGGGGACACCAGTCTCAAACATGTCGTTGAGCATTTGTTTGATATGTCATAGTACGGAATTTACTCTACGGTTCGCATCCAAAAGTACGAAGGAAGAGGTTTACCAGGAAGAGTTTGCTCTTCATCATGGCACATAGATTGCTGTGGGAGCACCTCTATCAGTCTCTTATCAAAGAATATCAGGATCTGCGGTCAACGTGGGATGTAGGCTCTGGGTTGCACTCACAATTTTTTCCTGAAGACAATCATCATAGACTAAATCGAATATTTACAGGTTGTACAGGACCTGGGACCTGTGTATCTGTTTTTCGCTCGTAGTTTGGACAGCATACTTCGCAACCGCGAGATACCTCTATCTAGTTCTCTTGAAACGACAGACACCATAGTACCCAAATCCCCATCAGCCTGCAAAAATTTCAACGGCCAAATACGTTAGATGAAGGCCCCTGGGTAGACTGAAACTCGTTGATATTATACTTGGGTCGCATTGTAGAGACAACGTGTAGATTTGTTCGCCCGGGCAGGATTCAAGTATCTCTTTGAATTCCATGCTTGTTTAGATCAAGTGCCAGAAACGCACAAAGGACATGTGTATTTCGCTCCATCCCTATGACCCTGACGCGGTGCCAAAGCAGTATTTATTTTGTAGCTCGTATACTTTTTAAGCCAAGAATTTGGCCAATATACAGATGTTGAAGGTCCTATTTTTGCGGCACATACAAGGATTGCACTCTTGTCAATCAAGACCTCAATCTGCACTTGGTTTGGAGTATCTATTTAATGCGACCCTTGTTTAAATGGAGCTGACAAGGAAGTATCCATTCAGACTGTCCCTTGTTTAACTGGATCTGCTGGGCTTGGAGTATCTATTCAAAACGACCCTTGTTTAAATGAAGCTGACGAGTTAGTATCCATTCAGACTGACCCTTGTTTAATGAATTTGCTGAGCTTGGAGTATCTATGTAAGCTGTCCCTTATTTAACTGAACCTCCCGAGCTAGTGTCCACATACAAGCATCATCTAAAGCTCCTTTCCGGTGCTCCACTCTCTGCATGTCCGGCCGCCCCAAAGAAATCCTCTCGGGCCACGCGAATTAATTACCCATGAACAATTCAGCTGCGGCCCTGTGCAATCATGCCGCAGCAGGCCAGTCGAACATAAACAAAAGCATGCAAATACCTTCAAGGCGCACGCATAGCCATGGCTCCTTTTCTCTTTTTCTGCAATAAAAAAATCATGCTTTTCTGATAACCGCCCCGTATCCATGGTCTTCTTGCCAAGAGACTTGAGTCAGGTGAAGCGCGCGTGTTCCAGGGAAACGAGGTGCCACCACAACACGAAACGACAAAAAAAAGTACCATCAATTTCTGGCCAAACCCACTTATCAAAAAAAAAAAAGGTCTCTTCATCCAGCTATGTAGTCAGCCACCGGCAGCCGGAGAGATTGGGGCCGGCCCTTTGCAGCCGCATTGGGCCAAACAGAGGTCGCGTTGGCGCGCGGACTCAAGCGGCGCGAGAAAGGTCGTGCCTCGCCCAGAACGCGGCCGCTCGCCTCGAAAACAAGACCCACAAAATTTCGTCCGTACCGTCGATAAGCAAACCAGCAAGAAAAAAAGACGCTGCTAAAACACCAGGCGAGCTCCGGAAAAAATACCTCTAGGCAGGCCGAAAAAAATACCACCAACACGTTCACTTTTGCTGGATCCCGCGCGTCGACCCGCAAAAAAAAATAAACACCCAGACCGCCCCACTCGGCTGACCCAGGCATCTTTTTGGTTCACCGTGCCGCCTATTTTTCTTTTTGCTTGGACCCGCCTTACTCGCCTCTCATCCCAGGGCAGAATAGCTGCAGGCGAATTTGCTCTTTTCCCCTCGAAAACGGCCCAAACAGCAGCCGATTCGGGATATCCGTGGCTTACCCGCCGAGCCCTTAGCGAACCTCCCGAGTAAACGGCCTCGCCCACCCCGAGCAGACCGCCCGGAAATTCCACCCGAGAAATCCCGGCACACCTACCCGCCAGTCTTTGTGCACAAAAACAGCCCGGCCATCTCCCCATGAACGGCGTGGCCCCGTACCCCGAGCCCGCCGCGTTTGGCGGCGCTGCCGCCACAAATGGCCCCGACAACAACGGCTCGGCCGCCGACACGCGCCGATCGGGCGCGGCCCCGCCGCCGGCGTTCCCCGGAATCCCCGACCCCAGCACAAAGCGCGAGCTTGACGAGCTCGTGTTGCGCTACCAGCACTTGCTCCGCGCCACCAAGGACGCCAGGGACAGCCACGACGCGTACGCGCGGCTCGCGGGCTCTGCGCCCGCGTTCGACGCGCCCGTCGCCGCTCCCGCGGACTTCGTGGACACGTATTTGCCCGAGAAAGAGGCGTTGGAGAAGGTGTTGGCGCGCGCCAGCGCCAAGTACGAGGAGTACATCGCCGAGGAGGACGCGTTGTACGCGGACATCCTCGGCGCGTTGGACGCCAGCGGCCCCGGCGCCGTCGACGTGGCGCTCTTCGAAAAGCACATGGCGGGCTTGCAGTTGTTGTCGCGAGACATCGACTTGCCCGAGTCCTTGCAAGTGGACTACGGCCTGGTCTACCACAAGGCGCACGGCACGGGCGCGTCTGCGCACGCCGCGGTGGTGGAGCACATCATCGCCGAGTACTTCCCGGAGAAAACGCCCGCGGCCTTCCTAGCACGGGCCAAGTCCGTGGGCGTCGGCTCGTCCAAAGCCGCGCTGGCCACCGGGCCGCTCTCCGCGTCGTTGGGCAACTACTACACTGAGCAGATCATCGCGGGCAAAATCGCCGCGCGGATCCAGGAGTTGGAGAACGTGCCCGCCAACCAAGGAACATTCGATGCCAGCGCCGCCGGCCCGCAGGCCTCCTTTGCCAGTGACCACAAGATCAACGCGCTAATAGAATTGAAGTCGCTCCAGGTGCTTGCCTTCCAGAAACACTTGAAGAACAACTTCATCCGCAAGGTCGCTCTCTCGGCGCAGTACGAGCTGAGCGAGTTGAGCTCCAACGCGTTGTCCTTGCAAGGCAGGCGCGGCCTCTACATCAGAGACAAGATCGACCAGCCCAACCCCCATCTTCTAGCACAGCAGTTGGAGGACAAGTTCAAGTTGGAGGCAGAGGCCCGCAAGCACAGATTGCACGTCAAGAAAATCGAGCACATCCTAGACAACTCCCGGCAGATCCTGGAGGCTCGGCTGGGCCGCTTCAACAAGCGGATTGCCTTGTCCAAGTTCGTTGCCAACTTCCACGTGACCACCGAGAAGGATGAGTCGAAGAAGTTGGAAAAAACGGCCAAGCAGCGTTTGCAGGCCTTGAAGGCCAACGACGAAGAGGCCTACATCAAGTTGTTGGACCAGACGAAGGACCACAGAATCACGCACTTGTTGAAGCAAACCAACACCTACCTTGACTCGTTGTCGAAAGCAATGAGAGTGCAACAAGCCGAGCATGACGAATTGCCGGCCCAGGAGCCAGAGGACACCCCTGAGGAACTCAGGGAAAAAATCGATTACTACCAGGTTGCGCACAGGGTCAAGGAGGAGATTACCGAGCAGCCTTCCATTTTGGTTGGTGGCAAATTGAAAGAGTACCAAATCAAGGGTTTGCAATGGATGGTGTCATTGTACAACAACAAGTTGAATGGTATCTTGGCAGATGAGATGGGATTAGGTAAAACCATCCAATCCATTTCCTTGGTGACTCACTTGATCGAGAAGAAAGGTGAGGATAAGTTCTTGGTCATTGTGCCTTTGTCCACCATCACCAACTGGACAATCGAGTTTGAAAAGTGGGCTCCTTCAGTCAGAATAATTGTCTATAAAGGCTCGCCTCAGCAGCGTAAAGACTTGCAGTACGAGGTCAGAACAGGTAACTTCCAGGTTCTTTTGACCACATACGAATATGTGATCAGAGAGAGACCTTTGCTCGCAAGGTTCAATTGGTCCCATATGATCATTGATGAAGGTCACAGAATGAAGAATGCGAACTCCAAGTTGTCCATCACCTTAAAACAATACTACAGGACCAAAAATAGATTGATTTTGACGGGTACGCCATTGCAAAACAACTTACCAGAGTTGTGGGCTTTGTTGAATTTCGTTCTCCCAAAAATTTTCAACTCGGTGAAGTCTTTCGACGAATGGTTCAACACGCCGTTTGCCAACACAGGTTCTCAAGAAAAGATCGAGTTGACGGAAGAAGAAAGTTTGTTGGTCATCAGAAGATTGCATAAGGTCCTCAGACCTTTCTTATTGAGAAGATTGAAGAAGGACGTCGAGAAAGATTTACCGGACAAGGTTGAGAAAGTGTTGAAATGTAACTTGTCTGGTTTGCAGCATGTCATGTATCAACAAATGATCAAACATAACGCATTGTTCCTTGGCTCTCAAACCACAGGTACCAACCAGAAGTCAGGAATCAGAGGCTTGAACAACAAAATCATGCAGTTGAGAAAAATCTGTAATCATCCGTTTGTTTTTGATGAAGTGGAGGATGTTATGAATGAGTCGCGCATGTCAAACGAGTTTCTTTGGAGAACTTCTGGTAAATTCGAGTTGTTGGACCGAATCTTGCCCAAGTTCAAAGCTACTGGACATAGAGTGTTGATCTTTTTTCAAATGACCTCGGTGATGAATATCTTTGAGGACTTTTTGAGACTTAGAGATATGAAGTACATGAGGTTGGATGGTCTGACGAAAGCTGAGGACAGACAAGACATGTTGAAGAGTTTCAATCACCCAGAGTCTGAGTTTTTCTGTTTCTTGTTGTCGACAAGAGCTGGTGGTTTGGGATTAAACTTGCAAAGCGCTGATACAGTCATCATCTTCGACACCGATTGGAACCCTCACCAAGATTTGCAGGCTCAAGACAGAGCGCACAGAATTGGCCAGAAGAATGAAGTCAGAATCTTACGGTTGATTACAAATGACTCTGTGGAAGAAGTCATTTTGGAGAGAGCGCACCAAAAGTTGGATATCGATGGAAAAGTCATCCAAGCTGGTAAATTTGATAACAAATCCACCGCCGAGGAACAAGAGGAGTTTTTGAAGAGGTTGCTTGATGCTGAACAAGGTGACAGAGAAAATGAGGAAAACCAGGCATTGGACGACGATGAGCTTAATGATATATTGGCTCGTTCCGAAGAAGAGAAGATTTTCTTCACCGAAATGGACACCAAGAGAATTATAGAAGAGAAAGTGCAAGCAAGACAGGGTGGATACGTGAACAGATTGATCACGAAGGACGAATTGCCTGCGGTCTTCACTGAGGATATCTCTCACCACTTCATAAAAGACACGAAAGAGTTGGCAAGAATGAGAGACAAGAAGTCGGTAAAATATGATGATGGCTTGACCGAGGAACAGTGGCTCATGGCGATGGATGATGATAATGACACCGTTGAGGATGCTATCCGTCGCAAAGAAGAAAAGAGAGCCAGGAGGAAAAGGGCAGGGGAGCCGGACAGTGAGTCAGAAGACGAGCAACCAAAAAAACGCGGAAGACCTCCCAAAAAGCGGGAAGAGGACGATGACGGTGACCTCAATGGTGATTCAGTACCAAGTGACCCCATGATTGAGAAAGGAATGGAAGTCTTAGATGGTATCTTGGAACTTCGGGCTGAAAGCGACGGACACAACATTTCGGATATCTTTTTGAAGTTGCCATCCAAGAAATTGTACCCGGACTACTTCCACGTGATTAAAACGCCGGTCTCTCTCAACCAGATCCGCAAGCAGCTCAAGCAAGAAAAGTTCGAGACGTTTGATGACTTTTTAAATCAGATCCGATTGATGTGCTTGAATGCGAAGACATACAATGAAGAAGGCTCTTGGGTTTACGAGGACGCTACAACCATTGAGAACTTCGTGGACGCGTACACTTGAGGCAATATCGATGTATAACGAGGCGTCAGCGAGGTCTTTGACTACCATGGCGGGTTTCGATATAGACTGGGCACTCATCTTGGCCAGGAAGCCTCGATCTTGACGCGTTCCCATACAAAACTCCCGGGACATGGGGAACCGTTGATGTAAAGTATAAATTAGCGAGTGTATTATATAGATCAAACAGAGCAATTTGATGAGCGAACCCCACCCAGGGCGCCCTGTACAGTTCGGACCTCCATGGACCAGTGAAGCCGCACACAATATGGAGACAAGCAGTCAGAGAAACTACAAGGTAAATATGGAAGGCGCAATGGACCTTTGAACAGCTAAATCTTGTGTTCGCCTTTAGTCTGAAAATGAATCAAATAGTTTGGAGATCAGCATGTACGCCGTCAGGACATGGGGTACCTGGATAAAGAGTCGCGGGCCGGAGTCGCAGGATGGTGAGTGGGGAGGTGCAAACAATATAATACTATAATACTATTCTCCCAACGATGACAACAAAATATAAAACGGACTATTTGAAGAAAAAAAGAAAGACAAAATGAGAACAGAGAAGTAGCAACTCCCGGAGTGAGGCCATGAAAAAATGATCCACACCGACCTCAACGCCAAACAATCAAACACCATTGGGCCCGCCGCGCCAACCCAGAAATGGGCCGGTGCCTCCATACTTCCAGGGCCAGCGCCTATACTTTTAGGGCCACCCCTCCATACTTCCAGGCGCGGGCCCATTGCCGGGGCCGCCGGACACCGGTGTAGGGCGCCTGCATACAGCCGGGCAAAAACCAGTCACGCGCGCGCGCCGAGCGCCCGGCCATGCGCACGTGACCGGCCTTCGTGCGCGCAGTCTACTGTGTGCACGCCCCGTGAAAACTTCTCATGGGCTCGTCCATATAAAGCCTCGTCTTTCACCTCCACTCGCACCCTCTTTTTTCCCCATCAAGCAGCAATGAAGTACATCCAAACCGACCAAATCTTGGAGATCCCCGAGGGCGTTACCGTCAACATCGATGCCAGAAGCATCAAGGTCACTGGCCCAAGAGGTGTCTTGACCAAGGACTTGAAGCACATCGACGTCACTTTCGCCAAGGTTTCTGACAAGGCCATCAAGATCACTGTCCACAACGGTGACAGAAAGCACGTTGCCGCCTTGAGAACCGTCAAGTCTTTGATTGCTAACTTGATCACCGGTGTCACCAAGGGCTACAAGTACAAGATGAGATACGTCTACGCCCATTTCCCAATCAACGTCAACGTTGTTGATGTTGACGGTGAGGCTTTTGTCGAGATCAGAAACTTCTTGGGAGAGAAGCGCGTCAGACAGGTGAAGATCTTCGAGGGTGTCACCGTCGAGCAATCCGCCAACCAAAAGGATGAGTTGGTGTTGTCCGGTAACTCCTTGGAGGCCGTTTCCCAGAACGCCGCTGACATCCAGCAAATCTGCAGAGTCAGAAACAAGGATATCCGTAAGTTCTTGGATGGTATCTACGTGTCCGAGCGCGGTTTGATTGACGCTGAGGCTTAAGGGAGCGGAGGGCTGGACGAGCGCCGCATTCCTCGGGAACGCGGCTTCTTAATACATTTTCTTCACTTTACTTTTTTCGGGGTTCCTTGCTGGTATATACGAATACGGCTTTTTACGGTTTTACCCTGGTCTCCGTGGATGCGTTATAGTGCTCAGTACAATAAAAGAGCCACCGACGATCTGCTGTAGGAACGAGACTTGAGGCTTGTTGCTAGCACTGGCTTTCACCAGGAGTGCGTAAATGTCCGTGTCCATCGTATCCTATGATGCAGGTGGCGCGGTGTTTGGTGACGATCTCAAGCTCCCAAGTAGGCTGGTTTTTAGCATCACTCCCAGCATTAATGCCAGTGGGCATGAGTTGATCCGTGGTCGGTCAAGTTTGGTGTGTGGAGGCCGGCGCTTCCCCACATGAAACGAGACTCCTTGGAACTGTTTTCTGGCCTGGCTGGGACATGGGGCTTTTTTATTGCATCACTCTGACATTGGGCCACGGCATGCGTGCGCACTTTCTGAAGCTCCGTGCACTATCTGAAGCTGCGCGCACTTTATCAAGGTGAACCAACCACCGCCTCTGGCCGCGGCCCGGTCACGTGACCCCGGGCATGTTTCTTTCCCTCCAGAAACCTCCCCGGCCACCAGTCCCGCCCCCAAAATGAGCCTGCCCGTCAAAGTGGCGTTTCTAGGCCCCGAGGGGACGTATACGCACCAGGTATGTGACTTCTTTTCAGCGCCCGGCGGCCCTGCTGCAGGAAGGCCCCCCACCATCAGCGCACTAACATCCAGGCCCTTCTCCAACAGTTCGGCAGCGACGCCAAACAGGTCCAGATTTTCCCGCAGGGGTCCATCAACGCGTGTTTCGACCAGATAAATGCCCGGCAGGTGGACTACGCGGTGGTGCCGCTCGAAAACTCGACGAACGGCCAGGTGGTGTTCACCTACGACTTGCTCAGAGACTGGTTCATCTCCTGTGGCAGCCGAAAAGCCCCTGGGTTTTCCGTGGTGGCCGAGCAGTTTGTGGCGATCCACCACTACCTATTCTCCAACGCGGAGGACTTGTCCCGGGTCGACAAACTATATTCCCACCCGCAAGTGTGGGGCCAGGTCAGCGAGTTTCTTCGGACCGAGAAGTTCAACGGCCAGTGCAGTCGGATCGACACCGGCTCCACGGCACAGGCGGCCGAGAAGGTGTTTGAGGACGCCACGCACACGTCTGCGTGCATCAGCTCGGAAATGAGCGGCCGGTTGTATGGCTTGCCCACGAAACGAGCCGAGATCGAAGACATGAAGGGCAACACCACCCGGTTTTTGGTGCTCGGCTATGGCCAGATGCTTCATGGAGAAGCGCGCGAGGGCACGCGTGGAGAAACAGAAAAGGCTGTGGGCCCAGAGGACTCTGCCGGGGGTGCGGACCATTGCATCACCTCGCTCATGTTTGTTTTGAACGACAACGACCCCGGGGCACTTTGCGAGGCGTTGGATGCGTTCAAGATCCACCGCGTGAACCTCACATCCATCGCGTCGCGGCCCTCCAAGGTGACGCCATGGGAATACGTGTTTTTCGTCGATGCCGAGGGCCACGAGAACACGCCCGAAATGAGGGATAGCGTGAGGCAGTTGCAGGAGCACTGCCAGCGAGTGGCGGTGTTGGGTCTGTTTGTGAGGTCCTGGAGGTACAAGAAGCACGTGTAATACGACGCAGGCCACAGATGCCTAGGCCAGGAGACACTGTGAAATGACCGCCGATGTTTGGGCCCCCTCATCTGGGCTCGTGTGGCCAAGTGCCCCCGGAGCGAGAAGTGGGACTGGACTCTTGTAGATTTTCCTAGTTCGAGCCACCTTGCCCGGCTATGGGTCCATAATCAAATCAGAAGAACAGGCCTGTATGAATGTTGGGCACCAGTCATACAGACCAGGCCCTCTCGTGGTTTTTTCTGCATTCATAATAAATCTGCATTCCTATAATATCTGTATCCATGATTATATGTGTATTCCTATTCTATTTGTACTTATGATTATATCTGTATCCATGAATGTATCTGCATCCATGGTATATCTGTTTTCATGATTATCTCTGTATTCATGATATCTGTATTCATGTTATATCTGTGTTCATGGTTATTTCGGTATATATGACATCTGTATCCATATTATATCTGTATTAATATTTTTGCATTCATATTTTATCTGTACTCATGATTTTTCTGTATTCATGATATCTGTCATATTATATCTGCATTCATATTACATCTGTATCCATGACTATATTTGTATTCATATTATATCTGCATTCATATCATATCTTCATTCTTATTATATCTGTACTCATGATTTTTCCGTATTCATGATATCTGTATTCATGATATCTGTATTCATGATATCTGTATTCATGATATCTGTATTCATGACATCTGTATTCATATTATATCTGCATTCATATCATATCTGTAGCCATGATTGTATCTGCATTCATATCATGTGTGCATCCATGACTATATCTGTATTCATGATTATTTCTGCATTCATATTATAACTGTATTCATAATATATCTGCATTCATATCATATCTCCATTCATATCATATCTGTACTCATGATTTTTCCGTATTCATGATATCTGTATTCATGATATCTGTATTCATATCATATCTGTATCCGTGATTGTATCTGCATTCATGATATCTGTATTCATGAGATCTGCATTTATAATAAATCTGCATTCTTGATTATTCTGTATTCATATCATATCTGTATCCATGACTGTATCTGTATTCATCATATCTGTATTCATCATATCGGCATGCATACTATATCTGTACTCATAATTATATCTGTATTCATGATATCTGTATTCATATTATATCTGCATTCATATCATATCTGTATCCATGATTGTATCTGCATTCATATTATATCTACATTCATAATACATCTGTACTCATGATGAGGACGCAATGTAGCAACGCACCAGGCTATCGCATGTCTCGAATATAGTGGGCAGCTTGAAGCATGGATTTAGGGATGTGAGGCATCATGTTGGGGCATGCCCGGAATAGCATCCTGGCAAAACGTGCGGCGGCCACGAGTTCAAGCACACCCAGACTCGGAAACCTGGTGTCGGCACCATGGCACATATCCCACTGCCCCCGCCCAATCCCCCTCTACGCGATTGCCACAGAAGAAATATTGATTACCCATATAAAAACACCCTGCGGTCGACGCAGCAACTCCCGACAAACATTCTACGCACCGAACTTCTGGTACGTCCAGTCCTTGTTATCCAAGGGACACACCGGTCTTGATTTGAGCCATCTCTGGATGCAGTGCAGGTGGAACGCATGGTTGCACGTGCCCCACGCCGCAATGCATTGGTCCGACGAATTGTTGATGCTGTTGGGCTCACACTCGATACAAGGCTCCATCAAGTGGTTGCGGCAGATGGCGCACGTGTCGACGACAATGTCCCAGGACCAGAACGCCACGGCGGTCCATTTCTTGACCTCGAAACGCGGCTTTTTCTTGGCGGCCACGGGTGCCCCGTCGGCGCTGGGTTCTGTTTGTGTTTCCGCCGGATCCATGGGGTGGTCGTGGTCCAAAGTGTGGATCTGCTGATCGGGGCCGTCGATGTCGATGCGGTCCTCGTCGTTCATGATTAGGTGTGCAGGAAATAGGGATGGAAAGCGGACAAAAGCGCCGGGTCAAACGTGGGAGCTTTTTTCGGGTCCGTTGGGTGTTTTGTGCTGCCACGGACTATATCACCACTGGGTTCGTGGTTGTGAGGCGTACTTACAAATCATGCCTGCGCACAGGTCTGCTTATGGCGGCATGTATGCAGTGCCGCGGCAACCGCCGCAGTCATGGTGGCCCTGACTTGAAGGCAATGGAGAGAGGGAGATAGGGGGTTTTGCTGGCGGGTGTATTCGCATCTGAGGACATATCTCTTTGATGCGGTAGTCTTTTTTTGGTCGTCGTCAAGCATGCGCCCGTATTTTTTTGGTGAAGTTTGCGAAGTTGCCTGGTTTCTATGCATCACTATTGAGTTATATTACCGCGTAGATTAGCGACGCCTCGACAAAACTGGAAACCAGTCAGTGACAGTCATTGGCCGTATGTTTGTATTTGCAGATGTGGATTTTCGTGGGTGTTCGGAATCCAACTGGCCGACAAAAATACTAGAAGTACCAAAGAATTGCCCAAGCTTGTGTTTTCTTTCCTACGGCTACGAAAAGCTCCTATTCCACTTACTGCGTGGAACGCGCATCTGAGTAGCCACTCTCTAATAGACGTAAAAAAGAACGCTCAAGAAACCTAAGAAGACGGCCGAGGGGCTGCTAAGTGTGTAAATCAAGATGTAGCAGCCTAGCAAATCGTAAGAAACTTGCGTACATTGTGAGTCCCTCTGCTCGGTTCGATGGTCTACTCTAAGAGGGTGGATACGTCTCGTTTGGTTCGATGGTCCACTAAAACATCAAGACAAAATGTCATCCACAGTAATAAACAGGGGCAGCTAAGCCCCGACTACATGATGAGCCGGCAGCTAGCTTCTTGCCCCCTAGGAAGCTCCTGATGACTGTATGCGGTATTAGTAATCAGGACCTATGATGCAGGCTCCAATCTCGCTTGATGGCCTTGGCATGATTGCAAATCCGAACACGAAGCAGAAGCACGGATTTCGTATCAAATACACGACGTTTGCATGGCCTATCTTTCATGCAACATTCTGAGGCATCTTCGATGTTGTAAAACTCCAAGGGCATCTTGACCTTTTCAGTCGTTCCATACTCCAAGACAAGAAGCCATTTCAATACACAGCTTGTTTCTGGAATGTGCTCATTCCCAGACACACGCCGCAAAACGCCATGGGAAATTCCTTCTCAATTAAAAAAAAGCCCATAAGTTTGAACGGATTGGTTGGTCAGAGAGTGCGCCAGTTGTAGCCATGATTGCAACTGGTAGATTGCAGCGCCGCTCCATCGCGCCTGCACCAAGACCAGTAATAAAGCACGTATATCTACAAATCAAGGTGGCCTCACCAAATAAACCCTTAAAACCTGCTGGTGTCCGAAAGCCTATCTATTGGGCTGAATTCTGATTATAAGTATCCGAACACCCGTGTTCTTACTCAGTCTACCCATTGCCCCAAATGCTGGCTCAACCAGGCCTGAGGCACGGGTGCACCACGCTCCACTCAAAACACCTACCGAACTAGCTGGAGATCGGAAGCTAGTGCAAAACCCGTGCTTCGTCAGTATGGCCGAGGACCTCATAACATCCCTCTACCCGCCGCCGCCACCCTACTACAAATACTTCACGCCTGAAAACTTGGCTCAGTATAAGGAATGGACAAACTCAAGCCCAGATACGCCTCTACCAGGAGAACTACGGCTTCAGGTGCCCCCCGAAGTACCGTCTGCAGACCAATACCGAGGATACGGAAGCGTGTGGTCCCTAGAAAACAAACTCCCGTCCCTCAAGGACCTGGGATGGCGCCAGTTGTACCGGGACGAGGACGAGACCATCACGTCCAAGGCGAAGATCGAAGAGCTCCATAAACTCTTGGACTCGCTCTTGCTCAATTTCTTGGAGCTCGTGGCGTCCGTGTCCGTGGAGCCGGGGAAGTTCTACGTGAAAATCGAGCACCTCAAGCTCATTTTGATCAACATGAACCATCTTCTAAACACGTACAGACCGCACCAGACCCGGGAAAGCTTGATCATGCTTCTACAGAGCCAGATCGACAGCAAGAAGGCGGAGATTGCCGAGATGGATCTGGTCACGAGGGCCGTCAAGCAGGCAATCGCCGACTTGGTCCTGAGCGAACCGGCAGGCGCGGGCGGCGATGCGCCAGAGACCGAACCCCCACAGGAGACGGATTCTGTCCGGGACTCTGAGAGGAGCCGCAAGCTCGAGGTATTGCAAAAGCTCATGGCGGAGAGCCCAACCGCCTGAGGGGGTATTTTGAGGGAGTACACTGTATGTATACTTTTAATGAAAAGCCACGTTTGACTTTGAAGAATGCAAACCATGTGCTGTGCCGGCCTCCGAGCATTGCGCGACGGGCCATGCCGCCGACAAGCCGATCGTGCGAGAGGCCCAGGAGCGCGCCAGCGCATTAGGACGTCCGCCATGGACCGAGGTGTGGGCACGAAGGCGGGATCGCGGGGCGAGTTGCTTCGCGGGCCCCCCGCTCGCCCGAGTAGTTGTCGTCCTCTTATATGAGTTCCAAGAGGTTGCCGCCGGCCGAGGAAGGCCCGCTGTGCGCAGGGTTGCCCGGGCTGCTGGCAAGATCCAAGTTCGCAACCCCGCTCGTGATTTTGGTGGCGCTGGCTGGGGGCGCGAGGTCGAAGAGACCCATGATATCGTTGGCCGAGGAGCGGGCCGCGGGCCGCGGGTCACCCGGGGAGGCCGCGGGGATGGCGAACAAGTCGTTCAAGTCGGCCAAGGCCGAGGAGGGCGCGTTGGGCGCGGATTCCGGGGACTCGTCGTCGTCGAAGTCGAGCAAGTTCTCGTTTCGCGCGTTGTTGACGATTTCCAGCTTGGCCAAGGCGGCCAAGTCGTCGAGGCCCGCGGCGGCGGCCGCGGCGGGCGGCGGGCGGACGCTTGCGTAGGCGTCCGGGTCAATGAAGGTGGCCGCGGGCTTGTGGTACACGGAGGACAAGGTGGCCAACTCGTTGACGAGCGCGTCCAAGACCACGGGGTTGAAGGAGGAGATGATGGTTTTGATTGGCGGGAGGCGCGAGGCCACGACGGCCTTCTGCACGGCCGCGGGCGAGGAGGACAACAAGCGCCAGTAGATGAAGGCCTTGTCGCGCACGTCGGGCGCGGCGCAGTCGTGGGTGGCCTTGTCCAACACGGCCTGCAAGAAGGGCGCGTATGCGGGCAGGCCCGAGGCAACGGCGATCTTGACCACGGCGGTGAGCACGGCGAGCTGGAGCGCGGGGTCGTGGGCGAGGAAGCCGTCGACCAACGGCTGCAACTTGGCCGGGACCGCGGAGAAGTGGCCCGGGTACTCGCCGAGCAAGAACACGTAGGCGCAGAGCGCGGGGGTGTCGGAGAGCTGGGCGATGTGGTGGGCGACCACGGGCACGATCAAGGAGACCAAGTCGTTGCGGCGCGGGTAGCGGCGCAAGACCTGGGCCAAGCGGGCCACGGTCTCGTTGACGAGGAGCGGGCCGCCGCGCAGGTCGAGCAAGCCGATCAACGTGGAGGCCGCGGGCACCACGGCGGCCGGGAGCTGGATGGCCACGGCCGCGATGCACGCGACGGCGCGCGCCACCAAGGCCGGCTCGATCTCCATGGCGTACTCGCGCAACTCGCCCAAGAGCAACGCGCTGTTGGCGTCGCAGGCCAAGCGCACCACGACCTCCAACTTCTCGAGCTTCAAGTAGAGCGGGTCCGAGTACTTGAGGAAGAACACGCGGAGCTCCCGGGTCAACACCTGCGGGTACTTCTCCAAGAGGATGCGGATGTTCTTCAAGCCCACGTACTGGGCCTCCGGGCGCGCCTGCGACACCAAGGACACCATGGGCGCGGCGAGCTTGCGCAAGAACGCCGGGCGCTGCGCCGCGTCGAGCGCGTCGAGCTGGTGCACGATGACCTTGATGGCCGCCAACACCACGGCCGCGTTGGCGTGCTGGAGCTGCGGCACCGCGCGCTCCACGATGTGGAGCGCCTCGCCCGCGTCCTGCGCGCGGTAGTCCGCCAAGCAGCCCAAGATGGAGATGCGGCCCCACTCCGTGCACTCGTTGAGGCAGGCCACGAGCACGCGGGCCTGGGCCGCGTCCACGGCGAGCTCGGCCGGGTCCACGGCAAGCCCCCCCAGCGCCGCGCCGCGGGCCATGCCGCGGATCTCGTGCAACGCGCTGAGCGCGTTGGCCACCACCATGGGGTTGGCGTCGTGCACGAGCGCCTTCAACAGGGCCACGAACCCGTGCTCCACGCACACGGCCGCGTTCAAGTCGAACAACTTGGCCACGCACACGGCCGCGGTCTTGCGCACGTAGGGGTTGTCGTCGCGCAACGTGCGCCGGAGCGGGAGCTCCATGTAGTCCACCATGCGGTCCACGCGGATGCAGCCCATGGTGCGGATGGCAAGCGCCCGCACGAGCGGGTTGACGTCCTCGGTGTCCTGGACAAACGTGTTGACGGCCAAGATGCAGAGCTCGGGGTTGGACTTGGCGTAGTTCATCAAGTACAAGTACACCAATTTCTTCTGCTCCAAGTCGTGCGTGGCGATGTTCTTCAACACGTCGGGAAACAACGCCAGCACGTCCTTGCCGACGGTCATGGCCTGGATGGTGCGCTCGATGGCGTCCTTGCGCTCGAGCTTGTACTGCGACACGAGCCCGGCGCGCAACTCGTGCGCCTCGCCTTTCTTGGGGCCCTTGATGAAGTTGATGATTTTCTTCTCGAGGGACATGGTGGTGTTGGAGCTGACGCTGGGCGCGTGGAGAAGCGAGCTTGGGCGCCCGCGGCACGTGCGCGCGGTCACGTGGGGGGCCCGGGGCTTCTGGATCGGCTGTATTTGAATGAGTGGTTTTGGAGGGTTCTGGGATGAGAGGGTTGGGTTTTGGAATGAGTGGGTTGGGATTTTGGAATGAGTGGTTTGGAATTTTGGAATGAGTGGGTTGGGAGTATTCTGGGATGAGTGGGTTGGAATTCTGGAATGAGTGGGTTGGGATTTTGGAATGAGTGGGTTGGGATT